GTATGTCATGTATTATGATGCAACATCATCGTAATTACTTTCAAATCACGTGATGAGGTAGAGTTGTAACAAAAGTTTAACCTTCCTCCGCGTAACATTTCATGTTTTGAAAGTCTTCCTCGAAAGAACATCACGTTACTCACATTAGCTATGTAAATGGTGCGGTATGAGTACATGAATGTGCTTAGTGGGAATTATCAACTTTAAATTTTCCTCAAAAACTTCATTCTTGAAAAACCTTCCTCACTGAGGTACAAGTCTACCAGCAGTGATGTGCACATGATTTAAATTATTTTTAGAAGGTTTTTTTGAGCACATGTGCATTTCAAATAAATTTTATAAATTATCTGTTTTGTGATATTCAACAACATTTGTCTGAGTGAAAGAAAGGAGCTTTTCAATCATTTCTAATTTTCGATGTACGTTTAAATTTATTATGTTCTATATTCTGTGTGTTTTTCTAGGGTATAAGTGGTGACCGTGGTCAAACAGGAGCACCAGGGTATCTCGGTCACAGGGTAATGCTGAAAAAAATTATGCATGATGCCCACTTCGAAGGAGCTTTTGCTTTTGTACATCTCCTTATTGCAAGCGATTTGACGGATTTTTTGCCAAATATTCCGACTTCTGTTCCCACATCCTTTAACAAAATCATTAATATTTAAGAGCAATATCTTTATGGAAATTTTTCAATTCTTTTTATCTAGTTTAGTAAAACAGTCGGGCACTTTGATAATATGTGTCGTAAATGTATAATTACAGGGTTATAGTGGCGTAGTTGGAAAGCCTGGTAACAAAGGTCTCCAAGGAGATGAGGTTATTGTTGGATTTACCTAATAAATTTTTCAAGTATTTGCTAAAGTCTGTTTAATTTCTTAGGGTGCAAAAGGTTTCATTGGTAGGCGTGGGGCAAAAGGAAGAAAAGTAAGTTTTCACTTCAATAAAGTTGTTTCAACTGGTTTGCTTTCAAGTTTTAAGTAAATATTTTGAAAAAAAGGGATCTAGGGGACGCGTTGGCTCAAATGGTATTTCCGGTGAAAGAGGTCCGCTAGGATCCGAGGGAGCACCTGGATATCAAGGTCGTGATGGTGAGAAGGTATGAATGGATATTATCCAATACAGATGGCCTAAAAATATATATGGAACATAGTGTATCTTTCTTATGAGTAATGCATTAATCTAATGTGCACTTTTATTGTACATTTTATGGAATGAATTGTTCAACTTATTCTTAAGAATATTTGTGTTCATATAAATGATTGCTGTTAAATTTTTAATCTTCATGACTTGATCATTTAAAGACGTTAGTAAGAATGATTGTCACTTATTTTCCATGTTTGTATTCAGGAAGCAACATTATATAACGTTGACAGATGTTTTCTAAAAATGCAAAGTCAGCAAAAACTAACCCATTTTATCACAAGGGTCCTATTGGTCCACCTGGGAAGGATGGTTTCCCTGGATTTATGGGTTCTCAAGGTTTGACGGGTGTAGACGGAGCCGTTGGTGACCGGGGCATGACAGGAGAGACTGGTGAACAAGGAGAGGCTGGAGTCGCTGGTCCAGATGGTATGAATGGAAGGACTGGTGAGCCTGGAGGTCCTGGACCCAAAGGAGGAGTTGTGAGTAATTTTAATTTTTGATGAGTCTTTTACTTGAATTAAAGAAACGCATACAATTTTATGTTACCTTAATTCATAACCTTAAAAACTCATTTCTTCCTCCATGCCTACCACTTCACTTTTTAATGTTATTCTAGACAAAATAACTTCTTGATTTTTCTTTGTCAATAATATTCTCCATAAATGATGTATAGTATTACAATGTCTTCAAATATATCGCATTTAGGGTGATCCTGGACCTGGCGGTCTTGTTGGTGGCCCTGCTGCACCTTCCGAAGGCGTATGTTTGATATTGCTTCTTTATTTTCACAATAATAATTACTGCAGGCTATTATATAAGTTTTTAAAACTACATTATCTTGTCATAATTGTGAAAGCCAAAGTGACTGGAAATCCTTCCTAGTACTTGGTATTAACTTTTTCTTTAAAGTCTGCATTCTTAATCCTCTATATCACTGCAATGAATGCAATTTGAAACACACATTCAGAATTTATTTTCAGTTGAGCTGCCAATTGTATTTTATTGCAAAATTCATTTTCGTATGGATGACACGTGAAACATCATAATGAATGAAAAGAAGAGCACCGAATTTTATTCTGTGATATTCTGTGATATGTGATATTTTTTTCAGGGCGAACCAGGAATTCCTGGTCCACCAGGGATTACAGGTGCTCAGGTAAGACCATAAATAAGAAATTTTCCATATTCGTTCTTTCCGCATAAAACAATGAATTTATAAAAAAGCATTAATTGATCAGTTTTCAATTCTTTATTTATCGCTGCAAAATAATGAAATTCAAAATTTAAAATTTGAATTATTTCAATGTTTCCACGACATATCTTTACTTGATATAAGGTGCTAAACTGGACATAGATGAAGTGTAATGTTCAGCTCCTCAATTAAACACTCTTTTCCTCATTGGATCGCATAAAAGTAATTTAAAGTCAAAGTGCATACTCTGGATTTCTTGCTTTTTCTTTTTCTAAAGCCTCATAACAAAGAAAAAGTCCTGGTTGTATGTAGCGCAAACCATCCCTAAAAAATAAAACACTCCAGTTCTTATAATGTAAATTTTACAAACTATCTCCCAGTAGAAATATTCACATTGTAGGAATTAGTTGACACATTCATTAAACTATACATTTCACCAGATTTACTTTAAATTAAAGATAAAACAGAAATTTTACTTTCCGCAACAACACAATGCACTCATCAGATGGTTGTCTTTTACAGGTATATGTAAAATTTCAATCTCATTAAATAAACCACAAACTTTTCTTGTCAAGGGGGAGAAGGGTGCCAAAGGAGAAAAAGGTCGAGTAGGTGACAAAGGTGTTACGGTACGTTTTGATCATATGTAAGTTGGGTAATATAGTAGAAAACCATAGTGGTCACTTTGCATGTGTATTTCTTACAGGGTGATCCAGGATTAGATGGTTCTGTGGGTGATATGGGAGCTGAAGGAGCAAGGGTAAATACATGTATTTTGATATTGAAATACATTAAATATCAGGAACTACTCTTTGTATAAACTAAACGATAGTATTTACATTTGAAAAATGCGATTGTCAATAACTCATAAACAAGTTAGATTTATTTAAGGAAACGTATTCTGTTATCCATTAACATGCTCCACAATTAATTATTGAGAATACATTATATGAACACTTAATAAAAATGACTTTTGCAATATGTATATGATATGTGATGACATTTCTTGGTGAAATGAATAGCTGGTAAGAAAACTTTTACAACATGAATAAGAGTCTGATTGTTATCTATGGAAGAACTGAGTTTATATTGTATTTGCAATGTGGTAGCTTGCAAAATAACTATTCCTTGTATCCAGAGTTAATTATCTGTCCTTTTCTTCATTATGCTCCACTTAATTACATAAATACTAAATCGTCAACACAGTAATTAAGAATGGGATCTACAGGTGAACATGGTATTGTTAAACAACGTAGAAAGGACTAAACTGGGAAAAATATGTTGAATTTTTCGATGAATTAGCAGAAAATTTTGATGAAATAAAGTTAACATTGCTCATTCTAGAATGTTGTTTATTTTGTTTATTTTTCTACTACGTTGATCTTTATTGTGAATGTTTCACTTCATATTCAATAACTATTTTGTGGATAAAAAATCCATTATCTTTTACCTAACGTGTGTGTTTTTCTTCTAAAATATAGATGCTAGCTACTTTTTTGATACTTGTTCACTTGAAATCATCGGGCTGTTATTGTGATAAACATTTATATAGGGCAAACCTGGTAGTCAAGGAATTGTTGGTTATTCTGGTCTCGTTGGTGAAAAGGTTTGTAAAATTATTCTTTGCCATGCATGAAAACGGATGGACAACATAAACGATAGATTAAAAAGCGTTCATTGAAGTCGTGTGATTATGATACCTTATTTATTTATAAGGGACCCGCCGGAGAAGCTGGAGAAACTGGAGCAAATGGTGCAATGGGACTTGAAGTAAATGCATTTATTGTCTATGTTTATATTGTAATCTGCTCCTTGCTTGCAGAATTTTAAACGTACTTAAAAATGTTGAAATGTTATATAACAGGGATATGAAGGAGATCGCGGTGAGATTGGAGCAATTGGGGAAGAAGGATCTGATGTAAGTTGTAAATTTGATTTTATGTACGTATTTTAATGGTACAATAATTTATTATCGAGTTATTACAGATCTTTGTTACTTTTCATACGAAGTCTTTAATATATGTGTGATTAGGGTGAAGATGGCTTGCCTGGACGCCCTGGAATGAATGGCATTAGGGTAAGAATCATGTGTCTACTTTATAGTAATTAAAAATTAATCTTCTCATTGGTAGATCTATATAACTAGACAATAATTCTTTGAAGCTTTTCAAAATAACAAAAACTAATCTTTAGGGACCTAGTGGCAATCGTGGGCCCAGTGGAATAGATGGTCCAAAAGGAGAGTCTGTAAGAGTTTCTTTTTTGTAATGTCTTCTCTTGTTTGAATTATTGACTCTTGTAATCTTCTATACCAAAAATGATTTTTATCTTGTTTAATTTTCAAAATGTACGTACATATAAAGTTTTGAACATAGAGAAGCTTTCTTTTTAGTAGAATTTAGACATATTAGACAAAAATTTATGATACCTCCCACGAGTTTTTATGTGTTGCATGCAGATCATTTTTTGACCCAGATTTTCTATTCATTTCAAATAGTTCTGCATCACAATTTAATTTATCTAGGGTGGTCCTGGTGATGATGGAGCTGCGGGTCCTCTTGGCTCCAAAGTATGGAGTAATTAATTCTTTAGACATGAAACAGTTAATGTGTGCAAACAAATAAAAGTAGCATTATTGATTGATTGGGTTTCATTATTTTGTTAGGGTGAAGAAGGACCACGTGGTATCCAAGGTTTCTTTGGAGCAAATGGAAAACCTGTAAATATATAACGTTTTCTCTCTCATTAGAGTACTGGTAAAACTATTTAAATTTTCATTATCATCTTTTTAATTCATCTAAAATCGAGGAATTTGGGAAAAGAAAATGTCACATTCACTTTTTTTAAAGGGTAGAGATGGTGATGACGGTGCTTCGGGAGAAACTGGTGAACCTGGATCACCAGTACGTCTTCATCTCAGTATTTTTTATCAAAACTTATAAGTATAAATAGTGCATGAAAGGTGTGTGGAAGTATAACTTCCACAACAAGTTTCAACTTCCTCTTTTATTTCCTTTATGTTGAAAAAGTAATGGTGTAGTGTGTGATGTTTTAGCTCTCACGCATAGAAATTGTGCAATATTTTATTTTGCGAATTTGGTGGAATTAATTTCATGCTAAGCTTGTGTATAATTATTGAAAGGGTTTTGATGGAGAAGACGGTGAAGATGGAGCTGCTGGTATTATTGGAGTCGAGGTAAACTTTTCTTCTTGCAAATGCATAAATTATTTTAAGTTGTCCATCTTTAACGAAATACAAACGTTGTTTGTGGGCTTTACTCACTGGTAATTTTCAGTTTATCGCTTTTCGGCCAATTGTCATACAATTGCATTGGTAGCTACTACAATACTAATTGTTTTAACATAACTTCTCCACGTTTTAACATTTCTCAATTAAACTTATCTCGGTAAATTTTTAATTCCAAGGGAGAGAGGTCCTCTTGGATCAAAGGAAACGATGGACGCGACGGAGCTGAGGTACGTATGCTCGAGTTCATCGTAAAACATCATATAAAGTAAAACATGTGTTAAAGAACTTTAACTTATTTTGTTAGGGCCCAGAAGGTTCAGTTGGGTTTCCCGGAAGAAATGGTGGCGAAGGAGATAAGGTATGGAAAGATTTTCACTGTCAGACAATATGTTCGTCTCGCGTTTTATATGATTTTTATACTGAAAAACAAGTTAACAATCTTTCTCTTTATCTCGAACTATGTACTATTCTAACAGGCTTGATATTGTGTTTTATCCTTCTAAGTAATCATTACAGACTTACTTGTCGAATTTAGTGTAAAAGGATTTGTTGTAACTTAAACATGTCTTTTTAGGGTATGTTAGGTGATGTTGGTGAGATAGGAATTGATGGAGAGAGTGTAAGTTAAAATTTTACAAATAACTGTCTAGATATCAGGCCCTCCGAGGGGACTGGATGCTATTTATACATGGTCCTCTTAAATTCAGAAAATACCTGAAATTCAAACAATTACGGTTAATTCGACTTTCAAAACACGAAGAACACAGAGCACTTGGTCAAAACTTTGCCCTGGACTCAACATTTTCTTTTTGATGCCTCTATAGAAAAGATTAAAGTAACTAGCTCTTACCTTTTTGCACTAGAAATGAATGTGTTTTTAGCACAATTTTAAAATAAGCAGAATTTTGAAAATGGAAATAATACAAAGTTTCTGCTCTTACAGTATAGTAAAGAAAAATAAAAAAAATACATTGTTCGATCAATGTTAAGAATTAAATTTAAGATATTTTAAACTACTAGGGGAAACCTGTATTGATGAAATTGGTATTATTTTTACTTCAGGGTGAGCCTGGATCGCAAGGAGCACCTGGACCAGACGGAGATGCTGTAAAAAAATTTCTCTTTAAAAGTTTTTCTCTTTAAAAGTTTTTAAACTTCTTACTTGTTATATTTATTTTTAAGGGTGCGAGTGGCAGGAAAGGTAGCCAAGGAGATAGTGGCCAAGATGGAGCTCAAGTGAGTTACTTTTAAGGTTTTAGAAAGGCAATGTTGCTTTACAAGCTTCATGTACATGGTTTTGTGTTTATTTTTTAATGAACTAAAATGTGAGTGGATTGAGTGCCTAGACGGCACTCAATAGGGAATAGGTTGAGAAATAATGACATGAAAATCTAAAATCTTAATCAATGCTCAGTAATAAGTAATAAATAATATATTAATCCTAACACGGTTTTACTGGATGGCACCGTGTTTCGACTTTATTCCAAAGCCATCATCAGAGAATATATGTAATATATTAATCCTGGATATTAAAACTGCTATAGTGGCGAGAATCTCTCGTCCATACGCAGTTTAAAAGAGATTTGACTCGGCTCCAATCCCTGTGGGCTTGTTAGCTCAACAGGTAGAGCGGCGGACTAGTAACCCGAAGGTCCGAGTTCAAATCTCGTCCAAGTCACATGTTTTTCATGTGCATATTAAAAACCGTGTTAGGATTAATATATTATATATGTTCTCTGATGATGGCTTTGGAATAAAATAATGAGTAATCGAGTATGAAAACTTGTCCATATAAAGCAATCGTAAGATTTTGAGTACAATATAGAATGAACATGCACATGGTGATTTTTACAGTCAATATGAGGAGAGAATTTACTATTATCTTAAATAGCATTGGAGGTGGAGGGGTTGAACCTCATCTAGCCACAAAATAAGTGAGAGAAAGTTTTAATTATAAGTTTATAACACTTTACCGATTGGATTTAAGAATATTTAATTTTCGTTACTAAATATGTGATATATTGTCTCTATATTTAGTAACCAAACTTAACCAATATATAAAAATACTGTCTTAAAATTGCAAAAGTTATAAAATTTTGAGTTTAAAGATCAATTGTTGTTCAAATTACTGTTTTATATAGGGTGGACCAGGTGTTGCTGGAGCTCAAGGACCATCTGGAGGACCAGGAGAACAGGTCAAAAATCTTTTAAAATACTTTGATTTTTATCGATTTTTTTTGAAGATTACTTTGTTTTCTTTCTAGGGTCCTCCTGGTGATGCAGGAGCTGTTGGCCGTCGTGGAGCAAGTGGACAAACTGTTAGTGATAATGAGATAAACTGTATCATTCTACATGACTTCCCTTGCCATTTTAAAAAGGGATTTTTTATCTACATAGGGTTCTCCTGGAGCTGAAGGTAAACGTGGTAAGCCTGGTAAGAGTGGAAAAAATGTAAGTTTTAAAGTGTTATTATATTTTTATGTTGTTGACTGCAGTCTATGACTATGATGATGACTTACTACTATTTAATTCACTCTTCTCAATTATTAAAGGGTAATCCTGGAGTTGCTGGTGACGTTGGGGAACCTGGACCACGTGGTAGAAAGGTCTGTTAAATTCTGCTTTTGATACTTTTTATTTCAATGTTTTCTACTTCTGATTTCGGCTTGAACTCTAAAACTTTCGAAAAACTTATTAATTTATATAACACCAATAAAATTGATTTAATTGATATAACACTTTAAATGATCAAAAAGTATAACTAAGAAAGTGTAAAAATATCAAAAACATTTTTGGAATAAATGAAATTTGATTTTGGTGGTATGGACTATCATATGAAGTGATATAGGCTTATTTAATTGATACCCTTTAACTGATTGACGTCTTTACCTATTGTGCTTGCCTTCTGCTTGTACTGATAACTTCCAGGTTTTACTGGATAAAACGTAAGAAAAAATATCCGTTCGACATAAAATTATCCAAAGTAGATATACTTTCTTTATAACTCAGTTTTATTTCAGGGTGTAAGTGGGGACAGAGGTGATGCTGGCGCACTTGGAAAAGATGGAAAAATGGTGAATGTTACATGAAACTTTCTTCCACACCAAGCAAAAATGGAACGTAAAAGACTTATTTTTATTTCAGGGTCCAAGCGGTATTGCTGGACCTGTTGGAGCAACTGGAAATCCTGGTCGGCAGGTAATATCGCCAAGATACAGTTTTGTGAACATATATTAAAAATGAATCACAAGTTGTGGAAATATTTTTGCTTTATACGTAGCAATACAAATACTTGTGGTCTTGCAGGGGATTCAAGGTGCTGCAGGTGAAGCTGGTTTAATTGGTGAGGCAGGAAGACCGGTAAGATTTATAACTGTAAAGACACATTATAGACTTTGCATGAAAACAAAGTGATCTCCGATAAAATTGCACATGGACTATACGAATGAGCTTTTTTGCGTTTTTCCATTTGTAAATTTTCTATATGTCCAAAACTTTAGGGTACTACTTTCTGCAATAAATTGGTAGTGATATGATAAAACAATCGTGTTTAGAAGAAAATTTCCGAGAAATAATGAGACTGTTATTCTTAATACCCCACATATGATGATCCATTTGTTAACATTTTAGGGTTCAACTGGTGATATAGGTGCTGAAGGTGAACCTGGAGAACGTGGTGTCAAAGTAATGTACATTATGCCATTTTTGTGTTATTATGTTTCCTGATATTTTGATACAACATTGTATTTCAAAATGTTATTTTCATTCAGGGAAGTGATGGAAAACTTGGTTCAAAAGGTGTAAGAGGTGATGTCGGTGATGAGGTAAATGAGAATCGATTTAAGGTTTTTATTGTTTTAGCCATTGAGTTTGAACGTGTATTACCACCTATCCAAGTGAATGGTTGGATCAGATATGCCAGTAACTCACGTTACCTCACAAAACTATTAACGCCATCAATGTAATTTTAGGGGCAGATCGGACCTTTGGGTGAAAACGGACCTGAAGGTTATGCTGGAGCTAAGGTAAAAACTATCTTTGTTTCATGATCTGTCGTGTTTTTCAGTGGATTTAATAATTTTAACTATCAGTTCAATTTCAAATAATCCTTCATGGTTTGCTTTTCAGGGCCAATCTGGAGCTCCAGGTTTAAGTGGGCTTGCTGGTGCCTATGGAGATAAGGTAAAATGTGCTATTTTGATTTAAAATGTTTGCTTGTATGCATGAAAATGACTTACAGAAAACGCATGAATTGAATTAACCATAATATAATGGAGTAAAATTTTTTTACATTATTTGAACTAATGAATTAGTCTGATTATTTTAGGGCGTTAGTGGTGAGAAAGGTGAAACAGGTGATATTGGTATTACTGGGCCCATGGTAAGTTGTCATATCGTCATCACATCATATACGCCTTGTAATTTATGCAAAAATAAAATCTGGTATATGGAATTATCGTGGTGAAAAATTTTGGGCAAAAGGATTTAACGATAGAAAGTGTTCATTATTTAGGGTGAACGTGGCGTAGATGGTGTCAAAGGCGAGCCTGGTGGTTTTGCAATAGGTGTAAGTTTTAATTACACAACTCAATCCATCAGGTCATAGAAATCAATATTTCCTTGTTTTGAATAATTTCTTAATATTTGATTGGGTTAATTCATCATAAGTTATTCAGTTGAATTATTTTACATAAATTATGAGGAATATATAATTATTTTTTGTTTTACAGGGAGTGCCTGGTGTATTGGGTGTACCTGGTTCTCCTGGTGAGATTGGTGAGACGGTAATTATTTTAAAAAATTTAATTTATTTTGTCAATGTTTTTTTATGACGTATAATGATATTTATTCATATAATGTTACGAGGCAAACTAAGGTTAGGCATATTAACATTGGGAATATTAACGTATGCACAACAACCAACAGAACAAATACAAACATAAAAAAGTGTCGAATCTTTCTAATATCCTTACATTCGATACATTCAAGCAATATGTATTTACATTTAGGGCGAACCAGGAGCGCCTGGGGAACCTGGTCCCTCTGGAGAATCTGGTGCTGAGGTAAACATACGAAGTTATATTTTACGTGTTGGTTAGCACTTTACCAGAGACGGTCCCTTAATAATAACGTATTATATTTTGCACTGTTTCTGACTATAATTCACTTTGAAAGAGCATGAAAATTTGTAATGTGACTTGCTTCAGTGCTCCTGTTTATAAGATATCGGCAAACTTTCATATCGTTTCTGTTGGATTCACAACAGGAGAAATTTCATATTTTCTTTCATGTGCACTATGAATAATGTAATTCCCTTGCGACTACAATTCGCATATTGCCCACAAAAAAGACGATTTTTTTCCTCAACCGATACTTACGATTAAATACTTATAAAGTACTACGCTGGTAGAGCCATGTTTTTCATTTAATTTCAAAAATTGTAGATTTTGTGCTAAATTTATACCTTGCACTGATTTGAATTCGTGTAACATGTTGCAATTTGTAAGTAATGTTTGCATGTGTTTTAGGGTGAAAAGGGATCTTCTGGCTCAAATGGACGCAGTGGACCCGGTGGAGACCAGGTGCTTCATCTGTCGAGCACAAATACGTATAAATGTTGAATTCAATGATCTAAAGATTAAAGTGTATTTTTAGGGATTGGCAGGAGCCAAAGGTGTTTCTGGAATGGAAGGTCCGTCTGGATCTGATGTAAGTACTTTAATAGACTTAATATGTCATATAAAGTAACTCGATAATTTGATCACTGCTAAATAACATTTTCTGTCCCTGATAAGTTACCCGATGCCAATTTTATTGTAATCTGTGGTACATTAATTGATACCATCTTAAGAATATTCTGTAATTCGTTAACTAAAACCATCTAAAAACATTCTGTGGTACATTAATACTATCTAAAGAATATTCTGTGGTACGTTGACTTATGCCATTTAAAGAAAATATCTTCATACATTCAACAATTAAAGAAAAGCTCATCTTTAATCAGTTAAGCTTAGCTCCGATTTTACTCATGTTTCTGAAATGAGATAAAAAGAAAGATTTAGAAAGAGGAAAACGAAACATTTATGACAAAATGGTGTTTTTTTCCATACATACTTCGTTGTTCATTCCTTCCGATAAAAGCAAATTTACTATTAACTTATACCAGACCAGCAGCAACATCAAATGAAGTAGAAATATGAAATTTTATGTATTCAGTCTATTTAATAAATGTTACTCCATATAAGAACTGAGAAACTTCGTGCTCTTTTTATCTACCTTTGGTTCACGTGTATCTCTCGAGGAGTGATTCCGCTTGTAGTTAGCAATATGAATCATAGTCTAGAACATTAAAAATGTATTACCAAACCCATCTCAAATATGCACAGGGTCCAGATGGATTAACTGGGAGACCTGGTGCACAGGGACTAAATGGTGATAAGGTGAGTTATATAAAAAGAAACTGTTTGTCGTCATTTTTAAGTTTTAACTGTCGTCTTGATGGTTATCAAATCATCAGCCGAAACAGGGATTTCGTTATCAAATATTTGGAATATCATTTCGTTCAACCAAACATAAACGTATTTGCGATTGTTTTTTTTTCTTTATTAGGGTGAATCTGGTAATGTAGGAGTGGCAGGATCAGCAGGCTCACCTGGAACAGTCGGTCCCTCTGGTGCTAAAGGATACAGAGGTGAAAAAGGTGACATTGGTGAGCAGGTTAGTACACATTGAACTCAGTTTCACATTTTTGTAGGGTTATATTTTAAAAAATGTATGACTAATATATTCATTTTGTACATTATTTACTCTGGAAAAAACTCATACTTGCGTATGTATTTCCACCACGATATCACGTATAAACAAAAAATTGTCTTTATTAAGGAACTGTTTGTGCAGTTATTAGGAAGTTATATCGGTTAAAGTTAATCATTACATTGTTTCATGTTATGATATTCAGGGTATGGAAGGACCAGAAGGAGATGTAGGTGAAATTGGAGAAGAAGGAGTTAAGGTAAAGTACATGATAAACCATGCACGTCCCTTGCTCACCCTTGCCTTGAAAACAATATGACGTTTATTGTGTAGTTTTTAATGCCACGTGACATTTCTTAATTTGCATATTTCTACTCTCTTTTCGATATAGGAAATTTTTTCCTATTAAATTGAAGTCATGGGATAATAATTGATTTCATCTGCAGATTTATCCTATTAATTGGTTATTATATTGCAGGGTTACAAAGGTTCTGTTGGTGCATCTGGGGATGCTGGTACTAATGGAGCTCCGGTAAATCCTTTTAAATATGATTTAGTTTGAATTGCAAATCTGTGAGCACGTAAAGTGTGAAGTTTCTCATGCATATTTTTTACCTTTTAAAGGTATGTTTAATTTTGTCAGAGGACTTTAAGTATTTCCTTTGAAAAAACTTTATGGACATGGTTGACGTCAACTGATGTTTATCATTCTAGGGTGCTAAAGGTGAACCTGGATCAGAAGGTCGTCCCGGAATGCATGGTTCATACGTAAGAATATAGATGTTTTTATTCATTTGTTAATTCTTGGTTATTTACAGTCGCATGTTTATTATGCAGGGTGCTAAAGGTGATTCTGGTGGCCCAGGAGAGCCTGGCCTGAAAGGACCACAGGTAACAAAATTACAGGAATTTTTTAAATATACCTTATTTTATGAAGACATTTCATTTCATGAGTGATAGCTGAATTATTAGATAACACAAATCCCGTTTCATCTTTTTCCATCTTTCAAAAAGCAAAATTTGGCTTTATACCCATAAAGAACATATCAAATTAATTTTTTTTCTGGGAGAATCTAACGTTATAAAGTTAATGATTATTTTGTTTAATGAAGTGAAAATTGTTCGTTAAAACACATAAGCTTTAAAAGTTGAGATATTTGGACGTGCAAACTCATACTATAATCTTAGCACCATGACCATCAAGATTTCATCTAGCTTGTTTACGGTCTTTCATTGTGAAGTATAGCGTTTTGTTTATAAATACGTGATTTATTATCAGGGTAATCCTGGTTTCCTTGGTCCTATTGGTGATGAAGGTATTCGCGGCAAAGAGGTAAAGGAAACAGTCCCATATCCTATTATGTACTTTAGTATTATATAGCAGCTTAACATTTTTATACTTTTTGCGATTATGCATAAATAACTGAAATATTTATTTTCTTTACAGGGAATCCCTGGGTCTGTGGGAATGAATGGACCAATTGTACGTAATAAGCAACATTACTACATGGTCATTTTCCCGTATATTTGAACATAATTATGTTTTTATTTGGATTTTTTTTTCTTTTAGGGTGATGCTGGACCAAAAGTAATATGCCATATTTAACAACATCTTTGTAGTTTTGATTAGAGCTATCTTCTTACTAAGTATTTTTTACGTTTTTAGGGTGTTGCCGGCCGTCAAGTAAGTAAAAAAATCTGTAAAAAGTTTTGTTAATATTGGTTATAATAATGTAAAAAAGGAAGAGACAATATATAAGTACACAAAGAGCATCATCGTTTAGTCATTAGTGTCTGATTATTTGCTTCTCATTTTAGGGTCCACCAGGTCCTCCAGGTCCTCCTGGCTCATCAGCAAGTCAGGGAGTAGGAGTAAGATATTTTTATTTATAGAACTGAGTACAGTGACAAGTATCTGATTTATTGTGCGTTAAAAACGTGTAACAAATATACGATTCACATGGAGAATACGGGGAATTTTCTGGGGATAATTATTTGTGCACGATATGCCATATTAATATAAGTTACTTTGAAATCCATTGTGCTCTGCAGATTATACCATGTACACTTGAATATGAGCCTGCCATCTAATTATCGATCTTCCCTACACCTTTGAGGGGAAAGATGTTTTTTTATGATAGGAGCTCGTGTTTTGTTTAAGATTTAGGACATCCATTTAGTAAACCTTGTCAAAATCTAAATGCCTAATTGTGTCACAATTGAACATATTTTGCCCAAACATTTCTTTCAATATCAATATTAATATCTCATTGTTTATTGATGAAAGATCATAGGCAAATTTATTTTTAGCATAACAACACGAACCTATTTAAGATTCAATTATTTCATCCCACAAGAGCAAGAACCTACTTAAGTTTTAATTATTTATTAACACAACAACTTCAGCTTGATTTAATTATTTAATTAAATAACAACAAGAAGCTATTTAAGTTTTATTTATTTATTAGGATAACAAAATGAACCTATTGAACATTTATTTAATTATTTATTAAAAAGAAAACATGAACCACTTTAAAATTTAATTATTCATTGACAAAAGAACATGAAGATTCATGTTCTTCAAGATTCTTTCTTTCTGCACGACACTGGCCGTGTTTGGTGAGCATCAAAACTCGATGTTAAGTAGCTGAAATTGCTGTACTTTAATGTTTTTAGGCAGCGTTTGGTGTTGGGGAGTCATTATCATCACAGAAGGGGCCTTCTCCAAGTGAATATTATCGAAGTCGTGTGGTTTGTACATATGTTTCTCTATGTCTTTGGAATTGTTGACACTTTTTGAGATTAGTGTTAAGATCTGATATACATAATAAACATTTCCGTTAGTTGATGGTTGAGTTATATGATACTCAAACCACCATGAATCAATCTTTCCTTTTTTTTTGTTGCCTTCACGAAAGCAAAGTGCAACATGAAAATGAATACGTTTTCCTGAAATTAGTTTTTATAGATTTTAGTTTTAGTTCAAAAAACCATTCATTCAAAAAGAAAATCATTCTAAATCATTACTTTCAAAACTTACACTGTTTCTGAAGGTAAATAGGGCGGGTAGAAAGTTAAAAAAGTTGCATCAAGTACAAAAAATATAAAATACATTAATACAATCATACAAAACTACGTAGTTTTTCCTTAAATTCTGAAGTCAGACAATTGCATACTTGTTTACCACGCTTACAGTAGCATACTTTTTTCACAATGTTTATGCTACTCATAAGAAACCATGAATGATGATGTAAGTAAACGTATATGACAGGTGACTTGTAACTAATTCTTGGTCTTTGAACATTACAGAAGAAAATCCTATCTTCGATGAAGACAAATCCTTTGGACCTGGAAAAACATGAAGTATGGGTCACTGTATACATATTTTAAATTTATAAGCTTACAAGACTGCTGTGAACAAGATGTAGTCGTTAAGTTGAGTTGAATTTTGAAAGGTTGGAATGTTTTCAATGTATGGCGGAGTGAAAAATATGGGACTTATATCTAATCTAGCAGTTGTGTGTATAGTTCATATATTTTGATGTGAAAATATATATTTTCATTCAAAGCCAATTGAAGAAATCGTCGCCATTATGGATGACATTGATTTGATTCGTAAACCAGATGGCAGCAAAAAATATCCTGCTCTTACCTGTAAAAATCTCTTTAAAGACCATCCACATCTTAGTAGTGGTAAGATAGCTATCCTTTCGCCTTTCAATCTGATATTTTGCTTTAAATAGTGTAAGATAACAAATATTCCATTCTATTTTTAGGCGAGTATTGGATAGATCCTAATGGTGGTCTTCGCAACGATGCTGTCTTAGCTTACTGTCACTTTGAAAGTCTCTCTTCTTGTGTTTCGCCCAAAGATTTAAAAGTATGCAAGCAACCAAAAACATTTATAATATACGTATATAATATTTTTATGTCCTGTAAAGTTTGCGTTCATTGCAGTTTTATCGCTTCAAATTACTGGTTTATTGTTGAACTTGCTACGTATTTGATATTTAAAGAATGTTTATCGATTTAGGTCGAGAAGAAAAGCTGGTATGAAGGAAAGAGTCGTTATATTTGGTTTGCTGATGAGCTAAAGGAAAATGATATGGTAATTTAAAATTAGATCATCATATTATTCACCGTTATGAACTTATGATCAATATTTTTTTAACTTTACTTTTTAAATTTTAAAAATGAAGTGTGAGAGGGGGGGGGGAGCTAGTTGTTGACTGAATCAATTGTCATGATTTCCTCGTTGTATTTCGTTATCAGCTGCAAAAGAATATGTTATAATCTTATGACAGAATACTTGTACTTTGGTCATTTGGAAATGTCTCATACTTTGCTTTTATTGGTTGTAAATCATAGAACGATCCTGATTTTTAGGTGAAATATCTTGTTGATGGCAGTCAAATTCGCTTTCTACAAATATTGTCAGCCAAGGGATGGCAAAACATAACATACCATTGCCGTAACTCTGCAGCGTGGACAAATGAACATAATAATAAGGATAATTCAATAAAATTGCGTGGGGACAATGGAATGGAGTATCATGCTCTTAGTGCAAAGAAATTCCGACCCGTTGTCATAAAAGATGAATGTAATGTACGTATATCAAAATATAATGCCCATGTACTGTCATTCTGATGTATTACTGCTTTAGTTAATTACATTTTTAAGTGATGTGCAAATCCTTCAAACAGAATCTACCATCAATCAATCTTTAAAGATTTATCAATACAAGAATGTATAATAACTTTGCATGTGGTGTGGGGGTGTCTCCTTGTACAAGACTTAGCACGTCGGGTAGGGTGTTTTTGTACATAACTTAATACGTGGTGGGGATTTCATGGTAGATAATAAAGCATGTGGTGTGGGGTGCCCTTATACGTGACTTAAAATGTAGTGTTAAGTGTCATTGTACATGTACGTAATTTATCTTGTTGTGTTATTCGTATGAAACTTAGCAAGTGGTGTGAGGTATTAATTACTGAATGTGTACATAACTTAGCATCATTACAATGCTACTTACAATGTGTGTATAACTTGTTACTTGTACAATGTGTGTGAGTGTAACTTCACTAACTTGTTTTTTTTTACAATGTGAGTGAGTGTAACTTGATGATTGCTGCATTGTGTTTAAATATAACTTGTTACTTTTTGCGTTGATTGATAGAAGAAAGATGGTAAATGGCACGAGACTACAGTTCATGTGTACACATCAAACACAGCGCGTCTTCCCATTCGTGACATCGCCGTTTATGACATTGGCAAAAAAGGTCAACAGTTTGGAGTGGAATTTGGTGCAGCTTGTTTTGCATAAAAGAAAACATTGACGGACTTAAAACAAAGGTACAATACGCTAAACTTCTTTTTATTAAGTTAGTAGTAGCAAACTTTTCAATGAAGAAATAAAAATCTAAGATAAACGTACTAGTTATTTTTTGATGATTTTTTGAGTATTTTAACTTGTGTCTTAGATTCATAAAAAATTCGAGAAACTCTTCTTGTCTTTATTGTATAATAAACATTCCACTTTCTTAAGGCTTTTCAATTATAATGATTAGCTAATTATTGTGTCATTATTTTCTCAGTACTGCTTAGTCAAACATCGATAGCAACAAGTTATATATTCTATGCAAATGTATCGCAGCTAATGCCATGTGTAATAATAATGAAAAAAAAGACGTCTGGTTTTTGTAGATCAAATATCATAGGATAATTCTCCATGTTTTTACCATTCCTGCGCTTGTTCGTTGCTAAAAAGTCTTCGAAAGTGCAGCTCAGCTTCAAGCGAAGTTTATTACGTGGCAATATCTTATAAATGTTATAAATCATGTTCTGATGTTCCTATATACCAATTGTTGTTTCACAATGAAATCAGTTTTCTAATGTCAAAATGTCAATTGATGTTTAAGACATCTATACTTCACGACCTATACCTACTTATAAATCGTAGAAACTATTTTCAAGCTCAAATCAAGATAATTCAATTTGCGGTAATGAATATGTGTTGATGCAATTTCTATTTAATATGATGGACTGTGACCTAACAAAACCGAGTCTGAGTGATAGTAAGAATGATCAGAATATTCCACTGAACTTAGACAATCATCATCGCTGTTGTTGTCTTCAAATAATAGATAGTTCACTTTTGATGATGCAGGTAATTTACAGTTTGGTGGTTCAAGATCGTGCCACATTTCCACATAATCATTCCTATTGTGAATCATGTCCCAGTGCTCGAGCGCACTAGATTTTGCCTCCGTACCGAAATATAAATGACCTATTATATGCTTTTTTCTAAGTTTGGCCACGTGTTTCACTGTCAAAATGAGTTTAGTATCACGAGCGAGACTATCACCAGGTACTTGTATGCTAAATGTTTTTCTAAATTTTGGAGAAAGCGTCCTCTTTTCCACTTTAGTTCGCTTTTTAAAGACCAAGAAACACTTGATGTATACTTCAATTTTCACATATGGATCTGTATACATGAAAAAATATTGTAGTTTAACCGATTAACACCCAAACAAATTAAAACCTAATGTGGAATGGGCTGGGGACAGAATTGATTCCAGTGAAATGTATATAAGTAAAACCATGGTAATAAGGTTCTTCGTGATTAAATGTACTTAAATCCGAGGGAGGTTAGTGAAAATCAATGATTGTGTAAATCAAATCTGTTTTTGTTTTGGTAATACTTTGTGGGTATTTTTATTATTTCAAGCTCGAAATTTGGGATTGTTAGTAATACTACCATTTTACCAGTATACAAACCTCATGTAAGTTATAAAATAAACGCGATAAAACGCTTGCGTTGATTGGTCTAGAGCTGTGTTTGCATTGGCGTGTGCAAAACACATCTGAGCTCAACCAATCAAATCAATCATAGCAATCATTCAGTCAAAAGAGAATTTGCAAATTCATCATGAATACATTTAAGAGGAAAAATTTACTTTAAATTTGTCTGTTTTGAATTATTGTTATTTTATAAAAGAAATAAAAGATATTTTTCGTGTTTGCACTGGCTTATGCAAACCTCGGAGACGTTTGTGAGAACTGATGAGCATGTGCAACCTTCGACCTTCGGTCTCGGGCTTGCAATGATCTGCACCTGAGTTCTCCCTAAAGTTTCCTCTGTCTGCATAAGCCTATGCAAACACAGTAAACATCTTTTATTTCTTAATTAACTCACTGGAAGTTTGTCGATGTTCATCCATAATTCTCAAGGATGACGCCTCTTGTATTGTGACATCAAGTCTTTCTTTGTCTTTTATCCAACGTAAACCAACCAACATTTCGCCAACTGATGCAAAATCCTTTAATAATAGAAAATTATAACGAGGATATAATTATTTCTCAATTTTTTAATCTTACGTCTGTCCTTGTTTGTCTACTTACATCTTCGTCAAGCGTTAGATATTCTTTGTAACTCGTTTGATCTCCATTAGCTAAGCTTTTCTCGTCAATTTTTATCATTACGTTACCAATAAGGTCATGCGCAGACAGATGGTTTATATCAAACACAGATAATACTAAAGTTTGTCCTTGTAGCTCTTGCACTGGTATTTGATAATGTATTGTATCATTAAATACCGGCGAGATACTATTTCGAACATAACTTGTTTGGCTTTGGCTTCATATTTTTGTGAGAATGGCTTTAGTTCCACGACAACATAAGTAAACGATACATTACTTGAAGATAGTAATGGAAAATCTTCTCCTCTTAGAATATTCACGTTGAGTCGTGATCTGTATGATAAAATAAAATAGTATTCATGAAAAAGGTTAACTTTGCCAAGACTGTCAAACTACGTTGTTGTGTCTTGTCTAAAATCAAACTTTTATTCGACATCATTTATTAGAAGCATCGGTTGATGCACTGTTTGAATGATAATAAAATTTTAAAGGTTTTGGATTTTCTCTTTATATAATATAATTAATGGCAATCAAAAAGCTTTATTTATTATAAAGTTTATATGACGCAAAAATCAATGCAAGAGTTCAGGATTGGCGCCAGCAATATGATTTTCATGTTTTACAATAAGCAATATTACTCAAACACTTAACACAGCACTCATGTATGCCTAGCGCGATAACCTACCTCAAACAATCGTACTTTAATGTAAAGTAAATTTGGCCAAGTTCTCTCTGAAATATAAAATGAGTGCGTAATTATGATGAATATGCAGTCAATGCAGAGCATCATGGTATAGTGGGATCAAAAAAATTGCAAAATTTTGTTTTTTGTGTAATTTTATACATGGTTGGGGTACTCTACATCCCAAGATTTCCATTTACGTGTATAACACTAACTCAGTCAGTTTTCATAATAAATCAATATATCTTGTACTTTTACCCAGGTTTTTTTTTTGGGTAATGAAAGGTGTGCCAGAGATATTGAATCACCACGTTTTCCAAAACTTTTCACACGTCATTCTCATCTATCATTAAATGGATGATTTTTCATATTGTTGTAATTGCCACCTTGGCAATGTCCACAGGCAGTGGTAAATATAATGGCATCCTACCAAAACGTTGCAATTAATCATTTCAATCAGTGTATTTCAGGCAGGGCTTTTTCTGTCATCACTCAAATAAGTTTGGTGCATTTTATCACTTCATCCTATCCACTACGTAACCTAGTGGCATTTTCGCAGAGAATGAAATTTACAGAGACAATATGTCGTTACTAATATCTTAGCTCTTGTAACTTTCCTGCATCGCACATTTCATCTACTAGATGGCAAGGAGTCCGTTTGATAAACAATGTAATCATTGCCTCTCATCCATTAGTTTCCATTAAAATCCTGACTTAGCTTTGGTAGAGAGAATGCTTTTGAACAATCTCTCATTGTCTTTTCCGTCTTGATAATGAACCGTTAGATATCCAACTTCTTTCCAATTCCGAATGACCTGGACACTGAATTACATCCTGTAAATTCATGATGAACAAATAGGAATTGCAAACTGCTCAACAAGAGCCTGTTTTAAAACCTTGAAATTATGGACGTTGTATTTTACCTCGTACGGAGATAGAGTGCTATACACTTGGAAACATCAACATAGAAGAGCAAGAAAACTATAAAATCTGAGTCTTCATGTCTCAAAGCAGACATTTTGAAGCTTGTCTATGCCGTATCGACGACAGCATCTATTTCTGATTGAATAACATAAGAACTTTTCTGTTGCATTCTATCCACGATCTTTTAAATTAGTGCCCCATTTGACAAGAGGTTCTCCATTTCCAAATAAAATGTGAAGAAGAGATCCTCTGTTTAGTATGTTGAGTTCTGTGAATGGGACAGTTTGTATCATAGCACTGTCTGACTTGGTTCTGAGTTTTTCCAATTCCAGAAGCTTCTGGAAAAATGCTGTCCTTCAGGAATTATGTTAAAACCAAATCACACAGTTCTATGACACAAATCTTTCCAGTCACGGAGCACAATGTACTAGACGCAAGAAGGATATCTTCTTCACTATCTGAAATGGAAAGAAGGAAGCAGCTACAGTTCGATTGCAGATGATTACACTTTATTTCAAAACGGTAAACATTATCATGCTGACAAAATTTGCTTGAAAAACGGAGGACTTATTGTCAAATGAAGCAAACAAGCAGGCATTAGTTTAGCTAATCAAAGAGAAAATGCAACAAAATTGTGACGTTATTTAAGCACAAAAAGATGCCAATGTTTATATCACAAAGACAACCATCAAAAAGTTTGCTAGGAGATCTGTCACCCTTATTGGAGAAGACGCAGATCTTCTTGTTGTCTTGCTCTTCAAGGCTGATGTTTCCAAGTGTAGTGCACACTATTTCCGAACTGACAAATTAAAATACGTCTTTAATATCAAGGTTCTCATGCAATGGCCCATTGTTTCTCTATGCTTATACAGGATGCAATGTAGTGTCCAGGATGGAATGTAGTGTCCATGATGCAATGTAGTGTCGGGATTAGAAAGAAATTCGAGCTCAAATGAATCATAAAGAAGGAAATGACAATCAAAATTTGTTCAACGTAAATAGAAAATATATTGAAAAAATTTAAAAAATTCGTCTTCTAAATTGGACACTTTCCCATACTCAAATTCTGTCCGAGCTTTTAGTATGTTGTAGACTAAACCCAACCAAACTTAAAACCACCAAACAACAAAAATTTGCAAATTTGTGGGGGTAGGGATGATTTGGCGTTATAATCAACCCGTCTAGTATTGAGAGTGAAACTCAACAAGCTGGCAATTAGTTGAGACGCCTGGAAATGAAACTATTTGTGGTTTCTTACAATTTCCATGGGTTTTCTTTGTTTTCTTCGCTTTGGCTGCACTGGAGACTTTTTCCAATGAGGTAAATGAAGTTCTTCTTTTGAAAAAGATAATGTATAATTTGACGCCTTTTTTTGCTCTGTTTTGTTATCTTTCTTGCAGTACTTTCGATGACATTGGATTAGTATGATAAGTAGAATGATGAAAACAACACCCAGAATTCCAAAGAAAATTGGCTTGTTTTCATTGAACAATTTTTTCACGACACCTTCATAGAAAAGAAAACAAAACACAGAGTTGTCATTTCCCCCGGGAAAAGCGCTGAATTTACTGCAAAAGAATTGATTGCAAGGTTTTTAAAGACTATTTTTAGATTATGTATATTATCTGTTTGTACGAATAACGCATGCATTAAAGATTAAGATTTGCAGCTGAAGGCCTGAACTATATCAAGATTAAATCAAATAACGTCATTCGGTAATTATTTGGAATGACAAAATGCAATACTTTTTTTACGACTTGTTTTTCCCACATGTTAATGTCAAACAACTTACACAAACGGTTTAGTACATGCATTAGACAAATAAAAATAATCTTATGATAAATAAAGAATAACTTAGCAGAGAAAAATGCGTTATGGTGATTCATAGAAATATAATTGAAATATTCTCTGTTTTGTTGTACAGTCTTTATAGCTTTTATTTTACAATCTTTTGGAGCGTGTTGAACTTTAATCCTTTTTTCAAATTGTCCACTTCGTGCATGGGTTGACATTTTTCTGATGCAAAGACTCAGACCTTACACTAAACAGAACTTTTTCAACACTCATTGAATTTCAGCAATACAAAAGGGAACAGCTAAAAGCAAAGATTTTATGATTTGTAGAGTCAACATTTTTCTTTCTTCTGATAAAAATAATTTTGCTCAATGTAATTATCGATCAGTAAGACACAAACAGCCTATAAATGTGAAAAATATGTTTGATAATATGTAATAAAATGACGTAAATGAAATGTATCGCAACTTTGTGGTCTCTGAGAACAGAAGATGCGCATTGTAATTGCACCTTTTAGGTTTTATAATGATGGGATTATGGAAAACCATTGTTGTGATGCTTTAATATATAAGAATAAGCATAAACATACAACTAATAAAAAGCTGTTGCTCTTGACATCAAACTGTTTTTGAAAAATATGTAGTGTTGAAATAAGGTCGAGGTCGACATTAAATTAAATAGCAAATGAGCATAAGATATACATGAATATTTCTTTTGTTTTGTATAAATTACAGATCGATCCTATATTATATATTAGCTACTTGGCTAATCAGTTGGTAAATAAATAAAAATTTTTCGGAACTGAGCAAAATCTTTCCCTAATCCTCCACTTTATTGAACAGGAAATTTTCGACAGAATCGTAGTAGACACTGGAATTGAGATAATGATAATTACTTTTTTGAAATCTCCTCGTAGACATTAGTTGAAATATACAAATAATCTTTATATTATCTTCTTTCTGTAATGTCCTTCATTTTAAAGATTGGCGAAAATCAATTTTTTTCCCATTTTCAATGAACAGCCGTAAGCCATTCTTTTCAATCTTTATAAACACTTGCTGTTTTATTAAATTTAGTTGATCTTAGAAATCCTTATTATATATGTTTTAATCAAGAATAAGAGCACTTTAATTTCAAAGTAAAAATTCTTGAAATTCTGTAAAAATAGTATATTTACCTTTATTAGGGACTTGTGTCGTCGTGGAATAAGCTGTTTCTACTTTCCAATGATACAATGTCGGGGTTTTATGGCGAAAATAATGATTTCCATTGACTGTGTAAAACATCCTGCTATAGTTAACTTTTTGTCCTTCCATTCTCTTCCAAAAAAGGGCTGTGTATCTTTAAAAAATTTTTAGACTCGTCAATTTACGCCAAAAATGAAACAATTTCAATTCCAGATTGTATCGCTTTCCATCATAAACATTGTCTAGACGTTAATGGGTAAAAATTTATCCTTTCACATAAATGAATCTTTGATAAAACATGAAATAAAGACTAACATAGACCATAAAAACGTTCACTCGTCAACTGTTCTCTTCAATAATCAGCTGTGAGTAAAATTTTTTGAAAAATTGCCCAACCGAAGGTAGTTGAGATCTATTTAACTTGAATATTAATGATGTACAGCTGATAATAAAATAATAACAAAAATGCAAATGTCAACCAATAAATTTGTGCCGTGCTTGACAACATAGTCTTGCATTAAGTATTTAAATAAGAAATTAAATGAGAAGCGAAATCTCAAGTTAAGAAAAAGATTAAAGTTTGACTTCAAAGTATGTTTTTTTGACCAATTGAAAAAGAAAAAGAAAGCCAGAAATCAGCTATTTTGAGAAGTACTGTATTAACTTTCATTTTAATGCACATTTGTGCTTTCATACAAACATAAATCCCACTAAGAGTAAAATATAATTGACCAAAATTATTTATGGCTGTGTGGGCAATTTTTTGGAATAGCTTTTTGAGAACTTTAAATTTGATAGATAACAGATGCATTGCCCTGCATCCGGACCCCAGTTGCATCTAATTTATTTACCATAAGCTACACTTATAGTAGCCATTGAAATCGCTGATGTGTTGTTATGTGTCAGTTACAGAATTTAACCTTTTTTATCGCTGCATTTAGAAACATAAAGAGAAAATAAGCATTGTATTGTACAACGGTTACTAAAGGTCACTAAAATTTTAAAGGAACACAAAATACAAGATTCCTCGACGTATAATGAATGATAATGTATTGCACTTTCAACAAAACATAAATAAGTGATTATCTTTAATGATGATGAGTTTTAATTGATCACTCTATATTCAGTGTTGTGATCATAACTTCACAAATCCAAAATTCACAATATCGATTGTCATATTCTCAGGCAAAATTTTATTGGTCATGTGATAAACTCTTACTTCATGAATGTAACGATATATTCTTATATAATATATAAACAAGAATACTTATATTACTCGTTCATCTGAACTACATTACTATGTGAAGGCCCATTTGAAGTCTACGAACAAAGCTACTACATCAAGGTAAGTTTACTTATGGATAGACACTGTTTTATGGTTGGGGTGGGGTCCGTCCATTAACTCCATTTGAAGGCTAGTGTCAACGTGTACATGATCAGACCCGTCGGAAGCGGAAGTATGTGGGTAGACTGTAGCTCCACAAACAGCCCCCCAATAATAATTTACTGTTAAAATTTAAAATTTCTCCCCAAACTCCTTCAAAACGTAGCCACAAATTTGCACCACCACCCCTCCCCAATCTTAAATTATTACGGAGTTTTGACGGACGACAGTCCACTGTTTTTTGGAATACATTAGAGAGATTTAGCAAACACGACGTATCGTCTAAGACGCCGTGAAAATGGCGTAAATGTGGCGTGGACCCAACCATATATGGGAATATCACGCAATTTTTACGCCATTTTCACGACGTCTCAGACGATACGTCGTGTTTGCTAAATCTCTCTAAAGTAACGTGTTGGCTATAGTATTGTAAGCATTACTTCTCAGCTGTAGTGGCACAATCAATTTAATACAAAATTTCAGCATTTGAAAAATCAAAATTATTGAAATTGAAATCAGCGATTGAATAGATATATTATTTTCATCAAAATTCAAAATGAGGCAGCACCACAACTTCAATTTTCTACTGACCAGGGCTCATATAGTACCACATTGCACTGCGTTGTACAACATCGTTGTTGAGCAAAGCCATTGAGTAAAACTAGCTTCAAGTATTCCGTGCTCAAAGTCTGAAATACAAGTGAAGGATTTTAATTTGTACATTTAAAAATTTTTGAATAAGCGTGCAGCCTCTCCGCCTTGCACTCACTGTGTCTGTGCTGTCGGTGTTTACGGTGATTACCTCCCCCCCCCGACATATCGCTTCAGTTGATTTATAGTTCATTGCCCAGAGCCCGGGACATTTAAAGTTGTGCGAAAGAATTTACCATTAAACGAATTATGAAACGAGACACAAATATCTTTTTCCAATTTCCATCGAATCATTTTCTTTGAAGAGTACAAAACATCTCATGAGCTTTGCAGCTGCCATTGAACCTGAGCAAAAACGATCAAAGATATCTGAAAATTTGCGACAGGATAAAAGTAACTGCTCAACAGACGACTTTGAAAATGCAAGTTCAAAACGATTTTCGAAAGTTGTGACCTTAAAAACAGATGACTCAAAGCACATTCATGATTCATTTTGCGATAAACTTCAGAAAGCTCACATTGAAGAAATAGGAAACGCTCTCAATGTTAGACGGAAAGGGAAGAGAAGAACTTTGTGTTCATTTAAAGAAAAAAATGACCCAATGAAAGGAAATGTTAAAAGTATAAAAGAACCATTTTCTTTAACAAGTGACAAAGAAGACAATGGTGACGAAATTAAGAAAGGATGCTTACCTCGGATGGTATCCAGCCAAGATTCTTTCACTGACCTTTTTGCCTCCCCAATAACTCCAAAAATTACTGAACAAAGCTATGAACGAAATGATCTTTTACAAAATCCGGAATCTGATATTGCTAGGTTTTCTGGCTTTTTTGATGAAGATGATGATGTAACATTAGCAAACTTGGATCTAAGTGACATAATTTCCTCTCATCATGATAATGAAAGCAAGGAAGATCATGTAAATAATATCAAGTTCCATGGAAAAGATTGTTGTATTATGGAAAAAAGGGTCACTGCTGACTCAACTCTTCAAAACTTGAACGAGCAAGGAGTAGACATGTTTTATGGTTTACCTCAACAAGTTGGAAACCTTATAAAAAAGCATAAAGGAATTGAAAAGCTTTATGGTATGTAAACATTTCTCTAATGGCAAAGCTTAATTTATTTTATTCACACTGTTTATTACTGTGAAGATCTAAAATTGTATTTGTTGAGTTGTACATACATAATTTGCTATTTCTTAACCAATTGAGTCATATTGAAAACATACAAAGAGTTATTTTGCTTCTGGTGAAGTCTATTTCGTACAAACAGGTTAATACATTAAGTCAGTCAAAGATGACTATAAAAGAAAGAAGTAAGTTTCAATAACATGACTATGATTTCCATTGGATCTATGTTTATTCAGAATACATTGCAGCACTTAATTTTAAATTCACAATTGTTTTGCAATAATTCTGTTGGCTAAAACTTTCTAAAGAATATTTTGAAGCCAAAATTTCACCCATAGAATTGTTTAATAAGGTATTTTAAATTTAAAATATAATTTATTTATTGTATTCTGATCGACTTTCCCTAGATCTGCTCCAAACATCTTGTACATCACTCTATTAACATGTGTTGTACCATTTACACTTTATTTAGACTGACTAGTGACTACCAATGCGGTGCTTGCAAACATAATAAAAACATACAAAATGCATAGTATATACAAAATATTAAGAATGTACAATCAATTAAGCTAAAACAGCTGTCAAACTATAAATTTCACGGTGCCTCAAGTCAAACCCTCAAAAAGTCTGACATGTGAATGACATAATGACACCCAAGGGAGCCACCAAACTATATTCCAAACTAGACTGACCAAATGACTGTTTACAAAAACTAGAGCACCCCCTTAATTCAAAATCATCCGGGATCCATCCCTTATGTGTGCATCATAATTTGATGAACCCAGGAATTGACCATTTTTATTAGCAATTACACAATTTATTTGATGTTTAAAACAAAGTACAAGATTTGTGTGAAAAGGTATTTTATGGACTTTTATGGTTGGGGGTTTGATGCCAGTAACAATCCAAGCAAATCATTCAAGCTATGTATGTATGTAGTATTATCTAAACATTTTATGAAAATTTACAATGGAGCTATGTATCAAAGGTATTAATTGTTTTATGCATATTCTTAGACTGGCAAGATGATTGTTTGTGTTTACCTGCTTTGAAGAATCGAAAAAATTTGATATATTCTTTACCGACAAGTGGTGGAAAAACATTGGTGGCTGAGATACTTATAATGAAAGAATTGCTACTTCATAACAAAGATGCCCTCCTTGTTTTACCTTATGTATCCATTGTTCAAGAAAAGGTTTATGCTATAATTTGTCATCATTAACTAGCATACTTAAGTGTACTTAACATATATCTCATGTATAGCATATGACATTTGGGAGCTGCTGCAGAGCCACAAGCTTCACATTTATTACTTGTATACACAACTAATACAGCTACCATTAATTACATTGCCCAAACAGGCCTTACTACTTTAAGTAGCAAAAACTTAACAGTCTTGAATACAAAATTACACATGTACGTATGTCTATGGTAATCTATTTTGTGAGCTGGTGGGAATCTGGTCAAGGTATGACTCAGCAAAATGCTTGATATATGTAACCTACACCACCTGCCACACTGATTCACCATCAGGCTCCCAAGAGTGTGTGAGGAAAAATTTTCCAACTCCTAAAGTCGATGTAAAATAATAGTTCTTTATGCTGTTGCTTAACTTATATTGCATCATTCAGTGGTTATATTTAGGTGTGTATGTGTTTGACCTTTTAGCATTTAGTGCTTAGCAACTTGCATCTATTTACATAGTGAAATATCATCACATACTTGAATTTTTTTGTACAATCATGTTCAGTTAATGTTTGAAGCAAACTGGTAATAGATATTTTGCATTTTTATTTAAGGTAAGAGATTTGTCCCTGTTTGCCGTTGATTTGGAATTTCTTGTAGAAGAATATGCTGCAAGTAAAGGAAAGTTTCCCCCTCGGAAGAGAAGAAAAAAGAAATCTCTTTATGTTGCAACTATTGAAAAGGTTTTTTTTCAAAATTAATCTTTTTCTCCAGTTCAGTTGCAATGTGTAGTTGTACAGTATTATTTGAATTTGTCACTCAAATGTTTGGAGCTCTTTGGTGGTATAAATTCATTCACCTTTAACACTAATTAATATGAAGGTGAATAAAGCTATGTCATAGGATTGAAATACATGAAATACAGTATTTTGAAGTGATACTCAACTTTTTATTTTTACTTATTAATGAAAGTTTGACAAAAATTTTGTTATGTCACTTGTAGTAGAACAAACTTTATTACTCTATTTCATGAAATGTACCAATTTCCATTTCACATATCAACAGATATTTATTTTATGCAATATTGCTTTGCTTTTTGATAGATAAAATTAAGCACGAGATGCATACCAATACCATTATAGAAAGACGTCCTTTTATCCACTGTACGCACGTAGGATTGTGATTGAGTAGTTTTGTGACTATTCTTTTATGTTTAAGGCGAATGGCTTGGTGAACAGTTTGATTGAGGAAAATCGAATATCTGAACTGGGATTGATTGTTGTAGATGAGGTAATACCACCTTTCCTGCTTTATCTACATATGTCTACGTATGCACATATTATGACGTGCAGGATTTCAAAATCTTTCTCCCCACATACGAACTCATTCCTTATTTTGTCGTTCTTAGTAACTCCAATTTCTCATCTAACTATTCTCAACTCTGTCACTTCTATCCTCTGCACTTGTTTAGCAGTCGCTGTCGCTGTTTTCATACCTTCATTGTTAGTCAACAACACATTTATAAGTCTTCCCTTTCACTTAAGCTGTCAGTTTTTTTACGAATTGATTATACTTATTCGTGATGAAAAGAAATGTCAGAAGTCTCCACATCTTTTGTCCAATACTTTTGTCGACAGAGGACATTACGTATATATGCGTTATATTTACACTAACGTACACACGTAAACTATCTTTGATTATTATGAAGACCAATTAAAATACTTAAGAGATGATGACCGCTGGTGCTCTTCAAATCTTGTGGCTGGACCAATTAGGACGGTTTTGACAGCAACTTCAGCACGACTGTTGATTGATAATTGGTTTCGACGAAAAATATATGTATAGACAGTAGACCGTGTATATGTTCGGCAATACTGCACAATAGCTATGCTGTTTGAAATAATAACAGTTGCATTTAGTTTATTTGGAGAAAGGAATGTACACGTGTATGAATAAAGCCACGTTTTGTAAAACGTCATTTAGCATATTTTTTTGGTTTTATTTTAGTATTTTTGACGTAAACATGAAAGTTTTCGCTTTAAAATTAAAAGTTATGATATCGCTTTATGGGCGTGTGTTCGTACCTTAAGCTATATCACTGTATATTTGTGTTATTTTTCTAGCTTCATATGATTGGCGAAGGTGGCCATAGAGGAGCAACATTAGAAATGTGTCTTACCAAAGTCTTATTTTGTTCTTGTAAGTAGACATTTTTTATTGTTTTTGTATCAGTGTCACGTATGTATTGTTAAGAATTGTACTTAATAATTTAGGTACGACCCAAATAGTTGGGATGAGTGCCACGTTAAGCAACATCTCTGATCTTCAAAAATTTCTGAATGCTGAAAAATATATCAATGACTTCAGACCTGTGAGTTAACTAATTAAAGTTCCTTTTGTGCTCTAGGGGAAATCCTGATCAATGTTTCCGTTATTTTATTTACATTTACATTTTCGATATTTTGACAGAACTTTGACAAGCGTTTTTGACATTTAAATGAGCTTGAAATATTTGATTAAACTTTGCACCTATACCATGCATCATTAACCGAATGCAAGATCTTTACCAAGTAATGCTAGAGCGAGATCTTTTTGTACTGATTGAACTTGCAAGGTGAGGTTTGTACTAAAAGCTAAAGGTTCAATATTTCTCCGTAAAGACGGAGCAAGCGAGGTTAATGAAAAGTTTAATATGTTCTTTTGCGAATTGCTTTAAGATATATGTTTACTTGTTTTAATGTTGAGAACTCTGATTTCGGTGCATTGCGGGAAAGAAACTGACTCCTAATCAAAACGTGCAATGTCACCTAAATTGACGCTTGCCCCCGGCTAATACCGTTGTTTAACTTTAAGGTTGAACTAAAAGAATACATTAAAATTAAAGATGAAATTTATGAAGTAAAGAATGATATTATTGGCCGTAATGAAGAGATCCCCTTAAAACGCTCACGCAAAGTGAAGCACAAGGTAACCATATTTTACATACTTCATGCACACTTAGCTTTCAAAAAAGGTGTTCATCATATGTACATAATTGTAGCCAATGTGAAATGCTACATACTTCAGAGTTTACTCTGGTGGCTAGTTGTGTAGCCAATTGTGTAAGTCAGGTCGCAGTTTGAGTTCATGCTGTGTAAAATTCCAAAGAGAGCACGAAAATGTTCGCGTATTAGGACTAAATGCACTGGGTAGCTACGCCACTGGTACCTACTATACCCCAGGTACCTACTATACCCCAGGTACCTACTATACCCCAGGTACCAATAGTTTTCATCATGTGTGTGGAAGCAGGAATGCGCTGAGAGGAATCAAAACTATTAACATTACAATCTTTAGTCGCGATTAATACTAAATGTAGTAAGTGCATCGAAGGTTATTTGAGTTTGGCATTTTTCCTTGATCATAAATATTTTTAGAAATCATTGTCGTATTGTAGATTTTGTAACATTTGAATGTCGGTTGTGTATTCATTTTCGAACTGTGTTTTATACGAAACCCAAGCAGTATTGTGTACAGTGGTACAGTGTTGTATGAACAATTCAAAAAAAGGGAGGGGGGGGGAAGAAAATCGCTGAAACATAAACCGTGGTAATAAGTGGTTATTTTGACTATAGTTTGCCTTTATTTAAAATGCGTTCATTTGTTCCGAAGTTAATAGTACATGAACCAAAATTAAATGGAATTGAAATAAATGTATGAAACATGTTATGGTTGATTCAAATAACGAGTGTAAGTCAGTGGGTTTTTTTAAACTTTGCACTATCCTTGGATCCCTTGTTATTGTAACGTGATGGCTTTTATGATGTCGACTTTCAAGATCGATTTCCAAACATTTTTTCTGTTAGGCAACCGATAAGAAAATCCTCTTTAACGATCCTGATCATCTTAGCGTTCTGGTGCAAGAAGTCATTCCTAATTATTCCTGTTTGTTATTTTGTCCTACTAAACAGAACTGTGAAAATGTTGCCAAGCTACTGGCATCATCTCTGTCAAGGTATGGAATTTATTTGTTCATATTTACGTTGCATAACTTACAAAAAAATGCTTACCTTAATTATATTTGAACTCTTAAGTTTAATTTGAACTGATTTGTTAGTGATTTTTTAATTGCTTATGATAGAAACATAATATCGATAAGTTTTTCATGAAATTACAGCACCAATGATTTTCACAATAACAACATTGTCTACTTTTAACGCAATGCAATGCTCATCAATCGTTGAATAACCTGGTATATATATGGGTTTTTTTGATGTTTTTCATGTGAAAACCAGTCGTTGTTTGATGTTTGAATTTCTTCGCTACTTTTGACCCATTTGCTTCGTTTTATTTAGTAACTTTCATTTGTGTTCCAGCAACCGCATTCGTTGTTTGCATCGCTTTTGAAATTGTTCTGAGAAAAATTATATTTACAACGATTTCATTCAAAATCACGCTTATTTTTGTTCGAATTTACCGGCTTTGTTTTGTAGAGAATTGAAGAAAGTAAAAGTAAAAGAAAAATGGGACTTAATATATTCATTGAAGAATGTTACTGATGGTATGTGTGATGTTTTACGTCGAGTTATTCCTTACGGTATTGCCTATCATCATGGTGGTTTAACTATGGATGAAAGAAAGTTAATTGAAGAAGCTTACGCTCGAGGAACTCTTTGTGTTTTGACATGTACATCAACATTGGCTGCCGGGGTCAATTTGCCTGCAAAAAGGTTAGGAATTACAAACGCTTTCTTTTGTTAGAGCAAAAAGTAAAGATACGTTATTATTGTGAAGGAAAAGCCGTAGTTTTAAGGAGGCAGAGTGAGTGGGAAAGACGCGTTTATACCTTGTGCAATTAGGAAACGAAGGAAAAACTACTTTTCATTTTAGTCCATGCCTTCGTATCTCTGGTTTCTTTTAAGTCGTGGATGTATTGTGATATGTTTTTCCTGAGCCTATCTTTGCATTGCATTTATATAGCAGCAAATGTTCAACTTAAAAAAAACTAATCATCATGAAAGGCTGTAAACATAATAAACATAATGTGTTTGGATAAATGATGTACGTATTCTAGAGTAATCTTGCGAAGTCCTTACGTGGGATGGAATGTAATGACTCGAAGTCAGTACAAACAGATGATTGGTCGTGCTGGACGAGCTGGAATTGACACATCAGGAGAAAGTATTATGCTTGTGGAGGAAAAAGACAAGAATAAGGTGATGATATTTTCTTTTTAGCCATATATAAATTTAGATGTACATTTCTGTTTTGTTCTGCTTTAAATGCATGTTTGTACGCTATATACACACCTATACATTGTTTTAGTTTTTCCTTGAATAAGGCAGTGTGTGAAAATACCTATTCGCCACTTCAAGATATAGTGCTCAGTACTCTCATACACAAAAGAAGAAGTTTTATTTTGAAACTATTGTATTTTCAGTGACTTTTTTCTTTTTTCAAAAAGTAACTTTCATAAAGTTTGTACGTGATGTTTTTACACATTCGTCTATAAATCTTTTTTTGCTAAATTTGTTTTTGCGGAGATCATTGAAGTATTGTTGCTGACTTCCCCCCCCCCTCCCTTCTTCCAGTAGTCAAACACTGTGATTTATTTATGGTATATTGTCAATACATTTAATATAATCATAACTTTTATTTTCAAATGGCATTCTTTTTACACAGACTTTCAGCAACATACCTATCGCATATTGCATCACTTGCATTAGTTGATTCCAATTTGCGCATTATAAATTTAAGCTTTATCGTTGGATATCAGTTTTTAATTTTGTTTTATTCACATAACATATTTAGAGATAGACATGTGCCATCCTTATCAGAGGGACAACATCAAGCTCTGTGTTGTTCTTTACTGGGTATGGTAGAGTAATATATGTGTCCTTGTTTCCTGTCCAGACGTACTTGAGTAATTACTATGGACCTCATCTTGGGCAGACATGAATATTTTTTAATTATTTTAAATTCTCTGTTATGGAACCATTATCTTTGTTGTTTATTGAAGTTAAAGGTTTGCAAACTTTAACTTTGTCTTTGTCATTTTGTGTCATTTTAGGGGTTGCAATTGATCAATGCTGCTTTGGATTCATGTTACAGTAGTTTGTTTCATACTGATGGAAAAGGTTTAAGATCTTTAGTGTTGTCATTAATTGGACTGAAGGTGTGTAGATTACAGTCCCTTGTCTACAACTAGCCATTATATTCTTTGGAGGTGAAGATTTTTTATTCAGAGTAACGCGGGGCTTTTCACAATATTAACAATATTTTCATACATATTTGCAACTCTTCATGCCTTATGTAAAATTTACCATCGAAGTTTAGATTATTCCTTTTTACTAACAGTACAAAGTACAATTGTAGCATGTTAGTTCCATTAAGGCTATGATTAGGCGGCTAGCAGTATCGACAAAATGCAATTGCTGTCGGCTATTTCTTTTGTGGACAATGTAGCTGGCATATTTTTGTCATTACTTATAGTGGCCAGTCTTGCGTTAGTCAATATAATTTATGGCAGCTTGTGGTAGTTGACGTACCCTGGATCACTGACCTTTTGTATCGTATTTGTCGTCAGCTTGTATGCATCGCTTTCGATGTGCAGGTTATAGTGAGTTTGTGCGTTTGTTTTCTAATTATTGAGTTGTCTGTTCAACGATTTAACAATACAGTTAAACATATTACTCGCATACTACCGTACATGATGTCATGTAGCTAACCTCGTGAAAAAGAAAAGTTATACTTTTTTGATTTATCAAGTTGATTTTCGTACGTACCATGTGTACAATGATGTTGGTTATTTGAAACTTGAAGCCCATTTAACCATAGAAGCAAAGTTTGATGATTATTATTCACCAGAAACTCAATGATTTAGTTACCTATTAATTTTCGTCTTCAGCTTTTTAGTTTGTCGCCAATTTTTAACTTTTTTTAGATTTGTAACTCAATAGAAAGCATAAATTTATTCATCACAAAAACTTTGTTTGCTGTTCAAAATGATGATAAAAAAACGTTACTTGAGAAAGTCGAGGAAAACATCGAAAACTTGATAAATATAAAACTTATAAAAAAGAAAGAAGTGGTCGAAAATAATAAAATGGCGTTGAATGTGGAAGCTACGCCTTTGGGAAGAGCAACATTTAAAGGTATTTTGCTGATTTTTTACATGTTGTTTTCCACATTTTGTGATGTTCAACTTGGAAATATAGCATTTTTATATTCATAATCACCGTACATGCGAACACCAAACTATAAAACTATATCTGACAAAGCATTTTTATAAATATTTGATTGTAGGCTGTGTCGATGTCGATCGAAGTCCATTTATTTACGATGAAATAAAACGAGCTCAAGAAAACTTGGTATTAACCAATGATCTTCATCTTCTATATCTTGTTACTACTCCCGATATGTTTAATGATATCCAACCAGATTGGCTGACGTACCTTACTCAGGTGATGCAAGTTCACTCATGTATCATTAAGTAGACCACGAGGATTTTGTCTGTAGTTATTAGCTATGGAATGTATATAAATATTTTCTTTTAATGGGGCTTCGATATAGTTTTCACGATATTATTTTTAATGTATTATTTTATAAAATAAACACAATGAAACGCGTGCGCTGATTGGTCCAGAGCTGAGTTTTCATTAGCCAGTGCAAAGCACATCTGAGCTCAACCAATCAAATCAATCTATAAAATCAATCATTCAAAGAGAATTTGCAAATCGATCATGAATACATTTTACAAGAAAAATTAAAATGTTTGTCTTTTTCGCCTTATTGTTATTTTATAAAAGAAATAAAACATGTTTTTCGTGTTTGCACTGGCTTATGCAAACCTCGGAGACGTTTGTGAGAACTCTCGAGCATGTGCAATCCTCGATCTTCGGTCTCGGGCTTGCACTGATCTGCTCTCGAGTTCTCCCAAAGATCTCCTCGGTTTGTATAAGCCTGTGCAAACACAATAAACATCTTTTATTTCTTAATTGTTTTTAATTTTTGTACACAATTTCGAAATAACGATTCGCTATATTCAAGAATGATTGACTTAAATTCCTAGCAAATAATTCGTTAGACTGTTCGACTGATCAACAAGTTTTCAAACCTTCCCAAACCGTAAAAAATACACTAAACATTTAAATGCAAAATACATTATGATGAAAAACTGTCCAACGAACCATCAGATGTTGGAAAAAAGGCATTTTAAATAATTGTTGATTTGTGGACGTTACGTAGTGGTAAAGTTTAACCGTTATTTCAGGCTATTCTGTTGTGACAAATTTACGAATCATTTTCTCAGATTTATTTCGAACCCTGTATTTTATGATTCCAGTACAGCACATAAAGTTTTACAATTAAGTTTACAATTTAACGTAAACTGTGCATTTTTACTGTGTCAGAAAAACATAAAGTATTTATATTGAATGCTTTTGAGTGCAGAAAGGATATTTTCGTGATGTGAATGCTTTGTATAGTAAGCTGAAATATGTTCATCATTCCAGGTTTCTAAATTAAACAGTGTCGAGCAGAAGGCGTCCGAATTCATTGGAATAACGGAAGGATATCTTTCTAGACAAGTTCTTTATAACGGACGAAGAAAGGTCCTGCACAGTAATGATGAGTAAAATAAGTGATTACAGATTTTCATGCTTTAACATTGCCGTAATGTATGTTAGCTTTCAATTGCTATTAAATCAAGTTGTGATTTGATTTAATTTTCTCGTAGAGTGAACACGAAGCATCTGTTGTAAAGAGATTTTACTTGACGTTAATGTTATACAAGATTATTAACGAACACAGTATCTGGGAAGTGGCAAAAAAGTTTGGACAATCTCGAGGCTTCATCCAAAGTTTATTTACGTCATCGACTTCATTTGCATCTTGCTTGGTGCATTTTACAAACGTAATTTTTCATTTTAATAAAGTCTTCTGTCAATTCACACACTTAACTGCTTTGGTACGTACAAAATCTAACTTTAGAGTGATTCCCAAGGAATTAGGTATCCAACTCCATATTTATTTTGGAATGCTGCATTTTTGTGCTTTTTTGCTACCCAAAAAATGCTCGGTCATAAGTTCTTGTTGAGTTTGTGTCTATATGTAAATGAAGGAAAAACTCGTTGGTTGATAACATTTAAATGTTGAGAACAGTTTTATACATGGACGAATAGTGAAACTATTGCGAACAAAAATGTCATAATGTGACTGTACGCAATCCCGAAACTTGTTAGTCGTGTCTATTTCGTTTATTAGCGAAAAATGTTTTGGTTTTGGAAGGTTCATCAATCATGTGATTACGTTATGAAAACGTTCATTAAACTTTCGTTGTGTTGTGCAGTATGACATGTTTTTATTTCATTGCAGTTTTCCTTTTCTTTTTAAGGAACTTCCCGAGTTTCATAATATCATGCTTCTATTGCAAACAATCGTAGACAAGCTGTCATACACAACAATACTTGAACTAGTTCCGCTCATGCAAATACCTGGAGTGAAAAAGGTTTGTATGCTTGAATGATAATGTTTCAATAATAAAAGTTTTCAAAATCCAAATGACGTATCTTTTGATGGTTGATCAGATTTATTATTTTTTGAGGAGACTCGCTTCTTTTCTTGAATTGCTTTTATAAGTTTTTGTTCATCCTGTTGTTGTATTCTTCAACATATAAATTTTGTAGAATCGTGCTAAACAGTTATATACGGCTGGCTACCATAATCTACGAACAGTTGCCAATGCCAACCCACAAAATTTAATGAAAGAAATTGAGCATTTACACAAAACTCAAGCAAACCTTTTGGTGTCGGCTGCAAAGGTACACCTTGAACTATATGAGAAATAGACTGGAGACTGGAATGAATATATCATTCCAATAAATACTTTATGTTAGTATGAAGGTTTAAGATTTAATTTCGTATTTTATCGTGACAGATGATTTTGCTGGAGAAGGCTGAAGCTCTACAAGATGAGGCAGCGGAACTTATAGGAACAACTTGATGTACGTAAACATCATTTCATGCGAAATGCTTATGATCTGTTTCGAATCATTGGTTGTTTGTGGAAAGATAATGATTTATGGTGAATTCATGTTGTTAGCCAAATGTCCTACTGGAGAACATGATATTGAGGGAAGTACTATTTAAAGGATTTGGCTTACCTTTAGGAAATGGAAATGAGCGATACCTTTCATCAACGCATAGATTTTAAAATTCAGTTTGAATTAATTATAAAATATGTTGATGTAAAAGTGCAACGTTAATTTCTTTTTTCTTTAAATTTTTCATTACACGCGAACTGATAAAATGCAGATTTTTGAAAAAATTCAAGTGAACAAGCCTGCTTCTACGGTGAGCCAAGTACGTATCATTGATCAGAACTGAACTTCTCGATATTCTCAAATACTAATTCTAAACTGCGCAAGCTTATTTTACTCATATCAACATCAGTTATGTTATTGTTAAAATGTTTTGTGAAAGTAATGAAGAAATTCTAAATTTACAAACCATGACCAAACTTATGCGTAGCTGCGTTACTGCATTGTGTGTACTTTCTTGTGTCAAAGAACTATAGAAGCGCTGTGAATTTTTTCTACATTGATGTGTTGCGCGAAATTTTCAATGTTGGACCACCGTCAAAATATTGTATACATGTCCTTTATTTTCTTTTTCTGAAAAATAATTCACGATAACTAGCTCTCTAGTAAAAAATATGTAAATATTTTTTGTTTTCGCTGCGTCGCCTAAGCGGTGTCTTGCTGATGAAAAAGAAATATGTCATTTACTTCGTTTATTGTTTTTTGCCAGACGAAAAATTACTTTCACCCGGTCTGACAATCGTGCTTAGGGGTCTGAGTTTTGATTTTGATATACTATAAAATGTCTGCACTTCCCCGTCTGATAAAACTCACGTAAATTTTTTTATCTGCAATCGCCTCAATCGTGCAAATTTTTCGGAACGCCATCTCTTTAGAGAAACAATGAACTTTCTGATCTTGCTTATCGCCATATTATTGTGAATGTGACATTAAATTGTGATGCATTGATCGTTTAACGCATGGATTGTTTAACATGTAAACTTAGCAGGTTTTTCAAACTTCTTTCTTCAAATACTTATAAAGATATATTGTGTATACAATATATATCTCTGTAAAATTCTATGAAGAACGAGTAAAAACGACTGGTAACGTTGAAGAGATATAAAAAGTAAAACTGTAGCAGAATAAAGCTGTTGGTGATATAGGCTATGCTAACGCAAAGCATATTGATATAAATATCAGATGCCAAATTTAAATGACAGACGGTCCCATTCATCAACAAGACGTTGAAAACGATGAAACCTCGGTGCTTTGGCATCAATTTCTACAAACTTCCTCACTTCACGGATTTCGTCAAATATTTGAAGGCGGTAGTGCAAAAATTCGTCGCATGTTGTGGTCGTTGATTCTAGTCATTGCTCTCATAATGGTTTGTGTTCATAGTGACCGTAGCATGAGGAAATATTTTGATAGACCTGTTTCAACAAATGTTCATGTGGAGTTTGTTGAAGAGATCGTATTCCCAGCTGTAACTATATGCAACTTCAATTTATTTCCATTTTATCTGATCAATGGTACTGTTGGGGAAAAGGTAAGTGGTATATGAGATATCTTTTTATGAAGGTGTTTTGACTTGGTGTGTTGTCGAGACAGTCAAAACATATTGTTAGTTTGTTTATTATTTTTACTAAGAATGAATGTGATAGCGGTTGAAACTGGCTATGCTATACTTGGCTTCGCCGTTATTATTTGTGCTTTCTTTTTCAAATATCTAAAATCATTGACTATTCAGCATCAAAAATAAAACGAATTTTTATCATGAAAAACAAAAGAAACACTTTACAACTTTTGTTCAGTTAATCTATCATCAATCCAACCTCTAAAATAAAACGTTTTATAAATTTTAGCATACTGGTTTTCAGTTTTCTACATTTCATAACAATTCGCTGCTAGATTCTCGTTGTATTTTCTTTGAAAACTTAATCTTTTGAAATCGTTTAATTTTCTTGCAGATAATGTCAATTCTAGCCCCTCAAAATCATATTGATCGACAGGACGATGTTCTTTTCGCTAGATCACCGATACCAAATTTCAATCAATACAAAAGATCTTTTACTATAAAGGATGAAATAAATGACAGTAATGTTGAAGACGTTGATACAGATATTGATGATGTTGATAGTAAACTGGAATTTGATCAGGCTTTTAACTTTGCTGACTTCGTCAAAACACATGGACACAGAATTGATCATATGATAAAGAAATGCCACTGGAGATCTGAAAGGTAAAATAACACGTGTTTGAACCTGATACGCATGTGCTAATATAAACACGTTAATATTATTATTAAGTATATTATTATAGTTGCTCAAATTTCTTGTTGCTAAAATGTTTATCAAATCATTGAACAGTCAAATATATCAAACTTGTAGTCCTAATCTTGATATAAAATACCGTCATTACAGATGTGGTCCGGAAAATTTCACAGCAGTTATAACAGAATTTGGATTGTGTTATACCTTTAATTCTGGAAAAGTCGGCCATCGTATTTTGAAAGTAAATCGAGCTGGTGTAGACTTTGCGTTGAGGCTTCAGCTAAATGTTCAGCAAGATCAATATTATGGCTCGCTGAGAGACTCTGCTGGTTTTAAAGTTATGGTCCACGATCAGGAGGAACCGGCGATGATCAACGAGTTAGGATTTGCCATCCAACCTGGAAGTCATACATTTTGTAGTTTGAAAAAAATTGTTGTAAGTGAAATTTTCTGTTTTTATGATAAAGCAAAAGGTTTATTTATAAATGGAAACGATACATTCATGTTGTTAAGCAATTATAAAAGCGAGCTTATTTAAAGCCAAGATGCAAAGATTCACGAATTCTTGATTTTTTCAAATATTACTCAGGAAATACGTTTTTTTGTAAAATTTCAATATTTCTATTTTATGAAATGATCAAACTCATTGTTTCATTTATTTGCATTTCTTCAGATAAATAATTTACCAAAGCCTTACAAAGCGGCTTGCGAAGATCTTGAGATATCTGGCTTTTCTAGATACACTAAATCAGCATGTTTGCTTGTGTGTCGTGCAAAGTTCATCATTGCTAAATGCAAATGCAGTTCGTACGATCTTCGTGGTCTTGAAGGTATGAAATGCTTCAGGCATCTGGATAAATATATCTTAAGAATTACTTTATAACTCAACAGCATTTTGGGGATGCATTAACCTGGGGCCGGTTGCACGAAGCCTAGATAGCGTTATCTATTAGATGGCAATTTTTTAAAACTTTTAGAAAACCTTTTAAAAAGAAAAAAATATAAGATTCGAACTGAGCAATCACTGAAATAAAATATTGTTTCGAAGGTTACGAAATTTCTTTGTCGCATGAAAAATATAAACACTTTTTTTACAAGTTTGATAATTATTGCTATAACAATGATTTTTTCATCAATTTTAGCCGACGAGTCTCCTTGTTTACCTCAACAAGTCAAAAACTGTGTTTGGCCGGCTATGGGTACGAATTGGTATAATTAAACTGAATTCATTGTTGTGTTCAATCAAGCTGGATCTTTTTTGCGTTTTGAAACTCCATTAGACAAGCTGCTCGTAGGTTATCCATGTATAATAATGGAAATAGAAACAGAACAGTGTTTTCGAAATCAATTTTTCCATTATGTGCATGCAATTAAGGGCAGGAAGAAATTATCTTTGACTATCGAGCTAAAAAATTGAGATCGTCGTGAATTTCTTATATCCGTTGTCTTTTATTTTGAAGAGGTTATTGCTTTTTGTATTGGTAATAGCATGGTTTCGAGTGCAATTTGGGAAAAACATGCACGAGTGGGTTTTTTAAAGACAGCGAGTGCTTGTTTTCCAAATTGCACGAGAAACCATGCTATTACTTATTAATAATATACATGAAAAAATTTCTCAATTCTGTTGAGAAATTTTTCCATGATTTTTAACTTCAGCGTACGCACATTAATTCAGCCGGCGAGTTTAATCATTGATCGACCTGCTCGTATTTTTCCATTCCCGTCGGATATTACTTTTCACAACACCATAGCTGCCGCACACGCAGCTTGAGCAAGGTATCTACTTTTAGCAGTGTTTTTATTTTCGACCAGAAACATCTTGCAAACGGTGAACTGTTAACTGCTTCGCTAAAGAAAATTTACTTAAAACTTACGCCAGCCGTTGTAATTGCTTTATATACAATAATTTAACTTTCCCGCTTTTGAAATGTTTTAATTTGATTGGCTCTTACATCATTTCTTTGTTTGACTAACCAATCAGGAGCGCATTTTTCAAAAAGAAATTGCACTGTATTTCTTCTTTTTTTTGCACTGTGTTTCACATTTTTGCACTGGTATTTACGATAAATTGCACTGCTCTTAACCAATCAGAATTGAGAAATTTTTCATGTATATTATTATAATGTTCACTATATAACTAAATTATATATGGTATTACAGAGAAATTTGGGAGCCCTGGCAAAATCTTCCTTTTGCATAGAGATTCACAAAAGCTACAAAGTTAATAATAGTTCTGTTTTTACGTACTAGAGGAATTTCGGAACGAGACGAATAACTGTGAATGTCCTGTACCATGTCATATCGCCAAGTTCCAGACTCAACTCTCGTATGCACAAATGCCAGCCAAACATTTTTCTGAAGTTTTGGCAAGAAAGCGAAATGTTCCCAAGCATATTATGAGAAATTATTTGAGGTAAACCGTTCACACAGTGAACTCTTCCTACTAAGGAAAACCTTGGAATTTGTAGGTGAATAAGTGCTTAGATATGAGGTGATCGCAGTGCCCTCACCAAAGAAAAGATCTTCTGAAAAACCAAACGTGAACGTTTGACATTCGAGGGTGCCTTACGTCGCCCATATAGTTCTTTTAAAGCAATGTCCAAAATATGTCATATGTCTTTTTTTCTAAGCAGTCATATTCTTATGGCAGCCAATTGTATGACAGTGATATATTTTGGTGATTCTGTTTTAGAATTTTCATATTATTTTTAATTTCACACAAGAAACTTATCGTTGTCAATTGATGCCAATATTTTGGGATGTAAGCCGCACCCCCTTGCGTACCCTAGGTTGTTGTAGAAGTCGCCCATTGTTATTTTTCAAAGAACTTTAATTTTTTTAGGGATAATTTTTTAAACTTCGATATTTATTTCGAGGAAATGAGCGTTGAGCAAATAACTCAACGACCTGCATACGACCAGGGAAGTCTTTTTGGTATGTAAACAAAATACTCTTGTGGCAAGACACGTCTTAAACTTTTTTCTATTCTTTATCTCTGAATCAATGAAAGTAAACCCTAAATTCCATAAATGTAATGATGCTGCACACAACCAACATTGATAATCTAAATAAGTAACTCTAAAAACTCTATTATATAAAACACGTAAAGTATTATAATTGATAGTAACTACATTCAACAAGTGGTCCCCTGTTATGGGAAGTTATTGTAAACTAGAATCGACAAGACGTCAGATTTTAAAATGGCTGCCCTATTAAATAGAAAGGATTTTCAAATATTTCCCAAAATAATTTTACATTATTCTTTTTATGCTTTTAGGTGACATAGGTGGTCAGGTTGGACTGTTTCTTGGTGCTAGCATATTGACAATGTTAGAATTTATTGATTTAGTATCAAGAATTCTTGGTCGAAAACTTAAGAAAAGACTCCATTCGACACACGAAGCTTAGCAAAGTATTATTAAATAATTTTTAAAAGTTTTTCATATTGAATCGATTATATTCTGTAACTTAAATTAAGATATTTTAGTAACGCGATATAAGGTTCTTTTTACAATAACCTTGTGAACAATGACATCTAGAATGGGCAAGCATTTTTTGAATGCATGATTTTAGTTTATTTGGTCGGATAATGTAACAAAATGTGAGCTTTTGTTTTCTTTGGACCTCACTGGTGGACCATAGACCTATAGCTGTACTACAGCTTAAAAATTTGTGTATCAAAACTACTTCGAAAATTTTAGTCATTCTGTCATGCTCTCGTCATTGTTATTACGTTCTCCTGAACTTTTGCGTTTTGTTATTGAAAGGATTGTACCACTGAACACATGCTATCCTGGATGGATGAAGACTGTATAAAAACAAACATTTTGTGGATGTAATAAGCAAAATCTGCTTTTTGCTGTTTATATTATGACTATATTCATTGTATTTTTTGTCACAACTTATATTGACATGGAAAAAATATTCAAGATTTTTAATTGTGTAATGGGTGCTAGAAACCGTAAATAAAATTGAGTTGATAATCTGATTAATTTTATATTTTTTCCGTAACTGGCATAAGCTACTTGCCGTTCCCGAAGCAAGTTTGTTTTCCTGGTAATTGGTTTTTGTCAGTCATTTCAATGGGCAATTTATGAAGAGCTGCCGATTTTCATTTTATTACAGAATTTTGATTTCTAAAAATTGATCAACATTCATGCTTCTGATTGGTTGTCCAATTTTATCTATTGAATCATTGAACCATTGATATCGTGTTATGTAACTATACGAATAAAAAAAATTATGTGCTATAATATTTTGGAAAGATCATTAAAACTTTGAAAGGAATTGTCAAACAAATATTAATTTTGCGAACGTACGATGTAAAACAAAACAAATATGCTTTCCAATGTTTCATTTTGAAAAGTAAATTGAATGGAATTGTTCTTTGTTACAGGTCATGAAGGTCAGTGGTTGAGACTATTCAAATATGGCCGCTGGTTCGATTTGCCCTGGAAATCAACCAAAGCTTGGGGCCGGTTCTCGTGTCTCTTGCACTAGTTTGAACGGAGAAAAAGTTGAAGGAGAAGTACTTGCTTATGATGGTGAACATAAAATCCTTGTATTAAGTATCCTTTTCCTTAAATGTAGTATGACTTCATGTCTGTGTTTATAAACTGCCGAGTGTTGCTGTTGACTAAGGACCGAACTTGTTTTCATTATAAATAATGCTTGTGTACTTATTACAAATAATAGATATTGGGAAATTTCAAGATAAATAACATGAAAATGGGACGTTCTGTTTTGAAAATGTTTCTTGCAAATTATATGAAGCAGCGTATACTTGAGGAAACATATTGGTTGGCGAGGTTATTCATTGTTTTTGAAATTCCTTAACATTACCTTTTAGAAATTCCAAGCGGAGAGAAAGGAAAATGCAATATAAATTTTTTTAACACAGAAATACTAAGTGATTTTAAAATTTTGGAAGAGGCTAAAAAAAGCCCTAGCCCTTTGCCAGCACTAGACATGAGCAAAATAGCCCAGCGCACAGAGCAAAATCTGGCACAAAGACAAAGGCAATTGCAGAGAATTGGAAATGATGTTACTCCAATGGCTCAAAAATTGTTTGATCATGTTTCAAAACAGTATGTATAATTTTTGCTTTATGTTTGTCTTTTGGCACTAAATTGAAACTGTCTGTTGTTGTTTAGGTACAACAATTGTTGTTGGGATGGTAAAAATATTGTTGTAAAAGATGCTGATGTGAAAATAATACCACCCTATGAACTTGAAAATGTTGTTGGAGATACCAAAGGAAGTGATCACATAAAAAAACTAGTATGTTATTTATTTATGCTATTAGCTTTTTACAATTTGTAGTTTTGTAAATGATAATTATGTTACTATTGAAGCATAAATACTGTCTCTTCTTAAATTTTTTAATGTAAACTTTGTCTTTTGCTTTAGACTTTAACTTTGAAGCAGTAGCCAGCCTGTAAGTTTGGTCATGCTATGTAAATTTTTCTGTGTTCACTCACTGTAAAACTATAGATTTCTAAAAAAATGAAAAATGATAATGAGCTGAAATTTACATAGCATGACCAAATTTGCGAGCTGGCTACGCCACTGTTTTGAAGTAAGAATGCACCAATGCAGGTTATTTTTTAACTTAAGTGGCATGCTGTGTGTGGTTTATTTTATCTTTAACATACTTACCTCTGTAATCCATGATTAAAATTTTTCATCAAATTTTTCTTCCAGGTTGAGAGATTCCAAGATGAACAAATCAAAGCACATTGACTGAGTGAATCAACTTAAAGATGAGTTGGAAATGTGTTTATGTCTTTTACCTTATGTGAAAAACACCGCACTCTTTCCTAATGATTCTAAACATTTCTTACCATAAGCTTATCTCTATGTTTTACCTTGTACGTTTTCAAAACAAAAGGACATATTGTGATGGTATTTTTGAAATCTTTTCTCTAAGAAAACATATTTTCAAGGAATAAATTGATTATGATTTCATTTTTTGACCATCTTTTTTTCATAAGATTCTACACTAATTTGTTAAGTATTTTCATGAAAGTTTGGACCACAATTACTTCAAATTTAATTGAATTTTGCATGTTAAATAACATCTTAAGCTGTAGTGTTTTTAAATGGATAGTGCATCATATTACGTATAATTAAATTGGCTTACTTTAATCACCAATCAGATTTTTATCAGGTTAAATTTAGGCATAAATCTTTAAGATACTTTAAGTGGTCAAACATGTGCTCTTTAAGCCATTTTTCATAGCCATAGTAAGATTATTACTGGCAACTGGAGGAAGATTTACTATCAGGGATTGACACAAGGTGGGAGCTAAGGGGGGCTTAACTGCCCCCCCCCCTAAAATATTTTAAAAATATTGCTCCAATCCCTTAAATCACACCTACTTTATATAACTGTGATTTTAAATAATAACGATTTGTCAATATTGTTGCCAATGAAGTGCCAGGTGGGAAACGGATTCTTAATATAAATATTAGAGTCCAACAAATAATTTTGAACATAGTCATAAACAATTTGGTTTTGTGAAATTTATTAAAATAGTGACGTTAGTGACGTTAAAATAGTTAACTTCCTTATTAGTCTGAAGATGTCTTGAGTCTAGACGAAACGTCACTATTTTAATCAATTTCACAAAACCAAATTGTTTATGACTATGTTCAAAATTATTTGTTGGGCTCTAGTATTTATATTGAGAATAACGATTTGATTGACTTCCGTACGGTACCCGTACAAGCAGATGCATTTAATTTTACTATGTATGTATGATTTTGTACGTACGTAGGAATACATAAATTAAATTTCTGGGGATCAAATTTTAACAGCATACCTATTTAGATATACTATTTAGATATACCAAAATAGATACTATTTTAAAAGTATAGGCATGTCCTGGGATCTCTAGAAATTTCATGCATTGAGGACGAGCCCCCCCCCCCAATAGTTCACAAAGTGTCCACTACTATTTACTATCCTGAGAGACAAATGAGCTAGTCGTTATGGCGAGTTTGATGATTGAGGGGGCTGTTAATATTATGCATGTGTTACCTGTTCTATTTGTTCATTATATGTTCATTATATGTTCCTAATTTTTTGTACTACTCTATCAGGTATGTTTATGAATACGTTCTTTCACACTATCCAGGCTAGTTATGCCATTCGAACGTCATAATAAACCTAAATGCTACTTTTCAAGGCACATTGTTCATGTTCAGGGCAACATATCCGTAATTATTCTTTCATATGAATCCTGTCTTTTTAAGCCTGGTTCACACAAGTCAAATAAGGGATAAGCACAAGTGTAGACAAAAGATAAAACAAAGATAATTGACGAAGCATGTTACATAAGCATCGACATAAGCGCAAGCATAAGCTAAAGCCTGGTTCTCATATAGTCGTCCGAGTCGTTTCAGTCGTGCCAAAATTTCACAGACGACCCGTGCGACTGTGTGAGAACATTTCAGAGGCGACCGGGATGGCCTCAAATGACTCACACGACCGAAAAGACCGTTGAGAAATGCAAGCGACCCTTTTATGGCGCAAAACGATTTGAAGAAGCAAATAACTAGTCAAAAGACTTTGTCGTTGATAAACAGCAGCCGCCATTTTTAAATGTTTCGCGTAAAAATTAATTAAGCAGTCTCTCGGCAGCGCTAGTACGAATATATGAGAATTCCATGGCTTGAGTCGCCCCAGTCATTTTGAAAAACAACGAAACGACTCGGAACGACTCGAATGACTTAAGCGACTTAATGAGAACCAGGCTTAAGAGAAAAACAAAAGAAGGACAAAAGGAAGATTTAAACAAAATCCCAATGTCTTTGTCTTTGTGAACATCTAGAACAATATAAACAAAAGTCTTGACGTTCATGATTATTTTACTCGTGAAAACCAGGCTGTACCCATACAGGTTTTATAAAAAAAGATCTTTAGAAATTATTCTTATGTGAAATTTCAATTCTTGATCACTGTCCAGTCTATGTGTTGGGTATTAATGTGCATATTGTGATGTTTCACTTGTAGCAGAAATGCTTTTGTGCTAATAAGAAAGATATGTATTTATATGCATGTAATAAAGTAAATGGTTTGAACCCGGGAGTATCGTTACTTGTTTCTTGATGTATAGATCGTCCAGGTTAGTAGAGTCCTGAGAAGGACTTCTGGTGTTGATGTTGTTGACTGACGTTTTGACAACCTTAGTTGTAGTCATCTTAAGAGTCTTTAGATCAAAAGCAACGGCCCTTCTCAGGACTCTACTAACCTGGACGATCGACATCTACAAACATGTATATGCATGTAGTTGTATCCATGTTTAGATGCACAACACGTCAATTTCTAATTCAAAAGGTCTTTTTATACACTCTGTAGAATAAAGTTGTGATTTGCGTATTTTACGTTTAGCTGGCAAGCAGATTTTGTCGAGTACTTTCAGACAACGCAAGCAACAATATTAACCTACCTCTCTTGGGATTAATCTGCATGCCAGCAGTAGCCCAAATATTTCGCTTACAATGCGCAGTTTTTTGAGACACCGCTGTGGGAATTCAAACAGATATGAATGAGTTCAACTTAATCGTTTCCATTGTGTACTACGTATTAAAATTTGTGCATCTCCTCATTGTGAAAAAGCGTCATTTGAAAGGTGATATGATTAAAGGCAAATGATTATTATTCAGACGCCCGAACGTTATGTCTTGCTGTTTACAACCGAGTTGCGTGTGACAGTACTTCACGTGCTAACTTTGACATTTTTGTTCTGTTAATCGTCTCTAGACTTTGAACAGTATTGAAAGTTGTTCTAATGCAAGGAGGATGCCATTAATTTATTTCAAACTGTAAGTGATGTACATTTATATGCTTTTCAGTTGTGTGATTTTCATTCTATGGGACATGGATGAAAAATAGTGCTTTTCTTCATGGTCTGCCTTGGTAAATACGTACAAAACCAAATCTTTTCTGTTGGTTCTTTCATCAGATTAATTTGTAAATTGAAAGTAAAAGATTATATTCTACCTCTTCTCTAGTCAAGATATGCTAATTACAAGAACCTGTGCTCTTCTGTAGATCGTTATTTCAAACAGCATGCTTATGTTCAAATGCATTCAGTCATCACAAACACACATTGAATAATCTAATTACTGCCGAAGTAAGATAAACAAATGAATTCATGGCAGGTTGAACCCTACATGGACGATGACTATTGAAAAGACAAAACTTTAACAATGCATATTTATAAATTTTGCAAACAAATTAGTAATATCTGTCATTGTAAGATGCATTCAAAGCTAACATAAAGTACGCAGCAGTAAATTCATTCATGCCTGTTACGAGAAGCGCTTATATTACAGGAAAAATACAATACGTATACAATGTTCTTTCAGTATAAAATGTAAGCAGTATTACATCTATCTGTAAGTGCATGTAGGTTAGTTAAACATTAAATCAGAAAGATATAAACCAATAAAGAGAAAACTCTTGTAACGATACAAATTGCTTGACTTATTAAATGTTATCTTTGTAGAAACTATTATAACAAATTAGATAATCCCTTTTTTCCATGAAGCCCACGGATGATTTTGTTCATAATGAGAGAGTGATATTGTATGAGCAGGCTCTCGTTCATCACGTGAGAGTTATAAGAAAGTTACATTGTAAAAGGTAAAAAGTAAAAAACGTTTAAACATGCTTAGAGTTGGTTTAAGTTATAAGTAAAAAAAGGCGGAAGTTATTTAAACCTTTGCAGTATCCTTAGATATTTTAGTTTCTTGTTTGGGAAGAGTTCTCGTAAAGAAAAAAGAGAAATTTTGAAACTATGAAAATCCCTTTTTCGGTCCATGCCTCCCGATACCCCGAAATAGGTAGCACTTTAGGGTCTCATGTTAATTAAGAAAAAGTAGTGAAAGTTATTAGTAAAAAAGTGAAGTAAGTCTTAGTTGGAACAGTAATCATATTTTTTAAAACAGAACAAAGCGATTGTCAGGATCGCAATAATGAAGAAAAGATTCGATGAAACATTTGCACTACGTGATGTGGGACAAATGCAGTCAAGTTTGGCGGTCGGTATTGAACCTCCACGTTCTGTCGGTATTGAACCTCCACGTTCTGTCGGTATTGAACCTCCACGTTCTGTCGGTTTCTGACACATTTTTTGTTTATCTTTGGTCAAACACAGAGCGTAGTCCATGACGTGGAAAATGTACGACTGTTCAACAACTCCGTGGAAAAGATGTGCGAATGGACCGGTTGCGTAGATACCTTCAAGAAAAAGCCAGGAATATACACTTATTGAACAAAGACGGCAAGTAATAAACTTTTGGCAAATTACTCATCTACAGACATAGTGATTTTTTGGTTTATTTTTATCATGATTTTTAAAAATGACTTTAAATATTATCTCAATCATTGTGTTCAAAATTGTCACAAGAATCAATCGTTAGAAAATATACATAAGACTTGTATAACGAAATGAAGACTTTGAAATGAATAGTCTGAGCATGAAAGATAAATGTGCAATTTTCAAAAGCAAGTGCGTTTAAACACTCTCACTAAATAACTTGAAGACCACAAATAGAATTATGTAAGTATTACGTTGATGTTAAAATATACCGGAGAAAAACTAAATTTCATCGTCTGTACAACACTACAATCTGTGGAGTAACCTGCCAGCATGTCTGTGCTATGTAAATTTTTCTGTGTTCACTTACTGTAAAAACAACAGATTTCTAAAGACATGAATAATGATAATGATCCGAAATTTAAATAGCACGTCCAAATTTGCGGGCTGGCTACGCCACAGCAGTTTCTACAATTTAACCTACCAACATCCTCAGCTGAATGAGATTCATAATATCGTTTGACAAGAGCTTGCTGCTTAAAATGTTTATCATTGTAGTTCGCACCAGTGAGATTGGCTCGAACTTGATTGCCACTTAAACCAACGGATCCATCACCATATGATAATGAGAGTGCTGGTTTACCATCATCAGGAAGATCGGATTGAAATCCAAATATTGGATTGCCACGTTTAACGTTACCATAATGAACAAAGGAGTGCGAATGGTCCGCTGACACAATAATTAATGTATCACCTGATTGATAACAGAATTGAAAGTAAGTATCAATGTGTGTCTTTAAATTTTAGAAAATTTCTTCAGCTGACTTCCTATGAATTGCATCAAATATCAACCTTGTGAGGGGAGTTTCTCATTATGGCAAACTTATTTCATTCAAGTGAGACGAAAAACAGACTAGCTTGACATAAAAAATGGAATTTTCGAGCCATGCATTAAATGCAGCACAAACATATCATTTTATCTATTTAATTTTATTTTGTTTTTACTCACTTGTATTTACCATTTTTTGTGCCCTCTTAACTGCTCGCTCCATAAATAACGTCTCCGTTAACGCCCAATGTGCGCTGTTAGCATGATGACCCCAGTCAATTAAACCGCCTGAAATGAAATAAATGGAATAATGCTATTAGCGCACTTAATATACTTCTGCATTGCGCTTCATGTATCAAAAACCCTTCTCTAAAGTCGAACTTTGGAAATTGGCTAAAGCAGTGAGGGCAGCTTTTTACGATATTTTGACCGTGGTTTAAAGTGTTATTTTTTTGCCATGTATTTGTTTACAAAGTGAAATTAAATTATTTTGCTAAAACTGATTTAAAAGCGATATAAACTGTTCAACAAGAAAGCAAAGTGCATTCAGATGGTAGTTGTCATAGCGAGAGTGAATTTTACCATCCAGGCGAAGTGAATTTTGTAGAAAACAATCCAATTTTAGTCTCAACATCAAGTTGCATCGGCCATTTTACTACGCGAATTTCTTCATAATAAAACTAAATACGTTCTTTACCGTTTAGGTCGGTCCGTACTTAAAAATATTTCCACTCAGCCTCAACATCGACCTTCGGCCTCGGGCTGCTTTTGAGACCTCGTAAAAATATTTTCCGTACGGACCTCCCAGCCAGTAAATAACATAAATTTATTATATGGTATAACAAAATAAAACAAACTCCGAAAACAGACACCTCGTTTTCTTTCGGAATTTGTTTTATTTTGTTTTACTTAAAATTATATGTATGAAACATTTATAACTTTGCTGTTTGCTTTTGGAAATTTGTTTTGGCTTTGGTAATGCTTTACCATATAACAATAGCATTTATGTACACAAAAACGTGTACACAAAAATTACGTGACAACGTTTCTACATAAGGATGTGTGCTACCAAGTGGGTAGATATAAATACAAATATTGCGAGAATGTTGAAATATCACTTGTTATAACTTTGCAGATGCAAAGATTTGCAATAATATAAATTCAAAAATTTCAAACACAAAAAATGCAATAAGATAGGTTTTTGAATGACATATCAGATTGTATTCAACAGAATTTACCTTCGGCCATCAAAAAAAATCCTTTGGGATTTTTACTTAGTACTTCAATGGCTTTTTCGACCATTTCCAAAAATCCTGGCTCATGAGTCCTGTTCGTGTCGGGGCGCAAAACTTCGAATTGCATAGCGCTGGAAGCAAACAACCCTACAAATAATACATATATATTTGTGGCTGTGAATTTTAGACTCAGTAGTCGGTGCTAATGCTATTCATGCTAATTTAAAATAAATCGCATCTTTGAGCGTAAGTATGTTGATAAAAAACTTTTCAATGAGTTTATGAATATTGGGATAGAATTTTTCTTGCAATTTTTACCTAGAAGATGATCAACTTTACTCGCATCGATATTCTTTAAATCATTTTTATTCCAAGCTACGGCAGATCGGTTTCTCTTTTCTAACCATTCTTCAGTCAAATTACGTCTGTCGTTGCGACATTTTCTACCTTTCAACATTTTCCCTTCTGGGTCTATTCCTCCGCACGGTAGAAAGCTCCTCCATCCACCACCAAGGGCTACATCAATACCGTCTCCGTATTTAAAATCAACTAACTGTCGTGCTAAAAGAGTGATTTAAAACTATCAGATATTTGCTTAACATGGTCTTAAGTTGTACGATTATAAAATCTTCAACCTTACATATATCAATGCAGTTGCCTTTTGCCGCTTGATCATTTTCCCACTGACGTGATGGTGTTTGACTAAAGAAAGCAGCTGGCGTTGCATGCGTCACACGTGTTGTAGATATTATACCAGTGGACATTCCTGCAAGCTCTGCATACGTTAAAATTGACAGCACCTCATTACCTTTTGCACTTTCACAGTCACCGAATTTAGCTTTACTATTCAGACCGAGTATACCTGCAATGTGTAAAATGGTTTTTCACTATTCTTCATTATGATTGTTGATGTCGCTTCCAGCATAACCCATTTGTCGACTTATAGTGTTTTATTTATTATAGTTTGGATCTCATGTTCAGTTTCTGTGTAGAATGTTCAGTTTCATGATTGAGTGTTTGAACATAGTCGTTTTCGACTGTCACGTTAACTGGATATAGGACATCGTGTTTTTTAGCGTTGAATTTAAGATGCAAATTATCGTTCCCATCGATGATATACTAACATTTGATTCTGTTTTCTTCTTTTGTTTTCTTTTTTTTTCCAGAGTTTGGGGATTAAAGCTTTCAACCTACGTTCAAATTCTCTAAGACGAAAGACATGTGATTCTTCGATTCATCGAAAAACTTTGTCCATCCTCAAAGTGTACAAATTGTAAAAGTTCCTGGCCCTCAGACAAAATATGCTCAACCGTGTTGCGACTTAACGACTTAAGAGAAGCGTTGCTTACAACCATAACTTGTTTAATGCGAGCAAGCAAAACAGAAATTTTGCTGAGTTTCTCAACTTTTCATACTGGTTATGTGAATTTGAAAGTTGAACGTTTTGCTATGAAACAAATTGATCAAATTAAGAAAATGATATGATATTTCAGCACCATTCCTTTGCAATAACGGTATTACGGAAAACAAAATGTTTATTTGCAAGTTTATCTTTTATTGTGTCACGCGCTTGGCAACTCATAACACTCACGTATTCCTCATGTGCTTTTCATTGCTGAAAGTGGTGGATTAAGGATTTCTCAAACTGTCTTCAAAATAAAGTCAATATTCCGTACCTTGTTTAGTTTTCACCCCACAGGCAAATGCTGTAGCGGTACCGGCAGAGTCGGGAACTTGTGCATCCGTATTGTAAGTCTTTGAAAAAGCTGTATAAGGAAATTGTTCCCAAGCGAGTACATTCTCCTCTCCGTTTTGATTTTTATTTTGACCATCAAGTATTCGTGCTGCAGTAGTCGTGCTAATGCCCATGCCATCTCCTACATTAATAAACGAAATGAAATTTTGATGCTGTATGCTATCTGATGCTAAATTTATCAGAAAATTTGAAAGTTGAGATGGCGACTTTATATGATTATATCGCATTCAAGATGAATTTCATTAGTACTATAAACTTGTACACTTCTCAGTGAAGTAAAAAATATAAGTTTGAAGCAAAAAATATTAGTTTGTAGTAAAATATATAAGTTGATGCTATTTGAGTTTATCAGGTAGATGCTAGTATTTAGTAATTTTAAATCTATTTAAAGATTATATATAACAACTGAACAGCATTAAGATTGTAACCAATAGCAGTCGGCTTCTAAAAAATGCTGACTTATGTTCATAAGCAATTCAATCCATATCATACTTGAGTCTATGCATTAGCGTCTATGAAACGAAATACTTTCCATTCCATCCTAATGACAAACAACTTCAGAACGTCGTGATTTGTACCGCTTTTCTTTCTCATTTTATACAGTTGTTCAAACATGTTAGTTGCTATGTTCATTCTTAATTATGATGGAAAAAGTCTTACCCAGAAAGAAAATGACGTTCTTGGCAGGTTTTACATTTGGTTCCAATCTACTGTTCATCATAGTCAAGTCAAGTCCGCTTCTATAATAATCATCCTTAAGTTGTTCTTTGTAAATGTCATGAGCGGAACTTTCGCATTGTTTAACTAGACGGTACAAAATTGTTTCATTAGTATTTTAGTCATTAATAACTTCTGCTAACATTCAGTCTGTTAGATAGAAGACATAATAGTTTGAAATGCTAATGTTTCAAATTAGTGTACAAATACGAAAAAGTTCCATGGCCAAAATTGTCGGCCATCTTGGGTTCATTAGTCAGCAGTGTATTCTTTTCGCTGGATGCCCGCTTGTAGACGTTTTGCTTGCTGTAGTTCTCAACAAGCTTCACATTTAACTATGTCTCCTTAGGAATTTTTTTCTCATTCTTTTCCAAATCATTTCAGCTCTACCAGATTTCATTAATCTTCTGACATGGACCCTTTTTTTCAGCTCGCCTCAAGTTTTCGATGGTTTTAAGTTTCAACTTTGGGCAGGTTAGTCAATGACATTGATTTTGACCTTCTGGAGAAAGCTGTTCACTAAGAGCATTGTATACTTTGGATGATTGTAGTGTTGAAAACAAAATATTCTACCAGTACGACGTTACATCTTTACCAAAGTTATTCCTGGCATATTTTAGTCTTACTTGAATGAGTCTCTTTACAGAAAGTGGGGTTTTTTATGACCTATAACGTCGCAGTTCATTCCAGTGTAGGGCTCTTGTGGCCATCTTCCCTGATAATTCAATCCAAGAATTGGCCAGGTTATTAGCTAATGTCTTTGCATGTGCAGTTGTTCTAAGATCTTTCAGTACATCTCTATCTAATTTTCTTTATAAAGTGTTTGAATCTTTCACTTTCTCCTCCGCTAGTCTCGTTTGACCTTATCCTATTGGTCTCTCTGAATATCTGAATAATATTCCCTCATTTCTCCTGTTCTGGACACCAGGAAACATTAGGATAACATTGTAATTCTGAATAATATCCCTTTATAACTCCTTTTGTGGACACCAGAAACACTAGGATAATTTGGTATATCCATTCCCAACTTTTTAAGCATCGACTGTTCTTTTTCTCTAGTCTTAACTAATAACCTTGCAGTTGTTGAACATTGCCTAGCCCATGGAGGTCCTTTGTTTGTTATTCTTGATCGGTAAAGCGAAAAAAATTCTCACCCATAATTTCTTCTATAACGTCTTCTCTCTTCAAGGAAGGGTATACACTACATGCTATCTCCAAAAACTTAAAAGAATTTCTTCTCTACCCAACGCTCACGAACTTCTTTTGTGTGAATACTTTTTTGTCAACGAAATGAAATGTCATGTGAAGATTCATATGCTAATAATGTTTCTCGGTTGATGGCTTTGGAATAATGTGAAACTCCATTCTCTTTCTTTTGTTCTAATCTTTTTGTCTGTTCCTGTGTTTGTATGTTTCTTCCGTATTATTCGCGCATAGTTTTAATCGTAGTTTCGCAATGTAATTCAGTATGCTGTCAAACACGAAACCCAAACAACTTGAAATTTAATATGCCTGTTCAATATGTATATATCCTTTTCAACCTTTGTATTTGATGGTTTTTTTTGCACTTGGCAGAGCTTTATTTATTAACGAACTTCGCTTTTCGCCTTAAATGTTTTGGTCATAACTATTCAGCCTAGTAATAACGTTAATTTATAAGATGCAGAGAAAAAATTCATATGAGCAATGTAAGCGCATTTACGTAACAGGCAATTGTCTAATACGACATTTACGAAATAATTATTCACTTATATTGTTATACTAAATGAAACAAGTCAATTACACGTCTTATATTTTGCAGCAAGACACCAAAAAATTATTTATTTGCAAAACTAAATTTAAAGAAAGCTCTATCATTTTGGATTTTCTTTGTCATTCTGTAAATAGCATCCTTTATCTATATCGATGACTGTGTCGTTGTTAATCTGACATATACACGGCAGTTACAAGCTGCCTTAAATAAATATACGTTTCTTTCGCTCACACAAAATAACTACAATATACCCTGGCATATTCTTCGAATGCTTTATAATCGTAGCATTGCTAGCGGTGAGAAAATTTAAACTCGTTAAATTGACAAACCTCAACTGCCACTATATTACTTTTTGTTTTGTATTCGTAGAATTATGAATACAATCATGCTTATTTTATTTATAAAGTGTTAAATAAAATGCAAACATACTTACATTGAAGGAACATGTTCATAATCAACAGCAATGGTATAACAAGTAAAGAATCCATTTTTGTAGAATTACTCATTCCAGTAACCTGCTTACCATGCACTACACGTTCGGTCGTCCGGCGTTTTATAGCGAAATATGAGGTTTCTGTTAGTGAGAACTGCAAACTACCGCTGAATAAAGTAGTAGTATACAGAGCTCTCTATAGAATAAGAGTTGGGACAAACGATCTGGGGCTAGCGCGTAGCCGCCATTTTGGTTCCTACTTGCAAAGTGAAACTATAATAATACTATTGGAAATTGGGTTTATATGCAAAAGAAGAAAGCAATTTAAGCTTAATATATTGGTTAAAGCGTTAACGATTTTGTTTAACTGAGTTTACTAGTGCTTCAAATTGATCGTGACCCATTGTAAGAAGTATTTTCGTACGTGAACGTGTTTTCTCGGCTTATGTTCCGACTCTGTAACAAGTTTTCAAGATCTTTAAGCTTGGTGGCAAGCGGCAATGTTATCCTGGCATCAGTGTTATCAAATACTTGGACAAGACTTTGTTCGAAACTTTGAATCATAGTAATCATGCAGATTTGGTCCGAGAGATTTGTGTTCAAGATTTGTAACAATTTAATGGTAGTGAGTGATTTATGAGCTTCTGTTGCTCAGCAGAAAATGACAGACTTTTTACTTTTAGTTATTGAAATATGCAATGATTTGACCAAGATGCATTTGACCTTAAACGTTTTATTCCTTTATATGAAGTTATTTCGCCTTTATCACTTTATAAAGTTTATTTCTAATAAAGTTTGTTGATTCTGCTGAAAATTTTGGTGAAGCATTTCTTTAAAATGAATATATTATTTCTATAATATGAAACATTTCTGTTGTTGTCTGTTTGCTATAAATGCTACTGTTTGTAGTCTTTTATACAGCATATGAGTCTGATCCAATCTTTAATTTAGCAGAGTTAAATTTATTGGTTGAGGAATGACAAAACTTCTATATGTGTTTAATGATCAAACAGGGTGTGTTGGAGGAGCTCACCCGTTTGTTCAAATTCTATGCCTTGTATTGCCAGTGAAATATATATATCAAAAGCTAGCAGCACCTAAATATATATCAGAAAGCCAGCAATATTTTAATATATATGAGAAAGGCAGCAACAGTTGTAATATACATTAAAAGCCCAAATAGCTGAAATTATGGAGATATGCCTCTGTGATCTTATAAACCAAAACCTACAATTAAAATATCATCAACAAGTCTAGAAGAGAAGTAATGTTCTACTTTGAGCTACAGAAGTAGGGTACATTTGTACAATTCAATACCAAAATATATTGTACTCAGCTGTTTCATTGAATATCCTAATTATAATTACTTCATTTTAAATGATGAACTAAAAATACAAAATACAACATGGAAAATCATAAGAGTTTCTGTGATTTGGTGTAGTTGTTTTAGTGTGGAAGTGGCTGAGAATTGAGAGGTTTGTAGATTGACAATTTCAGAACATAATGAGTAATCATCTTCGATTAAAAAACAAGCTTTGGAGTAAGAAAACTATTGAAACTGCATCAGCACAAACTTTGCAATGTTATTTGCCCCAAAAATGTTTCTCTACTTGAGTCAGTTAATTGAACCTTATATCAAAAGCAGTTCAGCACAACAATCACCATGCGCAATCAAATTTCGTAAGTTCGACGTAAAGGCATTTCTTTCATTTTCGTAATCCTCGATTTATGCGATATGTAATGACTTATCCATAAAAACGCAATATTATCTCAAAATACTGTATTACTAGCAGCAATTGCTATATAAACACAAGCTAAAATTTCAAAACTAGGAACCAAAATGGCGGAAATTGATCAGGTGATCAATATTGACCAATCAACGTAAGCTAAACGGATAACAATAGATGTCCCAACTCTTATACTATAGAGGGCTCTGTAATAATACTATTGGAAATTATATTTTAAGCTTATTCCATGGTAGTATCAAATATATTAGGAATAATAGCAAGCTCTTTGCGTTTTTAACGAGCAGACCTGATTTAATTTCATTGGTTTGAGCTTCGTTTGCGGTTTACTAGTTCGTGCTTCAAATTGATCGTGACCCATTGTAAGAAGTATTTTTCGTACGTGAACGTGTTTTCTCGGCTTATGTTCCGACTCTGTAACAAGTTTTCAAGATCTTTAAGCTTGGTGGCAAGCGGCAATGTTATCCTGGTATCAGTGTTATCCTGGTTATCAAATACTTGGACAAGACTTTGTTCGAAACTTCGAATCATAGTAATCATGCAGTTTTGGTCCGGAAAGATCTGTGCTCAAGATTTGTAACAATTTAATGGTAGTGAGTGGTTTATGCTCAGCAGAAAATGACAGACTTTTTTACTTTTTAGTTATTGAAATATGCAATGATTTGACCAAGATGCATTTGGCATTAAACGTTTTATTCGTTTATATGAGGTTATTTCGCTTTTATCACTTTATAAAGTATTATTTCTAAGAAAGTTTGTTAAAGATTCTGCTGAAAATTTTGGTGAAGCATTTCTTTAAAATGAATATATTATTTCTATAATATGAAACATTTCTGTTGTTGAAGAACAGTCTGTTTGCTATAAATGCTACTGTTTGTAGTCTTTTATACAGCATATGAGTCTGATCCAATCTTTAATTTAGCAAAGAGTTAAATTTATTGGTTGAGGAATGACAAAACTTCTATATGTGTTTAATGATCGAAGAGGGGTGTGTTGGAGGGAGCTCAGCCCCGTTTGTTCAAATTCTATGCCTTGTATTGCCAGTGAAATAAATATATCAAAAAGCTAGCAGCACCTAAATATATATCAGAAAGCCAGCAATATTTTAATATATATGAGAAAGGCAGCAACAGTTGTAATATACATTAAAAAGCCCAAATAGCTGAAATTATGGAGATATGCCTCTGTGATCTTATAAACCAAAACCTACAATTAAAATATCATCGACAAGTCTAGAAGAGAAGTAATGTTCTACTTTGAGCTACAGAAGTAGGGTACATTTGTACAATTCATTACCAAAAATATATTGTACTCAGCTGTTTCAGTGAATATCCTAATTATAATTACTTCATTTTTAAATGATGAACTAAAAATACAAAATACAACATGGAAAATCATAAGAGTTTCTGTGATGTGGTGTAGTTGTTTGTTTTAGTGTGGAAGTGGCTGAGAATTGAGAGGTTTGTAGATTGACCAATTTCAGAACATAATGAGAAATCATCTTCGATTAAAAAACAAGCTTTGGAGTAAGAAAACTATTGAAACTGCATCAGCACGAACTTTGCAATGTTATTTGGCCCAAAAATGTTTCTCTACTTGAGTCAGTTAATTGAACCTTAAATCAAAAGCAGTTCAGCACAACAATCACCATACGCAATCAAATTTCGTAAGTTCGACGTAAAGGCATTTCTTTCATTTTTTTCGTAATCTTCGATTCTTGCGATATGTAATGATATTTAGTAGCCGTCAACAATCAGTTATTACAAACTTATCCATAAAAAAACGCAATATTATCTCAAAATACTGTATTACTAGCAGCAATTGCTATATAAACACTAGCTCAAATTTCAAAACTAGGAACCAAAATGGCGGAAATTGATCAGATGATCAATATTGCCCAATCAACGTAGGCCCTGGTTTGACATGCCAAACACTCCATACCACCGACATTTTCATACACACCGTTTTATTCAACTACTGGTTTTCCCTCGCAAACAAAAGAGATGTTCACCGCTGTGATTTATTATGATCACAGCTTCGATTTGTAGCCCCCGGCGTGGGTGAGGTGATGAAAACTGTCACACCAAGATGATGCAACACTGTCAATGGCGCACAAAGTTTATGTCTAGCGTGAATCGCCATCCGCCACTTGACGCTGGATTTCTTTCATAGCGTCCATGCGCCCGAGCTGAATGCCCTCCTCACGCCCGCTCGCACGTGCAGCGCCCAGCTGTGCTTCTAGCTCTCGCGTCTGTTCGCGGAGAGCTCTCTTTGTCTGGCTTCTAATTTCCTCTTTCAACGAAGCGAAGCGCTCATCTTCGTCCAGAACGAGCTGGTACTCACTTTCGCTGCAGTTCCCATCTCGAAGCGCTCGACTCGTGATCAGCGAGATCAGCGTGATCGGAGCACGGTCTCAGCGGACGTCCGAATGCGATCGTGTTTTTCAGCTTTCTTGTCCAATCTGCGGCTCACGACCCGACCAGCGAAAGTGGCCGTGCCGCAAACATCTGCTAGGCCTTCAAGCGCGATCCCGACAGGAGTTAAGACGACGGTACTGCGTACGGCCACGCCGCTAACAGCACTGCCCACAGTGATAGCAGATAGGGCATTGCCCGCGCCGTCTAACCCGTTCACAGCTCTTTTGTACTTTCTGTAGAGCGTTTGGCGGGCTTCCATTTCCGTGTGCAAGCGAGCTTCGACCTCTGAAATCTGTACGTATTTCCGGCAACGCTCGCAGTAGGTAGCGTAGGATAGAGAGCGCCGTCGACACCGGAGGTGAAGAAGAAGGGGGCGCGGTGGGCTCACACGAGGTCATACTGCTCCAATAGCAATGTCACTATGAAACCAACGGTAGCGTCAGTTGAAGAAAACCCAATAACGGCCCCCGCGTCAACCTCTAATGCAGAGTCGAAAACTGTGAAGGCCGAAACCTGCCCGCGTGGCTTGCGCACTTCGAAAGTTGTCTTCTCGACATCGTTCACATTCAGCCGGACGGTCGCAACATCGTTTACAGCAGCCGCAATCCCCATGCGAAGCACTCGACTCGAGCTGAGAACCGGGCCAAGCGGAGACCATCCGTCGGCCCCCTTCTCCGCCTGCAGAGTAATACGCGTAGTAGGACGTCCCACCCTCCTCGCAGCGCCATCGGAACGATGATACTCAAGTCGCTTGGCGGCCTGAGCTTGGGTGAGAACGGTCTCAAGCTGCGTACGGGTGGGGCGGTCAAAAGCGTATTCCCATACAGAGATCGAGCTCGGTGGATCTTGCTCGGCATCGTATTGGCAGCGGAAGCGCGTTAAATCTGCCACAGGAGGTTTCCTTGCTTGGAGCCAAATCTCGACTGCTTGGGTCATACACAAATCTAACGCCATGCTGATACGTAGTATCAGGGGAACTCAAGATAATACAACCTATAGGTACGTCTCCAATTGTATCCGTACGTGCCTCGGTTGTCCGAGACTTCCCGCGGGACCACGGAATAGCGAGTGAGAAGAGAGGTGCCATCACCCCGCCAGAAGAGATGGAAGTTCCAACCCCAAGCCTCTCGCAGTTAACCGCTGCTTATATGATACCACTGGTTTTCAGCCCGCTCAATCCAGAGGCTCTGAATCTGTATCTTGCCATTATTCAGATTCGCACCCTCCCCAAACCGCGCCACCACAACGTCCTGTCGTACGAGATCAGGCAGCGTTCCTGTAGCAATTCTCCGTAAACCCCCTAAACGGTCATCAAGGCCATGGAGGTCGAGCTTGTTTACCTTTAGCTGCGCGACAGTATGAGAGAGAGTGCCCTCGGTATCCTCATTCCCAATTTTTGTTTTGTTTTGCACCACATCATCCTGCAAACGAGCAAGCTGCTCCTCCTGATCACTGATCACCGAAGCAGCCGCCGTCTTCTCCCAAGTGGTCGTCCAAAATGCCATGTCCATGAAACATTCAAACAAGGCCCCGAGCGTTCAATATAGCAAGACACTTGCTAATGATGCGGCTCCCGTTAATGAGGAGTGCATTAATAAAGGCAGCATCGCTAGTCATCTTGCCTCTGACGCCTCCAGGCATAAAATGACGATCATAATTTATAAGTTTGCTCTCGGGTGTTTTGGAGTAGGTCTCAAGCAAGGCCGCCAAATCACCGAACTTCTGCCCTGACCTCGGTACCGCAAGAGCATGCTATTTGATCTCCTGTAACTTCTGCCTCGCCAGGCGAAACTGGGGATTGCCAAAGTCGACTATGGCGTTAGCGACCACCTCAAAGGGATACCTGCTGAGAAACTGTTGGTTTACGTTGTTCACAAGCACGCGATAGTCAGCCACGATGGCAAAACGCATATCCTGATCCGCCTGAGGCTCCCTGAGATTGGCTTCAAACCCTTGAGGGTTTTCCGTAAACAATTGTACCATCTGCGCACGCGGAGTGAAATAGTTGCTTTTGAGAAAGGCCTCGGGAATCTTCTGGCCCGCCAGAAAGCGGCCAAAGACGAGCAGCAGCAAGCGATCGAACTCCCCCTCTTTCCGAGTCTGGAGAGAAGGCGCGGTTGTAGTGACCGCCGGGGTTGGTTTTTCAAACGGACATCAGCGACGTCCGAAGAAGAAAAGGGAAAGAGACAAGGGAGGCGAATGGACTGGGGATGACGAGTGGAACAGACCAGAGAATGGACGTGAAGTGCCATTTAGATGGGGCAGCTAGTAATGTTTGAGCTGAGAGCCTGGAAAAGCTTAGACTATTTGTATTTCTATAATTACAAATGAGTAAACCTTCAGCCCTCAAAAATAATCTTGTAGAGTGTAGACCACGAGTTTAATTTGTGTTTCTTTGTCAGACTACAACTGTAAGTAATCTTTTAGCAATAACATTTGTTTTTTTCCTAAATTTGCTCTTGGCTTCCTAATTTGGTAACTTTCAGAGTGTACATATGCATGGTAACCTCTAACTTTGTTGTTCCTGATTACTTGGATTATCCATCTATTCAGAAAGCGTAGCTATTCGATATCGTAGTGTAAGTGAAGCTATTACGTCGTCATTGTCAATGAAACACGCAAAAATGAAAACAATATTTCTTGTGAAGAACAACAAAGAATCTAGGATGGATTTTATATCTTTTGATATTACGTAATTTCCGATCTTCATATTCCTGGTTTTCTTCCCCTATTTGATGTTTCTGTTCCTTGTTTTGAAGATAGGAAAGACACCCTCGAACAGACACGAGTGAAACTTTACCATGGTGATGGTTCTACTATGCACCCAGTTTTGGTGGTAAATACATTGACAGTTTAGTATAACGAAGAGCAGATGAACGTGAATCACATGATCACGAACGGTACCTTGCAGTACCACACGACTTGCATAAAAACATATTCGACTGAAAAAGGCATTAGTAACATAGAATGAATCTCATAAATTTATTAAGTTCCCCAAAGTAGATAATTTATGATATTTTTCAAAATTTTAGTTATTTCACACTTGTGAAAGTTTTTAATAAAAGGAGCTTCATGGATGAGCGCATTATAATACATACATTTGTATTCATATTAATTTCCTTCTGGTTTAGTGGCAACAATTTCAAACATCTTGATATTCAGGGGCACCGTTCCATCCTCGTTCTGAAATCGCTGTGCAAATTTTTCTAACTTGTCGGGTAATATCTTCTGCTTGTCTAAATAGGCCGAAGCACAGACCCAAGTTAAGTAATCATCCAACGTCTTATATTGATACGGGCAGTCAATACATCGCTCAGATTGTATTACAAAGCCGTATTGGGGCAGCAATTCTGTTGCTTCTTGTTTCTTATTAATATCCTTTGGTAAATGATCTGATACTTTACCAGTATCGACATCAACCTTGACATTGGTAAATAACTGTCGTGTACAATCACCAATTTCAAGGTTGCCAGCAAGGGTGAAAATAGCCAATTTTCCTCCAGGTCTTAAAGAATCGTAAGCAGCTTTTAAGAATATTAATTTCTGGCTTTCATTCATCCAATTGAACACAGACAAACAGAGCACATAGTCATAAAATTCTTCATTAGCATGAGGAAATTTAGAGGAGCTATCGCCGTGAAAGAAAGTGATGTTTGTCCGACCAGGAAGATGCTTTTCCATTGCAACTTCAATACGATACTTGTCAGGATCAAAACCAACACATAAACCATCTTCCTTTACTGTGTCTGCGACATAAGCTGCGATTTCTCCAGTGCCACAACCGACATCGAGAACTTTATCTCCAAGCGCAATGCCTAATGCTTCTACAAATTTTTTCCCGTGCATAAATTGGGCATCACTGTGTTTTGAGTATTTTTCAGCCATTTCTTTGTAGTTGAGTTGCTGCTGCAGGAAGGCCATGATTGATGAGATGAGGGTGGTTTGTTAGGAGAGAACTGGCTGTGGTAACATGTGAGTCAGACCGGTAATTGTGTATAGTATATTTGAATGATCACATCTGTGAACGACTATTGAAAATATTTGAGCGGCGCATATCTTATTACGCATGTGATATAACGCATGTGTAGTATTAGATCTGTGCATAAGCCAGTAACATAGATATAGTAGGACGATATCTATGGCTAATAATCACAGCCAATAATTATACTAGTTACTACAGTTAAATTATACAGCGTATGGATGCAGATTTACGCCAATTTTGCCTCTAGAAATATTTTATGTTTTACTATTTGCGGGAGGTTGAGGATATAAAGTGCCTTTTACTGCCCTCCCTAAAATTCCTCTAAATTATCCTGGGCTGCAAGTAATATATCAATTCAAGAATCAAGAATATACAAAAAAATATTCTGCTTTTTAACCTGACCAGTCACACTGGTATAAGTTTAAACGCAAGATGAATCTTGCAGATCACTCATGTATCTTAAATGTATGGTACACAAATAATGCATAAGAAGTTTATCAGAACTGAGTATTACACAGTATTTCATTGTAGTCTTGCCTCAAAAGCAATGAAAACTAAAAATTTTTAAGTAACGCTTACTTAACAAGAGTAAAATTAATTATTATTCAATATTGAGCAAAACCAAAATTGTGCTCTACGTACGGCTCAAGTTCAAGTTAATCAATTATTAACATTTACCCCCTCCCTGCCATATTCCCTCCTAAGGACCATATTTCCTCGGAAAATTGGATCCTTCTCTGAAACTTGGCCCCACAAGAAAGTCTTGGCTTTTTCAAAACCAAGATCCCAGGTGATCGAAGATATTCCAATATATTTAGATCTATAAATTTTGTCAAACATTATCAAACCATTCAGCATAACTATCACACTATCGGGATGACATCCTGCTTTGGCTAAAATGTAAAATTTACATGTCTCACAAAGAGAAGATCATAAAATTGTCCTTTGTTTGGCCTAAGCCGTATCACTTCTACTTTCACAATGCGATTTATCTTCCTGAATCATGAATACTATCTTCAGTCTTTTCTGCATTGCTCATTTTCGTTAATCTCTCTCTCTCTATGCCATCCTGCACTCCCTCGTTCCATCTCGAAGTCTTTTTATCTGTCATTCGGGAAAACACACGGAGTAATCTAGTCGTCACCCTGATCACATTTGCTGTATTAGTTCAGTCATCATGAAGAACATCTTCACCACCTAACTGACTAAAAAGCTTTTCGCAACTCTTCTTTTAAAATCCTACAGCAGCCTTCTCTTTTAAAATTGACCGGGCTATATGTAAATAATTCGGTGTTAATGTAAGACGTTAAGAACAATAGATTTCAAAAATATTGTATGCTAATGATAAATTTGATATTGACATAGCAAGACCAAGCTTGGCATTGAAATTATCAATGTTAGGAATCAGCAATATTGACTTTGTGCAGATGAATTTCTCATCTTTTTTACCATTGTATAACTATCTACCAAACAACACTCTGAATGTATGTTCCTCTCTTTTCTGAAAAATATGTTCACTTACAGCTATTTCTGTTCTAGCTGTTACTATCATTCCACTTCCATGAATATTTTACATTACATCATCTAGCTCCATCCCCAGTATCTCCTTATCTAATTCACAACCTATATGTAGAATAAAAACACTAACAACATTGATGATAACATTTCAATTTCTAACACCAAACACATCACTAGAGCAATCTTAGCAAACTTTTCCTTCAAGACTACTAGCTTTCTCTATTTCCCATCAATACCGAAAATAAGTAGAGTGAGTACATGGAAGACATGGATACACAACATGAAACATATTTCAGTTTGATTCACAAGCTTATCATCATAATTATGAGCTGGCAACTGTTGCCAATAACTAATAATATTGTGTGCATAGAAATAGTATAATTAAGTTGTTTTGTAATCCTAGTCGAGTCTGATTGGAATTTTTTTGGGTGACAGCAAAGACTTTGTAGTTCACTGCGATATTCATGTTTTCCTGTCATCTCCCTGTAAAAAAAAACATAAAAGTTGGAATTGAAAGTATACAACTACATATTTCACATTTCAATGAAGATAATGAGTTAAAGTAATTTCTCAAGAAAAGAAGCATGTTTTTATCATGAGAAGAAAAATTATCTACGTAAAATTTAATGTTTGTCACCAAGGAAAGGGAAAGTAATGTCAAGGTCAAGGAAAAGCCAAGGGAAGCAAAGGAGGAGTTGCCTTACTCTTAACAATAGAAATATATCGACAAGGCAGAAAAGAAGCAACTCACCCCATGCATCAAATACTATCTAAAAACTACCATACAGAGCAAAAACTTAACTTTACAACCTGAGCCTTTTGGATAAAGTGAAATAGATCCATGCATTAGAGACTATACCTCTTGCTTCGAGTCATCAATCTCATCATGAGCAAGACGTCTTGCCTGTCTTCGTTTCCTAATGTTTAGTGCTGTCACATACGTAGCGTATATTGTTGTACTGAACAATGCGAAGGAAACTCCTCTCTGTAAGTAATCGACAAATGTCAAATTACTCATATTATTTAATTTCGAATACTTCTTTTCCGTGAAAATTCTATATAGAATAATTAGACAAAAGAAAGTTTTCGAATATTCACAATGTGAAGTTGATTAGTTGAAATACTTCATGTCGTAGAGTATGTAATAATCATTTATAAGATTTATTGAACATCTAGAACAAAAAGTAGAACAAACGAACTGGCCAAAGAAAAACAATGTACATGCAACGCAGCATAAAAACAATTTCAAGTTACTTAAAGCCAATTGTTGCTTCTCGATTCTTAAGTTTGGGTAGGTTTTGCATTTGCAATCTTGGGTGAAGCGTTGTAGCCTTTTAAAAATGTCTGACCGTATGCAGACTTGCTTGAGTGACAGAGAACCTATTTTTACTTCTTTCGTCGCTTTCTAGCGACATCTTTCTGTCGGAAATGGCTAATATACAGTTTTTATATATTTCTTTAGACGCCAAAAGAGCTAAGGTAATTTGATATTTTTGTTGTTGCAATTATCGTTTACATTTGTATGTTGTAACATTACCAATTATACATCATTCATTTAAGAACAGTCCATTTAAAACAAAGCAGCATTCATAGCATACGAAGTTCATGAGTCATAGATTACCAGTAAAATTATTATTGCAACATGCTTGTGGCATGAGATCAAGATTAAAGCTTGAAGGAACTTGGTCAATGCAATTAATTTATTAGACTTTAATTAGACTGTCATGATTTTTTGAATGATTTATGTTTATTAAGTTTATAATATATGAAATGGCATCACCATATTGTAATACAAGAGTTTACTTTTTTGGTTGTAAACTGGAGAATTTCAATTCATTATATTCATCAATTAAGAAAGAAAAGATGTTTATTGTGTTTGCATAGGCTTATACAAACTGGGTAGATCTTTGGTAGAACTCCAGAGCAGATCAATGGAAGCCCAAGATATGTGGTCGAAGTGGTTGAGTGTTGCACCTGCTGGAGAGTTCTCTTTAAATATCTCCAAGGTTTACACAAACCAGTGCAAACACGAAAAACATCTTTTATTTCTTTTATAAAATAACAATAATGCAAAACAAATAAATTTCAAACAAACCTTATAATTTTTTGTCTTTAATGTATGAGTTATTGATTTGCAAATTCAACTTGATTAATTTGTTGAGCTCAGATTGGCTTGCACTAGCTAATGCAAACACGGCTATTGACCAATGGGCAATGGCCACACATGTTTTATTGTTTTTATTTTATAAACCTATGTATATGTAACATACCAACATAGACTATGTATATTTAGTAGCTTTACTCATGAAATGACCATGGAGCATTTTTGTTTTGAGGGTGCTGAAATGATTCATGAATTTACTTCCACATCCATTTACACTCATGACACATGCATTAATTTGCCAAGTTCAGACTGGAAAGTTTGAAACTGCACAATGAAGATTTGAAATTTGCATACATACTGTGGTCCCTGTTATATCCACTTTCTTTGGTTTAGAGTTTAGACTATGTTAATCACATGTTTTAGTTGAATTGATCTTGAGTGAGGTTGGATCCCATTTGTATACTAATGACTGGAAAGTCTTCTTTCCAATGCAGAGCAAAGACTAAAATAAATTTGTACCATTTTTTAAACTTTCAATCTTGCAATGCAAAATTTTCAGCAAAATTATTAATTTTTATTGTTTATCGAGTGAATGAACACAAAAATAGTTGAATTTTAGGGGTAACATTCCAATAAACCTGCGTATGTACTTCGTAGTTTCTTAGGTCGTATTGGCGATTATAAATTCTCATAGTGTATGACACTAGGATACCAATCTTAGTTGCTCCATCTTCTTTTGAAGCAAAGTACAGGGGCAGTTCAATTGACATGACAAATTGACATTAGACCTGTATCGATTTTTTGTCCCTTACGAAATGAGAGACATTACAAACCAAGGTTTGTTGACTGGATATTGTTAACGTCAATCTTTCGCTTGTAATTCCAGGAACATCAGTCCATTGGTTTTATTGGCCTTGGAAACATGGGTGGACCAATGGCAAAGAATCTTATGAAAAATGGCCACAACGTAATCGTCAATGATATTGTTGATACTGTTGTTCAAGACTTGCAAAAGGAAGGTGCAAATGTTGCTCATACTCCAGCTGAACTTGCGTCAAAGGTCTCTGTTATCATAACAATGCTGCCGTCTAGGTACGAACCATATAGTTTTACGTGAATTTGTGCAAACATCGAACTTTGGTCACAGAAAGTTTTGCTTAGTCGTGGTGTGCTCATTTTATGAGAGCAATATTAGCAAATATAAATTTCATAATGGCTACTTAACTTTTTACAAGATCAGACGATCACTGCATGCATAAAAACAATCAAAACGCAGGACTAAACAGTAGATTGAAAATAAGCTATAAGAAAGATGAAAGTTTTTGCTTAAGGAAATCTCATTTGCTCGCACTGAAAAATTTTTAGTATACCCCTTTGTTTTAGTGTATTGCAAATTTAGTTGTTTCTCTTTTCAGCCCTCACGTTTCCGAAGTATACCTCGGGCCAAATGGGATTATTCAGTAAGTCAGACTCACAAGGTAGATTAAAATTCAACTAAAACTAAAATTTTGTATAGTGTATTATGCTGCGATGTTGAATTAACTTGATTAACAAAATGATCTCGATGTTTAGACTAACCATTATCTTTAGTTGTTTTTTTCATATATTTAAATAGAGCTGTCCAGGAAGGTTCGTTACTGATAGATAGCAGTACTATCAGTCCTTCGGTTGCAAGAGATGTAGCTTCTGAAGCAATTAAGAAAAATGCAACCTATTTAGATGCACCTGTTTCCGGAGGTATTGACTTTTGGTCTTACAACATGTCGCATGTATTCTGAACTCCTTATAATTGTTTATCTACGAAGGCGTAATTGCCTCGCAAAATGGAAAATTATCGTTCTTGGTTGGTGGGAATGAGGAAGGTTTTCAACGAGCAAAACCAATATTGGAGTGCATGGGACAAAATATTTTTCATTGCGGCGAAACTGGAAATGGACAGGTATTATTTTAACGGTTTCTTTAGTCTTCATCCTTATTGGTTGTCCTGAACACCAATCGTTACAACTGATGTATGTTTGAAATACTTCACAAATAAATATATAAATATCAAAAGAATATTTCAACTAAATGTAATATGCGACCGAGATTTTTCATATATTGCCACCTCTAATAACGTTGAATTGGCATAAATCAAACAACAGTACATCATGCGTATATTGTAGCTATGTATACAAGTTTTACTTGCATCGAATCTTAACAGAGCGGAAGGACATTTCTCTATTCTGGTAAAGAAATTTTTGCTTCTCAATCTTAGGCTGCAAAAATCTGCAACAACATGCTACTTGCAATATCAATGATTGGAGTGTCCGAGGCATTAAATCTTGGTCAAAATTTAGGACTCGATCCTACACTACTTTCAGACGTTATAAATAAAAGCTCTGGAAGATGTTGGTCAAGTGAAATCTATAATCCATGTCCGGGTGTCGTAGAAAACGTGCCCTCAAGCAAAGGATATCATGGTGGTTTTAGTTCGGCTTTAATGAAGAAGGTGATGATATGAAATGGAATTATTATCCTTTGTCAATTCTCTATAATTATATAGTTCAGTTCTCAGGCCAGCTTCCATAAACGTTGTCGTAAGTTAAACTCTTAGTTCCTACAATTTTCAAAGCAAAATTTTTGAAAAAATAAATGCGTTATCAAGGCTCAAAATTGAAAGAACATTCTTTGTGATTAGCATTCTTCGTGTATGGGCGAACAAAAGTCTTGGCGAATGTGTAAAAATCATAAGAAAATTAAATATTGAATCAATTGTTACTTGATCAGTAAAATTTGATGAGCTTGCTCGAGTGTGAAAAAGATCTTTTGTCTCCTGAGATCAACATAAAAAACTTAAAATTAAATAAATGTACCTTTGATAGAGTGATAGCGAAAAAATCAGCAAAAAATATTCGCATATTCAATAAAAAAAAACTCAACAAGAGTATCATTGTCGAACTTAGTCGCTTAATCTTCGTTTTATTAACATATTTTCTTTCAATTGTTTTGTTTATAGCTCTTTCTAATTTCTTTCACAGGACTTGAGTCTAGCACAAGAGGCTGCAACAATCACAAAATCTTTCACGCCACTTGGATCTTTGGCTCATCAAATATACTTGATGTTGTGTAGTCGTGAGTTTGAAAGTCTAGATTTTTCGTCAATTTACAAGTTTATAAGGAAAGATAAGTAGTTGTTTGTCAAATAATGTGATATTTTCTCTCCTCCATGGAAACGAGGTTAGTGATTTATTTCAAATAATAATATGAGAGCCGGATGGAAATTTGCAGTTTTCGAAAAGTTGCAGTCACGAGTCCATGCTTTCTTGCGCTTTTTTCAACATTTTAACAGTCCTGTTTTATTTATTTTTGATTCTGTTGCTTTGCTGTGTTCCCTACGTACGGATTATGGATTAGCCTTAATTGGATTTTTTTTTACAATTTCAACGACGTATTTTTCATGTCTAAAACCAACCCAATTTATCATTTTTGATTCAGACTTCAAAATTAACTGTGAAATAAAATGTTATAGTTTAGTCATTCTGCTCAGTAATGTAACTATGAGTAAGGTAGTTAATTAATGCTAAAATATTCACTGAAATAAATTTAGTAAATAAAATTTAATTGTAAATGTGTATGGCAACACTTGTATTTCAGGTCAGTTATTCAGGTCATTAATATGTTTCCAATTAATTGCATTATACTTTTTTAAAGTGATTATTGATGTCACGTACGAAATACGAGAAATGCATTGATTGATTTGACAAATATTGCTCATTCATGTGATGAGAGTCACGTTTATAGAAAGAGTAGAACGTTGTATGATGACATGAAGAGAATGTACATGTAGTTGTCAATTCATCGTCTTTTCTCCCTCCCCCCTGTTCTGATAGGATACGTTAAATATAACATGTTTGATGTACACAAGTGTTTTATGGTTCATTTCTCGTACATATAGTGAACGCTTTTGCTGTTACAACTCGCAAGCTTTGCGCCCTATGCCACTAACCATATCAAACGCATAGTGGTTACTGGTTAGTCTGCTGGAGACGTTTTATTTATTATGCGAAATTTTTCTTGGGTTGAACACTTTTAAACAATTTAGATGTTTGGGACAAGTTCAAAATTTAAGCCTCGTACAAACGCTCAACTTTGTAGACTTAGTAAAGTCGACATGTTTTGGAACATTTGCACACGCTGTTGAGGGTGTTGAGTGGTAGTGAGAATTGAGCAGTGTTGAGTGTTGTTGAGAGAAGTTTGATGTAGAGATGTTTTTACACATGTGTTATCATACTATGTGTTATCATCTCAACATGTTGAGAGCGTGCAGCCTTAGCACATATCGTTTACATTCTTCAACAAGCGCATAACAATGTTCAGCGCGTGTTGAGTGAGCATGTTCAGAGCGTTTTCACAGGCGCATAACAATGTTCAGCGCGTGTTGAGTGAGCATGTTCAGAGCGTTATCACGGGGCTTTGAATATCATGAACGCTTTGAGGAGATTTCACTTACTGCAAAATTACTTAGAAAGGAATAATTCCTCAAACTAATGACCATATACTGATTGGTAAATTTCAAATCATTGCCTCAAATTGCATCTACTGAGGAGGTCATATTAAATCTACTGAATACATCGTCATAATAACTAAAAAGATTTTAACGTAAGAAAATTGAGAAGATTTTAATTGTTTGGAAAATACATGCGTAGTAATAAAACCGTTCGTTGTCGCACTCTACAACTTTCACAAATTAATCTTGAGCAAATATTTATTTTAATTATATTTTGATGAGATCACCAACTGGTTTTTGGATATCATATTCACGATAGTTGTTTTTTTAGTATCTCGTTATCTCAAACCTCAATACATACGTTTAAATTATTCCATGTTGTCTCGTCAAGGCAATATGTGTATCATAGATGACATTCATTTCATTAAAATAATTTAGTAAGTAAACTCCAGTATATAATAATAGAAATTGCAATTTGCACAAGTTGCACAATTAATCTTGTTGCGGTGATATCACTTTATGTCAATTCCATAGTATCCATGTTCTTCTCACTAAAAAAGTTTTTTCTGTATTGTGCTTAACGGACTTGGTGTTGTGCTGTGCGGGCGATGGTTTTCATCAAAATTGGAAGCATTGTTGCTTACAGATATCCAGATAAATTTCTTTGAGTTATACGAATTTCATGAACAAAAGCTCTTTGTTGTATATTTAACGGGGGGAGACAAAATCTTGTCGTATCTAAATCATGTTTAAAACTACAAAAACGCAAAATGAACTCAAATAATAGATTACTTTACACTAATTCTTTAAAAACGATGAAATTTCCGTGTACAACAACACATCAGATAAATTCACTGTGAACGTTTAGACGCCAAGTGCGTCAACATTTTCATATTGTGCAGTGCATAGGTCGCGGATCAAATAACATTACAAATTGTCACAAATGATCTTTTGATTGCAATTTATTGGCAAGCCATACTGCCATAGTTAAGTCTTTCGTTTTCATCTTTTAGCTGTTGGTTGTACATAACCAACTAGGAAAGACGGGCCTTCATTTTCGTTCTATATACTTCAAGACAACTTGCGTGTCTACAAACCTTGGCTCAATTATCAAGAGAATACGCGAACTTGTTGAATAATGAGAAGAAAGGCTTTGTTGTTCTTATTGCTTGCTTCATCGTCATTCTTGGTTTTGTTTGGGCAAGGTTAGTATATTATTTCGAAGTCTTTTTTGAATTATAGAAATTTGAAGTATTGGTGGTAGTATCGATCTAATTGCAAACTACTTCGAACTGACTCCAAACCGAGCTATAAACAAACTTTTACGATCAAAAGTCGTATTTATTATTTCAAAAATAAAAGTACATTTGTTTGAAAGTAATGAATACTAATACATAACACGACGGTTATATTATCAGGTTTTATGGTTCTCGTGCCAAACTTGGCAAAAACTTTGCATACTTGGAACAAGGTTGTGTACGTTTGATTAATTGTGCACAGCACATGGTCATTCATGCAAAAGTTTTGTAGCTTTGTCGGCAACTTTAATCTGCAATTGATTTCTTATAAAAACTATACCATTAATTTAGATGATTATGATTTTCTCAGAGAGGCATGCTTGCACTCCTTGTGGTCAATTTTTAACTCCTGTAAAAACTATAGTAAGAAAGTTCATAACTCAATAATCAATTCATCCAAATTTGCTGTTTTTCTAACGACATACTTTTAAGAGTTTGCTTAATATGCAATTCATAGACATGTTGATTATTGGAGCAGGTTGTCATCAAGCCGGTCTTGCCGGCTTTTGCTTCGAGTTTTATTGTTTTCTTCAATCTGCCTTATGTGATTGTTTGCAATGATTTTTTTTTTTGTTTGAACAGTTTTTTAAGACGTAGCTTTTTCACGTCATCACCTTTACAAGATGCAAACGTATATCACTTCATTTTTTTCCGGCCAGAAAGAAATACATTGCATAAACTTGTATTTGATGCTTCATTATTTGCATAATGTGACATTTACTGCACTGTGCTCATGCATACATACCTGTATTTAGTCACTCGTAGAGGTGTCCCGGGGAGGCCTGATAGAGGTTTCATTTTATTGTTACGAATTATAAGAGATTAAATTGTGTACTTCACGAAATTTTTGCGAGGTCAGTCATACATGCTTAGCTGTACTTCAGTACTTGTTAAAGGAATGCTTTTCACTCCTTTTATCTTGTATTTAACTATATTTATCATTATTTGCGCAACTAACTCCGTTGTGTCAAACCTAAACCATACCATTTTATGGTAAAAAAATTATCTGACAGCGTAAATGTCTACCATGTGAAGAAAGTCTCGGCGTGATTTAAAGTGGATTCCGTCCATTGGCTCCTGTTGATTCACTATACTTTTTGTACCTTGGTTTACTTTATACTTGAGCTTGAGTGCCTGCTGGTCTTAATACAATGCCAGGAGAGCCGTTTTCAAATTAAATTTGTTATATATACTTATTCAATAATAATAATTCTGTGTAGGAGGTTGATTGCTGTACCAGATTGTCCCAATTTGTTTTGGTTTTTTTTACAAAAAATAACCGCTGTGTCAATTGTACCATCTTTCACTTTTTCTGCCTTTTAAAGTCGCTCAAACTATTTTGAATTTAATCAGGATTTTAGTTTGCGATATTGATCCTCGACAAAAAAATAGAAAGCAAATATGCGATAAATTTTCCTGTATAAATTTGTTACGACAAAGAAATTTTAGTTAGTGTGGATTGCATCACAAATTTTACATTTTTTAGAAGAAACAAGTGAAGAAACAAGTCCCGAAAGAACAGTAGTAAGCTTGGCTACAAATTTTTTTTATAGAAAACTGAGTTATAACTTCAACTGATAATTTGTGTTTTGTCCTTCCCAGAAAAAAGGTCCCACAGGTGATCAAGGTTCGCCAGGGGAAGATGTAAGGAGAAAATCTTAATGCTTAACACACGTGATGTGACGTAAACATTTGAAAAATGTCATTAGATTTCATTGTTTTTCACACCATTTACGAACTGTAGTATTTCCACATGTTTCTGGTCCAAAAGATCACTGAAAATGAAACCATGATCATTGGAAAAATCGTAACATATATTATTTTACATTTTGTTATTGTTTTTTGAGGGGGAAAATGGTCCTGATGGTGAACCTGGTCTTGATGGTAGACAAGGTCCAAAGGTACAAAAATAACTATAATATGGCGTATATTACATTTATTTATTTTATTGTTATTTTAGAAAGGTTTCTTATCATAATTCTATTGATACAATCGGTGAATTTGAGCAAATTATTCGAATTGAATTTGATGCATGCAGTAATTCTATTCACTAAGGGTCCATATGGAGCATATGGTGAATCGGGAAGTATAGGCAAGAAAGGTGCCAAAGGTCTTCCTGGTTATCCTGGTTACATTCGATCAATTGTAAGTTATTTTTACTTAGATTTATCTTCTCGTGATAAGTGTATGATATTAGGCGTCTATTTTTTACTCGCAGATTCTCCCTGGAAGGTCCGACAACAAAGGACCTGGTCCTAATGATAACAGAAACAGGATAGACATAATGGTGAACTTCATTAATTTACAAAAAATTGAATTATTTATGAACTTGCTAACGCGTTAGTTAGTATGCAAATGTCGGAGCTTTATAGTTGCGACGCGAGAAGTGAACTGGTGATGTTGTTATTACGATCGACGCATTTTGTTATAGTCAAAATGTATTTTATGAAATCCATTGATTTTTTGTCTAGCCACCTCAGCCTGGACCACCTGGAAAACCTGGAAAACCTGGAATTCGGGTTAGCTTATGCCAAATGTGTTATTTCACATCTTTCTGCTCAACACAATAAAATGTGCCTGTTTATTAAATATTTAAGGGTACAGATGGTAAATATGGACCATTAGGACCTGAAGGCATTGTTGGAAATAAGGTATTTTAAAATGTGGTGGAAATATGAAAAACATGAATAAGGACGTATATAGATTAGAAGATTTTTCATGATAAATAAGGGGGGAAATGTACCTTAAAAATATTCAAAAAACTCCGGGATGTCTTGTCCGATGATGACTTAGGCCATGGGGTCGTCAATAATAACACAACTCCACTCTGCTTGTTTTTTCTGTACAATCAAAAGCTTTCAAGATTTCGCTTGTTTTAGTTATGCACTTTTTTCCATTGACTTTCCAACAACGACAAATAAAACACTCTTCTTCATGACATCATTTTTGTTTTAAAGATGACGTATTCTATATATTCCTAACAACCGTTGAGTATGCTGTATGATCCATCGATCAAAGATAATAAGTGAACTAAAATTTCGATCAACAGTCATAGGTTGTTTGTAAAAGTTTCAATCAAATATAATCAGTTGTCTGTACAAGTTTCGATCAAAGATAATCAGTTGAATGTACAAGTTTCGATCAAAGATAGTCAGTTGGTTTTACTCGTCATTTTTATTGTTGATAGGGAAGTCAAGGTGCTCCTGGTAAAAATGGTCTACGTGGAAACGATGGTTTGAGCGTGAGTTTCAATTTTATGAAATTTAATACAAAAAGATATGTTTGGCTTTTCATTATTGTTGTACATAATATCGCATTTATCTAGAAGAATTTTTATCTTCTTATTGTTACAGGGAAATCCTGGCGACCACGGCAATCCTGGACGTCCTGGTACAGTTGGTATGAAGGTACGTGATTAAAGATTCATGAAAGAGAAATCATCAAGGAAATTTTGAAAATGCGCTTTTTCTTAATTCATGAATGGGTTAATTTGGATGAATGATTGAGAATTTTGCATTAATATGTACGATTGTATGACTATTATATAATAATGTTTATATACCGGTATTATAAGCACTCTTTTCAAATATTATTTAGTTTGTCTTAATTGTTATTATTTACTTCTAAAACTAATTATTTATTTGTAGGGAGCTATTGGAAAAGATGGAAATCCTGGAATTCGTGGCAGAAAGGGTCATGCTGTAAGATCATCAAAAAGATTGATTTTCGTTTCATCGGACTCGCCTTTAGTCATTTTCATTTTTAGTGATATTATTTTCTAGGGATGGAAAGGTGACGTTGGATTTGTTGGTGAGAGAGGAGCTCAGGGAGAGAAAGTAAGGAATATTTAATAATACTTTCTACATCGCAATTATTTTAATTATGTACTACATAAAATATTTCATTTTCAAAAATTTTATGTAATGTTGGATATTTTGAGGGTACGGCTGGTGAAAACGGTGATAAGGGCGAAGCTGGTACAGAGGTATGAGTTATTGGTCTCCAATCTAAAATGCATTTTCATTCAAGGATCGTGCAAATGTGCGAAGTATTTGGTGAAATTAAATGTACAAATTAACCCACCCTTTTGTAAAGGATTTTAAAAGTTTTTATGCCTTCTTGTGTACAGGGCCGTGACGGCGTTTCCGGTAGCATGGGACCACGTGGTCAGTATGGAAAAGCAGGAAAGAAAGGACCAGTGGGGAAAGATGGAGTTATCGGTCCTAAGGTAAAAGCACAAAATTATATATATTTTAATTGGGAATAACCAAACCATTTGTGTTTGTTAAAATGTTGCTGACGTTGGAAATAGACGTATTTTTAATGTGCATACAAATTAACGAATAAATAATGAACACATCAGACATTTTGGTTGTATTTCAAAACATTTTCTCGGTCTATTCTGCGATTGATAAATCATCGTTGTTTTGCATAAAACATGAGAAACAGAGTTATAAAAGTAAAATATGTTTCATACAAAGACAAAAGCCTGGTTCATTCTCCACAGCTTTGGAACTTTGTTTCAAACTGCGTACGAAGTTTTCTCAAGCTGTGGACATGCGTTGTGGAGAACGGTCATCGACATGTAGTTTTGAGTTACTTTCACATTCTCAAATTCTCGATTCGTAGATGTTTATTAAATCAATAAGTTAGTTGCAAAAGTTGTTTAAATAGTTGTAAATGCTACTAGGGTCGTATGGGACATCACGCTAGTCATGGTAGACGGGGTCCTATGGGTTCACGAGGACAGCCAGGTGGCTTAGGACTACGTGGAGACACTGGCATACCCGGTGAACATGGAAGGCGCGGTGACATGGGGCCAAATGGGCTACCGGGCTCAGCTGGGCATGTGGGACCAATCGGAAACCCGGGTTACAAAGGTTCAATGGTGCGTCTAATAGATAAGTTGAAGAATATTTTTTTATTGATAACACACGTCCCTAAATTCATTCTTTAAAATGAAAGCATGCCATCTGAAAACATGTATTTCAATGAACGACAGGTTTTTACATGCTAACTCCTAGGGTGACCCAGGCCTGTTTGGTGGTCAAGGAAAACTTGGTCCCATGGGAAATATGGTAATTAAATAGATAATTTGGCTATTTATATGATTACAAATTTACAATGTAGTGATAATGTACAATATAGTATTTCATGGAACCATTGTGAGTGACACATTGAGTTGTTAGTCTATAAAGCCTAGTTTTAACTAGTGACATAAGCCCAAACGAGAAAATAAAGCCAAGTATATGCTTCTGAGTTTGAAGCAAACAAATAATTAGCAATTTTCTTTCAATTTTCAATTCACGCTCATGTCAAGTTTCTGTGTTTATGCTTATGTCGATGATTGTGTCAGACACTTTGTTGCGTTCTTTTGTATTTTGTTTTTTCTTTGCTTTTCCTCGTGCTTATGTCGATGATATGTCATTTTGTCAAATATTGTACTTTCGATCTGCTATGTTTTGTCAACGTAGTTAAATCGAATGGACAGTTCAAATGATTTAGCTTTTTCAGGAGTTAAAAATTTGAATAATACTTTCAATAAACTGAACAAAAAATCGTTCTGACAATGCATTTTTTTTTTTGTTTTAGGGCTCGGTTGGTTCTGAAGGTAGTCTAGGAAATAGAGGGGATAAAGTATGTTGAAAAACATACACTTTAATTTTTTACAGTTTTTTACAAGAATTACAAATCATCTTTCAGGGTGAAACGGGTGAAACTGGAAGTCGAGGGGAAAGAGGTGATAAAGGTTCAACAGTAAGTTATAAAATTTATCTTCATTTTACTTAAATACACTATGTTGTACGGCGTGATTATCATAAAAAAATGGCATCAATTTCGAAAAAAATTCCTTGTGAATCCTATACATTTATTGGATTTTAGGGAGATCAAGGATCATTGGGTGTTCAAGGAAGCAATGGTGGAGAAGGGACTCAGGCAATCATTCTTAAACTTTTTATCAATGTTTTGTCACACAAAGAAATATGTTGCATTGACACATGACAAACTGTGTACAGAAATGCATTTGAAAAGGCATTTATCACCAAAAGGCATTCTTTAAGAAAGTTATCATTTAAAAAGCCATGTTTTAGTCCAAACTTAGCCGCCTAGTATACGTACCTTTTTTATACAGTAAGCATGAGAGCAATTTTATTGTGATTTGTATCACTTATATCACCTGTAAATACATGTGACAACTTTGTGCCAACCATTCACATAGTTTTCTTTTTATGTAGGGTGCCATTGGTTTGATGGGTCCCGGGGTCCGTTTGGTCGACCGGGCTTAAGAGTATGTCTTTCAAACTCATTTTGTAATGGATGAATGAAATAAATCAAATCACGTGATTTAAATATTTTTTAGGGTCAATATGGAGAGCCTGGTGCTGACGGTAATGATGGTCTTCCTGGTAGAAAGGTATCTGGTCAAATCATTCTCCAGTTATTATTCAAAATATATCAAAGGTTGTAAAGGGTTTCAAAAAAAAGACCTACACCAATGTTCATTTTGAGAGAGTTTGTTCTCGAAATGAAACAATTTTTATAACGTGTGTTTATTCGTGTACACACTAGTCATACAATACATATGATTTTAAGTCTAAGATCATAAACAGTGTACTGTAGAGAATATAGTGGCTGCAATGTGGAAGTAATCAATAAACAAGTTATTTTTTCTGCTCTGTATTATCATCAACTACCTTTATAAATGAGTAGACGTATTTTTATTTATGATCATTTTGAAACAGGGTGATGATGGTGGTAATGGTATTCGTGGAGCTTCTGGTCAAAAGGGCTATAAGGTGTTAATATAATATTAGAACACTCTTCCCCTATTTTTACTTGGAATATCGTATATTTTTGTGCTTTGCGTCAAGAGATAGGCAATACTTTATCAAAAAAAATAGTTATATATTATAAATTATTTGACTAAATTGTATGTGGTCATAAAAATTGGGACTCAGAATGGTATAGCATATTTTATAAACCTGACTTTGGCTTTTTAACCAATCGGAAAGCTGGAAATTTTGCCCTGCTTCTTTAATTGATAGAGAGAAATTACTTCTGTGTACCATATGAACGATCTTTCAAATGAAAAACGAAGTTTGACTCAATTGGCTTTCCGATCTGATATCAATTAGAAAGTTGTTTACACGTGTATTGTCAAATGTAAAAGCCAAATCTGAGTGATGGGAACTATAAGGATTAGTATGATCTTGCTTGTGAGTATTACTCCATCATGCCAAACATCCTCAAAGCCAATCAGAATAGTGTAATTTCTCCTGCCTATTGCTAATATACGATTTTTGTGCTTGCTGAATTTGATTTAAAATCCTGAAATTAGGGCAAAATTACAAATTTCTGATTGGTTGAGAGGATATTGATGCCGTTCATAAATTATATCATATTGATGCAAAAACTTTGTTTACATGTTATAGGGCAATGATGGATCGATTGGCTTCAGTGGAAGCAGAGGAAAAAGGGTAAAAAATTTCACGAACTTCAAATAAAATGGAAGTACCTGCTAGATCAAACGAGGTAATTGAAAGCTAAGCGGACCTGTTTTTTTAAGGGAAAGAAAGGACGACAGGGCTCTCCTGGAAAATCTGGCTCAGTTGGAAAAGCTGTAAGATTAAAAAAATCTCATTATATCATCGTTTATAAAATTATTCTGAATTAAGCTTTGGTGTTCCCTAATTTATAATTTAAATCTTCGAATTTTGGAAATCTGACATCGTTTCATACTTAGGTTTCATTCTTTAGTTTTACATTTTAGCTTTTTTCAAAACGTATTTGCGCTCAATAAAAATGTACGTGTGATGAAAAATTCTGCAATTTTGAAAAATTTAATCTTTTATTGTTTCCCCCTTTATTTGTTAGGGAGAACTTGGACATAACGGAAATATCGGTGTACATGGTCGACAAGTAAATAATTTTTCAAATATTGTTGTAGATGCTTAGTACACATTAGCACTCATACTTCTGGAAATATTTATTTTTGTATATATTCTTTTATAAAGGGTGTTCCGGGACTGCAAGGCCCTCCAGGAATCTTAGGTGTTAATGGGCAAGCGGTACGTATTTATAACACGCGTGTTTCACGATGAATAAAAAATATTTGTGTGCATATGAATCTGAAGTTTACGATGAAGATAAAAGAAAGTAACTGACTTAATTGAGTTATGTACGCTGTTGTCACCGAGTTGTAAAAGGTCTACCTGTCATTGTTGAAGGGAAAAGATGGTATTCAAGGGAAAATTGGGATTTCAGGGCCCGCAGGTCCACCGGTAAGGTTTTAACTCGGTATTTTATTAACAGTCACAATAGATGTAGTTTCAGATAAAAGTATATTTCCAAATATTTGTTGTAAAAAAAATACATGTGTTTAGGGTATAACTGGTAAAGATGGGGATCTTGGAGTGATCGGTCCTCAAGGGTTTATGGTTAGTTGCATTGACGATCAAATAGACAAACAATAAAACTTTACCGTTATGTTGAACAACATCGATATTTCTTAATCTTGACAACAAAATTTTTCACAACATTTTTTTGTGACATTTTGACATTTTGAAAGGGACCACAAGGAGAGAGAGGTGATCGGGGTAGTCGCGGTGTTCCAGGAGTAGTGGTGTGTAAATAAATTATGATTTCAATCTTGACTACAAAACTTTCGAAAATGGAGTGTTCTTAACTTCATACCATAAAAGGTTTTATGAACTGGTTTTTGTGGTCAAAATATTGTTAGGGAGACGACGGAGACTTGGGAATGCCAGGAAAAGACGGTGCAGACGGGGAAGTGGTAAGAATCCGTCGTTTTATTTAGCTTTCAGACTTTTGTTGATAAATCTATTGAAATTGTAAATGTCAAGCTTCCTAATGAGGTATCTGCCCAGTATATCTGAACGTTGATATTTTCATCAAGTTTTCTACAGCTGTAAATAAAAACCAAATTGTGAGATACTTTATTCTAGGAAATCATGTTTGTTATGTAATTAGGACATACATCACAACCCCCATTACGTAAAATAGCAAAGCTAAAGCTAAGTGTGTGCTTTACTCCTTTTAAATGAGGGACTTGCTGGCGACATAGGCGTTAGTGGTCCAGCTGGAGAAAAGGTAATTTGATATTTAACTGTTGACAATGAGAAGAAAATTGCGTAACGTTATATTTTAAATGTTTTCACAGGGTGAGAAAGGTACAGAAGGGGGAATGGGAGAAGATGGAGAAATGGTTTGTATGATATTTCTTGTTTTACCATGTTTTCTTCACTGCTTGATTTAAGTTAACTCAAAAATTCAATTTTGAGATTTTTCTCTTGTGGCAGGGTTCACCTGGTTTTCAAGGTTCAGCAGGTGGGCGAGGAAGCGTTGGAGAAAAGGTGATGTGTTTTATTTGCTTGAAAGTGTTTAAGGTTTTCATAGCATGGTGGACCAAATGGAAAACTAACTTAACAGTTCGATACTCAAAGACTTAGTTGTCAATTTAATTTCCAGGGTACTTCTGGTCCCGTTGGTATCATAGGTATTCATGGATCACGTGGAAGCAAGGCAAGCCAAAATTTCAACAACCAAGCACTATTTCTTGTGTGATGAATACTTTATATTCATATCATATCCTTATTTTGTATCGTTATTTTCAGGGAATGATTGGAGCTACTGGTGTACTTGGTCAACGTGGGAGTAAGGGTGCAATGGTACGTAAATAATTGTTGGAGATTTTACTTCTCGGGGTCGCCGAAAGATTGATAATTGGGGAGGGGGCTCATATTCAAATATTCATATGTTATAAATTTATAATATCTAATCACAATTTATTTCAATAGAAACTAATAAGGTAGAACTTGCATACGTAATATGAATATTAACACACACATCCATTATTGATGTTCCTGATTTTGATTCAAAACATGTTCGTTTTATTTATGTCTTATCCAGGCTCTTTATAAACAGTTTGGGATTTTTTATATGATTAAAAGGTTTATCTGTAGTACCATGAACTTAATACGTAACCTTTTTATATAATGTAAAAATATATTTCAAGGGTCTTCCTGGTAAAAAGGGTGCTCCTGGTGTAAATGGTAGTCCTGGGATGAAGGCAAGTTGTATTTTATGTACTTGAACATATATCTACAAGTTATTTTGTGAATCTGCATTTTAAAATCAATTTGCTTTTTACATAAATTATAATAACTCATATTTTGAGGGATTTTACTGCTGCTGATTATGTTCTTCTGTATCACAAATTGCAAGTCAAAATATGGTACTTTCAATTATGATTTATCGAATAATGGCGATTGGCTCCACACTTGCCTACATAACACTATTGACAACATGACGTAGGCTTGTGTAACGTATTGGCAATTCCATTATTTTGGAATAAATATGTTAGCCTGATGGATCTGAACACTGCAACCTTTTATGGAATTTGACATTGATCTGATTTTAGTGTGTGCTTTTAAAGTTTGAAACATTTTAGGGCATTGATGGTCCAGATGGTTCTGATGGAGATCCTGGGAAACGTGGGGGTAAAGTATGTATTGCCCATTGTAGATTTTAATATCAGCACAATTATCACTAAAGTCAAAGAAATGTATACAATATATACTCTTATTATACCAGCCTGCAGCTTCTGTTTGTTAATCAAAAAGAAAATTACAACATTTTTGCCAATTTTCAACGCAGTGCAATTTCTTAACAGTTGAATACAGTAATGATACCGCTTGTATTTTTCATTCCTCAATCTAAACTAATGTAGCTGCTTTTGTACTTACGTAAAGCTAAATTCTTTTGACAACATCTGTCATCTTTTACCAAAAGCTTAACTACTGTGGCTAGTTTTTGAACAGAAATGCTTTTCAGTAATGAAAAGTTAATTTTACTTTTGATAGGGTCCCCTTGGAGATACTGGAAAAACTGGATCTTCAGGGCAAAAAGGATATCAGGTGAATTTTAAGTTTATGGATTTTGAAGGAAGAAAGATAATTTTAGGGAAAAAGTTGAAAATCAAATTTTGTTTTTTATAGGGTGCTCGTGGTGATCCAGGTTTACAAGGATCTATTGGAGAAAATGGCAATCCGGTAAAATTTAGCAAATCAATGAACTGAAGTTAGCTATAAGCATATATGATTCAGCATTTAGACGCTAAATCGTTAGCAGTCACGTCGACATTTAATCTATAATTTGAATAGTGATTAGTAGTTTTATATATTAGTTTTTCTATGTTGAGACTAAGTCCTCGGCAAACAATGGTAGACATGTTTTTCATATTTCTTGCTAGCGGGTATGAAACTTTTAGAGACGTAAAAATATCATACCTTTTTTGTACTTTTTTATTTTTTGATCATCATTTTTGTCCAGGGTATCATAGGAAAACGTGGTCTTCAGGGTGAAATTGGGCAAACTGGAGGAAAGGTTGATGAAATTTGTTATTTTCAGTATTTCTTGAAAGAAAATAAGTGGATATTGTATCACAATATTTTAAACTCCTATCCATTTTTCAAAGATGAAACAGTTTAGTTTCACCTATAGCTAGCTATGCAGTTAGTGTAATGTGTAGTGATAGCTAGAATTATTCAGACCAAGGTCAATGTTGTCTGCCGAAACGAAGATAAGACGTCATAGTTGCAGATATCAGGAATTATTTATATACATGACGTCATAATTACAGATATCGAGAATTATTTGCAGGTAGTTCACCAATCAGAACCGACATTGTTTATATAGTGAATAATAGTTATATTTAGTTGACCAAGGTCTTAAAAGATGTACGCACGTTGCTTTTTACAGGAGACGATTCTCAGTTAGTTTATGATCTTGACAATGTATTTTTTTTCAGGGAGAGACAGGAGACGATGGATTGCCAGGTCTTGCTGGACTGAGGGGTGCGGATGTAAGATTACTTGTTAAATTTTTACTATCTTTGTTTTTTACTGTTGCGTATGAACTTTTACTAAGAGATTATCGTTCATTTTTGTTATTCTCCTGATAGGGACCACCTGGCAACCGTGGTAACGCCGGTCAAAATGGAGAAGATGGCTTTGTGGTAATGGATTTTCTTGACTTATATTTCTTGGCAATTCTTTGAGTATTGGTTTCCTTTATTTCTATTGTTAGCTTAATTGTTTATTTTCTTTTCACAATATTAACAACTTTTCATTTTAGGGCTTTGCTGGTCCTCTGGGAGATAAAGGTGAAGTTGGTGTACCTGGTAAGCGGGTAAGTAATTATTTGTAAGTAATTATTTGTAAGTAATTATCTAGCTATATGAGCGCTGCTATAACAGACAATGTTGATGGAAAACTATTTTATTTCAATCATTGCTAAAATATTTTACAAGATTTAATTATTTTCTCGGCCGCGGTTTCTGTATTTTCATTCCTTTATGTTGCATTTGAACTACAGAAACTTTTTTAATTAAAAGGCAATGATTTACATGTAGAAACTCATTATGATTGTGAATTTTTTTCTTCTGTTGATAGGGTGAGCAAGGGTCGATGGGAGATCTTGGGATTCGTGGAACTGATGGTCGAAAGGTTGTTTCTTAATGCCGTATTGATTCATTTGTTTTTTGCTGTTGGTTTAGTGAATTGTGACTGCGAATTTTTCCATTAAATTATCTTGCCACTTGTTGATGAACAACAAATATTTTTCTCAACTTGCAACAATTTATGATCGCGTTTCGGTCGTTTATTGAAACACTAGCGTTGTTACTAAGGATGCATTTGACCCAAAATTCTATAAATGTCAACTGAATTATATAAACATTGACATTCGAGCGACATTAAAATAAAACACTTAATTGTTATTTCAGAGTATGATTTGTTTCGACTTTGTGCCTGTTTCGACTGCAATATAAGTAAAATTACTGATTTTCAATAACCTCAGTGACATATTTACTCAAATTCTTCATTTTTTATCTCATTTATTGTTTTATTTTGTGCACAGGGCTTTCCTGGGTCGCAAGGATATATTGGCGATCGTGGTTCTGCTGGTCCTATGGTACGTAAAAAAAACAGTTGCTCTCTTGTTTCTCCGCAATTATTAAAATTGTGCTCAGTTTAAGCACATCATTTGGAAAGTCAGTTAATACTGTGCTCAGTTTAAGCACATCATAACAGAAAGTCTCTTTATAATCTGATCGTAGTTTTATGCGGTACGTTTCCTTGAGAGTTTACACAGGAACTCAAGCGAAAGTAGATCGTTTTTACTTCATCTCAATTTTCAAACAAAGTCAAAAATCATGAGTCTCTCACTTGAGTTTGATAATTATATAAATTTCAGGGTGAGCGTGGTTCTCCTGGGGGTCATGGAGAGGCTGGTGCTCAAGCTGGACCTGTAAGTTTTCAATTCTTTAGTGGCAGGCGTTTCACTCAAATTTTTTATAGTTATGAATTTTATAGCTTGTTCCATTCTATGTTTTGTCACTTTATTGCTACATGGATCACTGATCTGTGTTTGATAACCATATGGAAAGACAATGTACATAATACAATTTGTTGTCAGGGTGCTCCTGGAGTTACTGGTCTTCCTGGTCTTCATGGACAACCGGGAACAAGGGTAATTTTTTTGTGAAATTTTGCTATCTTCAAAAGAATTGCATTTACATTTTATTTTTCTATTTAGGGTAATATTGGGTTCAGAGGACAGACAGGCCCTGTTGGACCTCAAGGTGCTATGGTAAAACAAGTCAATTCGTGTGTTTTGATAGAGTAAAAAAGATGTGTGTGTACTTGTAATTCATATTGGCTAATTTATATAGCAATTTTTATGTACGGTGTGAATGCTTATGTTAACGGTTGCTATGACAACCGTTATTTACATTGTTTGTTCTATCTTAAGCTCAACAATATTAAGCTCAAAAATATTTCAAATCTTCATAATTTGCCTAAGAAATTTTACTTATATAAAAATATGTAACAAACTAATAAGAACTGGTAAGATCACAATGTGTTCCAACTTTCTGTATTCTCGTGGTTTACAATATGTTACAATTTTTTGTTCTCATACTAAACAATATCTAATTTCTTCATTTGTATTCGCGTCAATAATTAAATATGTGACAGTTTTACTTTTTCCTATCTTCCATAAATTACTATTAATACATTTTATTTTTTAATGCAATATTATGAAGACTATGCCATTAAATTTAAATTACAACTTTTTACAGGGAGAAGTCGGTCAGACTGGAAAGAATGGAAATGATGGCAAATCCGGAGAACAGGTGATGAAGATACAACGGTTCCTATTATTCTCTAACTTAATATTGAAAAAGATATTGATAATAATCATTTAATTATCATCAATATCTTTTTCGATACTTCATGTAGGGTTCTGAAGGCCCAAAAGGAATACGTGGAGGACAGGGGCGAGTGGAAAACCTGTAAGTTTCAATATGACATGTTTTGAAACAGTTTGTATTCATACAGGTCTTGTCAATTTTTTTCATCTAAATCTAGGGAAAACGTGGACTTTCTGGTAATTCTGGAAACTTAGGAGCACCAGGATCTCCAGTATGAACTTTTTTCTTGTATTCGCCTTAAAAGACTCTAAGTATTCAAAAAAAATTTGCATTCTCGCAAAGGTGAAGCAACTTTACTGGCGTTAAACATGCTCCTTATGTCAGACATCAAAACAATTTTACAAGATATTCTTCCCCGAAGTCAATTGCATCAAATTCAAATGCATCTAAAATGAAATAGAGGAATGTTTTTGTGTTCAGAACAGTGATGCAGATAATGCTAAACATCGTTAAAGTAAACGTAATATGATGATTTATAGCTTAGTATTTTAAGGAGAGCCGTTTGATATTTTATAAAAATTAACATTTTCTCTCAACACAAGACATCTTCTGGATATATTAGGTTACAGGGAACTGACTATAAGACGACTTTTTATAAAGGACAAGATGATAAATAGACAGCTACGTATATATTGTTATTCTTTTTCTGCAGCCTTACCTTTTCTGTCACCTACTTACTGTGGCTCGCTTGAGAGCGCCGCTTCCGGTTAAGCACCGCATCTGAGTAACTTTATAGCGCCACTTACGCATAAGCGCGCATTCAAAATCGGAAAATGAAATAAGCGCTGCGGTGCTAAAGCGAGCATTTACGGTGATTCATATTATTCTAAAAATATTTTGTATTGAAAACTTACTACTTATATTATATCAAATTTCTGTCCTTGAAATATTATGTTCGTCATTAATTTTTCCAATACGTTTATGTTAGGGTACATGTTTGTACACTTTGTACACGTTTATTATACGTATGTATACGTTTGTAACGTGGAGGGGAATGTTTCTATATAAAGTTAGCTTATTTTTTTCCTAAGGGTGAACAAGGAGACATTGGTCAACTTGGTAAACCAGGTGAAAATGGCGTGATTGGATCTGTTGGGCGTCGAGGGAGAGAAGGACGACCTGGAGAAAACGGCTATGATGTAAGCATTTTCAATAATAGTAAAAATATGGTGAACTGCTATCATATAACTTTATAAAGCAAATGTTACCAAATGTTACCTAAAGTTCCCCAATTCTTGTTTGTCATTGTTTTTTACATCCTTGTTTCACATTGTTCGTTGTTGTTTTTTACATCTTGTTTCACATTGTTTGTCATTGTTTTTTACATCCTTGTTTCACATTGTTTGTCATTGTTTTTTACATCCTTGTTTCACATTGTTTGTCATTGTTTTTTACATCCTTGTTTCACATTGTTTGTCATTGTTTTATCCATTTCATTGTTTGTCATTGTTTTTTACATCCTTGTTTCACATTGTTTGTCATTGTTTTTTACATCCTTGTTTCACATTGTTTGTCATTGTTTTTTACATCCTTGTTTCACATTGTTTGTCATTGTTTTTTACATCCTTGTTTCACATTGTTTGTCATTGTTTTTACATCCTTGTTTCACATTGTTTTTGTTGTTTTTACATCCTTGTTTCACATTGTTTGTCATTGTTTTTTACATCCTTGTTTCACATTGTTTGTCATTGTTTTTTACATCCTTGTTTCACATTGTTTGTCATTGTTTTTTACATCCTTGTTTCACATTGTTTGTTGTTGTTTTTTACATCCTTGTTTCACATTGTTTGTCATAGTTTAAATGAAATATTCCAAAATATAGGGTGTGTCAGGTCGTAAAGGCTTTAAAGGAGATCCAGGAATTGCCGGTGATAAGGTACAAATTAAGTTAAGGCTTCATTGTTGTTCATTTAAACTTGTTGAAGTCGAGGAGATAAATACGTAGGTGTGATAATGCTGACAATTCTAGACACAGATATAATTAACCAATATAAATTGACTTTTATTATGTGACAAAGGGTAGCAAAGGAGTTCTTGGGGAACCTGGTGGTGAAGGATCTTCTGGACGTAGAGTAAATTTTACTTCATTTGTTTTTCTTTAAGGACGTTTACTATTGACATTAACTCCTCTTTTAAATGTATTCATAGGGTTCTAAAGGTGAATCAGGTAAAATGGGTCTTCCTGGCCATCCTGGAAAACTAGTAAGTAAACATTTAGTTACCGCCTTCTCCTACTGTTACTAGCCAGCATTCAAAGTACCTTATCGTTTCAGAACTCAATTTAAACTCCCATATTCTTTTCTTTGCCGTCTACAAATTTTAGGGCGAGAGAGGAAAGCAAGGAAAAGCTGGAGAGGCGGGGTTGAAGGGACCAACGGTAGGAACAAAGATCATGACAGCTTCACTTAGAAGAGTTAATTGGAATGCTAATTAAAAAATTTTGTTGGTGGGCAAGAGTAAAAACACTTCTTTTCAAACTTCGCAAATTGCTCAAGTTTACTAACAATATTCCTTTGACAAATTAAAAACTCTTTATAATAATTTTTAATTACCTTTCGGTTAGTGTACACCAACTAAGCTGGCAGCAGCGAAAATTGGAATTCGATTTATAGAGTTTATTTTATTAGGGCGATGCAGGCAGTCTAGGACAGTATGGCACTCAAGGTCTCATTGGTCAAAAGGTATTTATATTATTGTTTTAAACAGTATGGTAACATTTTTGGTTGTGCAGACTCATCTGACAACTACATAATCTGGTGACTACATTACTTAGAAATTCTTGAAAAATAGTTCCATTGAAAATATATTTTTGAAATAACCAAAGATAACTTTGCTCCAAAAGTTTCGATCAGTATTTTTTTGAAATATTTTTTGAATTCTCTATATTAGTGTACTTGTCAATATAAACGCCCAGTGATTTAAGTGATTTCAAACAAATCATAAAAGAAAGCTTTGCAATATATGAAATGCGCCAATTTCAGAAAGCATCTTTACATCATGTTCTTTTATCCAGGGTTCCATTGGTTTTGTTGGTGTGAAAGGACCCTCTGTAAGTTATTGTTGCTTGAAATTAATAATTCATTTTTTTAAAAAGATGAAAACCGCTAAGGAAGTCACAACGACAGTCAAAACCAGCACCAACAGTCGTTAGGACTGCACTAAATTTCACGATTCTTTCTATAAACGATACTCCCGTGTTCAAACTATTTACATCATTTATATTTAATGTAATTATGTCGGAGAACTATGTGACGCCTAATATATTTGATAAACACATGAACTACATGAAATCTTTAAGAATTTTTACATTCGTTTTCAGGGTTCAAGAGGCCTCAAGGTAAGCATGATATAATGTTTTTATAATCACCATAAAAATTTATGTTCATCGTTTTTTAATTTATAAATTCTTCTTTACATGTGTTTGTCCATGTTTTATGTCAATTTTTGCAAGTTTATTTTCTTGCCGTTTTTTGGACGATTGTATTATTTTCTATTTTTTTAGGGTGTAAGAGGAGCACCGGTAACTACCAATTGAAATGTTGAATTCGTAATTTCTGTTTTTTGATGATTTTTTAAGCCCACGATACACGAGCATTCTTTTCAATAACTTTGTTCGCAAAGCCAAGTTTCCATAATATTAGTAACACAATATATTTTGTCTTCCTAAAGATTTCGATACCAGGAACCAGCTCCAATTTTTCTTAGGTTGAATTATGTTATGAAAAGTGTTTGTTTAGGGTCGTCCTGGTCCTCCTGGACCACCTGGAAGTCCTGGTTACGCAAGTAGCAGTGGGGTAAGATTTATATTGATGCTATTGTTAATGCTAAAGAGAATAAAGTAAATTTTACTGTAGTTATTCGTTTACTGGATTTCTGAAAGTTGCTTCAATATATTTTTTAAAGAATCGTCGTGGTCCAAGTACAACTGGTCAAAAAGGACCGTTCAGATATTATCGAGGAGAAAAAGTAATTAAAGGAATTTATCTTAAACATTTTGTTATTTGCATGCTTAATAAGGTAATCTTAAATGATTTCAAATGCAATTCTTGTTTTGCAGAAACATGCTAATTACATTGAGCTGAATGATCAATATGAAAACTTTGAGGTATGAATTTGCAAATAATGTTAGGCAGTTTGTCCTAATCGACACAAATTTTTTCATCATTTTTCTATCTGAAAGGTTATAAACGTATAAAATGTGTCCTGTGAATTTTTATAATTCGATCATAGCTGAGCGTATTTTATTTTAGAGTTATTCTATTAATGAATTAACAAAACTACTGAGCGTTACCAGCTCTTACAAAAATCCTGATGGGTCTAAGAAATATCCAGCACAAAACTGTCGTTATCTCAAATGCTTCATCCGACTTTACAAAGTGGTAATTATTAAACCCCCTTACATATTTTGGCAAAAGTTGTAGTATTGACGCCATTACTCATTACAGGCCAGTACTGGATAGACCCTAATAGTGGAGCTGTTGAGGATGCCATTCTTGTCGATTGTGATTTTATAAACAACTCTACCTGTTTTACTGGAAAAACACAAAATGTATGAGAAAATCTTCATTTTTTTATTTATTTTCTTATCTATAGTAAATATATAGGCACATCTTACTATTTTATACATTGACTTGCCATTTGTGTAAAATTTACTTTTAGATACCTAAACAAAAATGGATAACCCAGCGTGGTAAACATGTTTGGTTTCAAAGAGATCTTACGCAAACAAGCCATGTAAGACTCATCTTTGAATTAATGTTTGCAAAAGTGCATGCATGGCTGTTGACTCCAACAACACTTTTGAATACTCCTCGGCAGAATACTCCTCAGGCGTCAACGTCTGCTAAATGAAAATTTAAAATCTACCGATATTTATAATGCCAAGAAATAGTGTACGTCATCTCCAAAAAGGGGAGATGACGCTCAAAACAGGGATAAATTGAAAACATAATCCTTTTGTCGGCAGAGGACGGGATTGGTTTTTGAGCGTCATTTCCCTTTTGGGCTCTTTACTTAAAACAGTTCTTTTAAGAACTATTAACTTATTACTTTTACCATTCACCATGGTATTTGCCATCTTTAGAATGATTTGATGACGTTGTAGTGTCCACAGTGCACATTGTATGCACGAGTGAAAAAATGAACCGAACGTACTTTACTGTAGATTTAGCTTCTATGTACACAAAAATCTATTGTCTTTCATTTGCTCCTTATTCACCCAAAATATACATAAATAATTATGACGTTTTGGATTTATATGATTTTTTTGGTAGTTTCGTTACACGGTCGATGGAAATCAACTTCGTTTTCTCAGGATGCTCAGTGAATCTGGCTGGCAACGTATAACGTATAACTGTAAGAATTCAGTTGCTTGGTACGATATCAATGGCGGTGCAGATCATTCAATAAAACTGAGAGGAGACAATGATGTTGAGTATCATGCTTTAACTCCCAGAAAACTGCGACCTAAAGTTTTGATTGACGAGTGCAAGGTAATATTTTTCTGTGATGGTAACTTTATTCCTTAGCTGAACCTTAGCTGAACTCACTACCATGATATTTTGTAAGCTATAACCCAATTCCCTTTGTAAATATTTCATTAAATTACTCTGCCTTAGTCGCCACTGTATAATTGGGTTTGTTTTGCTTTCTATGGAAACATTGCTTTACTTAATCCATCTCCTTCTTTCAAGATAAATGACAACGTATGGCGAAAAACGATCCTTGAAATAAAAGCGGAAAATCTTGCAAGACTTCCAATTCGAGACATAGCAATTTTTTCATCAAATGCTGAAGATCAGGAATTTGGCATCGAACTGGGAGATGTTTGTTTTGCGTAGAAAAAACGATAAAGAACTCATGATCTAACAAAATAACCGACTCTAATATATATAACCAATCATGAATATCAATAAATGTTTGGTTTATTTGTATTTTATCGCCATTCTTTAATTTGTACTTGGTTTTAGTCTGTAGACATTGCTTTTAGTCATAGAAATAGCATGTCATATAATGTAAAACTAGAATTAGTAGTTTAGTAACTACTTGCTGGTTTATTTTTGACATCCATTTTTAATGGTTAGCATTTTTGTCAAAAGACCTGTAGTTGTCAGCTTTTGCGTTTTTTTCTTTTTGTCTTAATTAAACTTTAGTGGCTAACACCTTCAAACCATTTGTTTCATTGATACTTATTTATGCGTGTATACGTTCAGATTGTTCGGGAGATTTTAATAATGTCCCCTTTTTGGATTAAATTTGACCGGCGTATACACGATACCGGTACAAAACGTCGCCTGTGGAACTGATTTAGTGAACTGATAGCAAAAACTATTCATTACAGTGAATTTTAGATATTTGAATAAGCATTCATGAAACTATGAAACTTTGCTGTATATAGTTACATTGAATCATTGTGAGGAAATCTCTACTTGAGGGATAAGCTTGGTTCACACGAGTGAAATAAACATAATCTCACAAGCGAAGACAAAGGATTCAGCAAAGAGTGTAAGAAAAGTTAGACAATCAACGAGTAATGCATGTGAATCACTTTGAGAAGTGTGCACTGTTTCACTTTTCACAATTTATTATAAATAAAATAAAGCTGTCCTTGCCAAGACACAAATATGATTAGTATACATCGTACTGTACAACACAGAAGATAAGGGTCAATTTTGAGAAATCCGTACTTTCTGCCATAGTTTAATCGTTGCAATGTCGCCATGAATTTGTTCTTAAATTTTCTTTTCTCATTTATCAATATCCGTAAACACGACAATAGTTTGCCATATTTAAAGATTCTTACAAAAGCCAAGGTTTTTTTTTGATTTTAAAGTCGTTTTTTACCTGCAGTTTAAGCAACCGGCTCAGATCATTGGCATTAATTTGCTTTTTTTACGAATCTTCGTTTATCATTGATAAACAACTATTTAACAATTGAAAACAGTTGAATATGCTTTGGAAGAAAAGAACCGAACGACAAAATGAAATATGTAACAAAGAAGAAGCTGTAAAAGTCTAATTATAAAAATGGATAAAAGAGACGGTAAGAACAGTCCTTGATGATTTGAAACAATCAATGGAAAAATGAGAGATAAAAAAGATAACTTTGCTGTAAATATTTGCTGAATTTTTGTGAAAATAATCAAAAAAAATTATAGCCAATCTAAATGAATGAGAAAACAATTTTAGCCAATCTGTATTGCGTTTGAGCATTCAAAAATATGACGAATGTTTAGATAAGTGTCCCTAGCATAGGTTTTGAGAAATATTTGCCACAAATCCTAAATGCATTCGCATTTTGCATGTGCATGGAAATACATTATAATGTTAAAAAACTGCAAAACTACTGTAAAATTATTCGTTATTAATGAGATGTATTATTGTATTTGTTTTTCGTGCTTTTCTATTAAGTCAAGAGATATTTACGGTTTTGTGAAAGTATTTGTGTTAACGGTCGTTAATTTTGTGTAGAGAGTTGCCTACCTTGTCAAAATATAAGACCATAAACACGTGTAACTCTACGCGAGATAGCGCGCGTGACAAACATTGCATATAAATCAAGGAATATATTTACTAAATCAAATTGATTGCATAAAAAACCTAAACAGATTTCTGGGCCGCCTATGGTTTTTTCCGAGGTCTTTTTTGATTTTGTTAAAAGAAAAAACGTTTATAGAAAAGAATTGAGGCATGAAAGGTGATGGGGCATGATCTTTATTCAGTCAGTTATGATGCTTACTATTAAAATACGTATTTTAAAATGGAAAATTTTGCTGTGAAAACTGTTAAAAACAGTGACATCGTTGAATTTATGCACATCTGAAACATTGCAGCGAGTACTAGTTTATTTCGAAAGAATGAACGGGATATATCCAATATTTTACACGAGTTTCTCCTTGGATTATTTCGTGATTTGTACGTAAAACTACCTACAGTCTAGTTTTTTTAAAACATGATGTTTGGAATAAGGTTGCATGTATGAATGTTTTCAGAAAGCCAAACTAAATGGAAAATATGAAAGGCTGTAAATTTGTTAGTCCACGGAAACCCACTAATAATAATGGTTTGGGGTAAAAATCAAAATACATATCCAAAACTGATGTTTGTTTAACATTTTATTTGCTTTTTTAGCTATGTTGTACGGAGCTCGTAACTCGTAAGTATCCTGCGCATAATAGTTTTACTTTGAAGAAAAACGCTTTAGTTTTTGTAATGTTTACAGACACACGAAAACTAACAAATATAGAAAAATACTTTCTAGTTCTCGTACTAGTTATGGTTTTAGTTGTGTATACTTCATGTTAAGTTACATTTGAAAAGTTTTGTTTGGAAAATAAAAGCAAAAAGGATTTTCGTTTTGTAGAAAGACTTGGCGCTAATGGCAACAAAATATTGAAACTATAAAAATATTGAGACTATAAAACACGCATTGTCACTCTAAAGACAATATATCACGCAATTTCAAAACCAAAGACTATAAATCAGGCAAGTTTATAACTAAAGACTATAAATCACGCGTTTTCACTCCTTACACTATAAGTCACGCGTTTTCACTCTAAAAACTATAAATCACGTGTTTTCACTCTATAGACTATAAATCACGATTTACACTCTAAAGACTATAAATCAAGATTTTCACTCTAAAGACTATAAATCACGATTTTCACTCTAAAAACTATTAATCACGATTTTCACTCTAGAGACTATAAGTCACGATTTTCACTCTAAAGACTATAAATCAAGATTTTCACTCTACAGACTATAAATCACGAGTTTCACTCTAGAGACTATAAATCACGATTTTCACTCTAAAGACTATAAATCACAATTTTCACTCTAAAGACTATAAATCAAGATTTTCACTCTAAAGACTATAAATCACGATTTTAACTATAAAGACTGCCAAAGTCTATAGTTGATGATTTTCACATATTTTCATGCATAAGACTATAGTTCATGATATTCACGCGTTTTCATAACAAAGACTATAGTTCATGATTTTCACATATTTTTATGTCAAAGACTATAATTTATGATTTTCACATATTTTTATGTCAAAGACTATAGTTCATGATTTTCACACATTTTCATGCCAAAGAGTATAAATCATGATTTTCACATATTTTCATGCCAAAGACTATAGTCCACGATTTTAACGCATTTTCATGCCAAAGACTATATAGCCCATGATTTTTAAGCATTTTCATGCCACACTATAGTCCACGATTTTAACGCATTTTCATGCCAAAGACTATAGTCCATGATTTTAAAGCATTTTCATGCCAAAGACTATAGTCCATGATTTTAAAGCATTTCCATGCCAAAAACTATAGTCCATGATTTTCACACATTTTCATGCCAAAGAGAATAAATAGTGATTTTCACAAATTTTCATGCCAAAGAAAATAAATCATGATTTTCACATATTTTCATGCGAAAGACTATAGTCCACGATTTTAATGCATTTTCATGCCAAAGACTATAGTCCATGATTTTCACACATTTTCATGCCAAAGAATATAAATCATGATTTTCACACATCTTCATACCAAAGACTATAGTTCATGATTTTCACACATTTTCATGCCAAAGACTATAGTCCACGATTTTAACGCATTTTCATTCCAAAGACTATAGTCCATGATTTTCACACATTTTCATGCCAAAGAATATAAATCATGATTTTCACACATCTTCATACCAAAGACTATAGTTCATGATTTTAACGCATTTTCATGCCAAAGACTATATAGTCCATGATTTTTAAGCATTTTCATGCCAGACTATAGTCCACGATTTTAACGCAATTTCATGCCAAAGACTATAGTCCATGATTTTAAAGCATTTTCATGCCAAAGACTATAGTCCATGATTTTAAAGCATTTTCATGCCAAAGACTATAGTTCATGATTTTCACACATTTTCATGCCAAAGAGCATAAATCATGATTTTCACATATTTTAATGCGAAAGACTATAGTCCACGATTTTAAAGCATTTTCATGCCAAAGACTATAGTCCATGATTTTCACACATTTTCATGCCAAAGAGAATAAATCATGATTTTCGCATATTTTCATGCCAAAGACTATAGTCCACGATTTTAACGCATTTTCATGCCAAAGACTATAGTCCATGATTTTGAAGCATTTTCATGCCAAAGACTATAGTTCATGATTTTCACACATTTTCATGCCAAAGAGTATAAATCATGATTTTCACATATTTTCATGCCAAAGACTATAGTCCACGATTTTAACGCATTTTCATGCCAAAGACTATAGTCCATGATTTTCACACAATTTCATGCAAAGAATATAAATCATGATTTTCACATATTTTCATGGCAAAGGCTATAGTTCATGCATTTTCACACATCTTCATATCAAAGACTATAGTTCATGATTTTCACACATTTTCATGCCAAAGAGTATAAATCATGATTTTCACATATTTTCATGCCAAAGACTATAGTCCACGATTTTAACGCATTTTCATGCCAAAGACTATAGTCCATAATTTCAAAGCATTTTCATGCCAAAGACTATAGTCCAAGATTTTAAAGCATTTTCATGCCAAAGTCTATAGTTGATGATTTTCACACATTTTCATGCATAAGACTATAGTTCATGATATTCACACGTTTTTATAACAAAGACTATAGTTCATGATTTTCACACATCTTCATGCCAAATACTATAGTTCATGATTTTCACAAATTTTCATGCCAGAGACTATAGTCCAAGATTTTAACGCATTTTCATGCCAAAGACTATTTTTCATGATTTTCACACATTTTCACGCCAAAGAGTATAAATTATTGTTTTCACACATCTTCATGCCAAAGACCATAGTTCATGATTTTCACATATTTTTATGTCAAGGACTAAAGTTCATGATTTTCACATATTTTTATGTCAAAGACTTTATTTCATACATTTTCACGCATTTTCATGCCAAAGAATATAGTTTATGCATTTTACATATTTTCATGCCAAAGACTGTAGTTCACGCATTTTGATGCTTAAGCCTATAGTTCACGCTTTTCATGCAAAGACTATAGTTCATGCATTTTCACGCATTTTCATGCTCTAGTCTATAGTTCATGTATTTCACACATTTACACGCCAAAGAGTATGAATCATGATTTTCACATATTTTCATGCCAAAG